GTCAGCCGATATATTTCTGGATGGGATTTCAGCTCGTAACAGAGCTCTCAATGGAGATGTTGTTGTGGTGAAAGTTCTCCCACTTGAACAGTCGCAGGTACTTCATCATAACAAACACACTTTTTAAATGTTGAGGCTTTAATATTCATTCATTCAGTCATTCATTCATTCATTCATTTTCCTTCGGCTTAATCCCTTTATTAATCAGGGGTCGCCACAGCGGAATGAACCGCCAACTTGTCCAGCATATGTTTTACGCAGCGGATGCCCATTAGTGGGAAACATCCATACACACTCATTTACACAGATACACTACAGAAAATTTAGCTTACCAAATTCCCCTATAGTGCATGTCTTTGGACTTGTGGGGGAAACCAGAGCACCCGAGGAAACTCACAGCAACACGGGGAGAACATGCAAACTCCACACAGAAATGCCAACTGGCCCAGTCGGGACTCAAACCAGCAACTTTCTTGCTGTAAGGCGACAGTGCTAACCACTGAGCCATCGGGTCTGAAATGCACTTTATTTGATATTACCTGCATGTATACAGTGTATTCACACACAAACTCAACTCATTTTCAATTCAATTTTATTTGTTAAGCGCTTTTTTAATTATAATCATTGTTGCAAAGCAGCTTTAAAAAAGATGCACGTTATTGCATTACAATCAAAGTCATTACCATAACTTTATTGCACACAAACAACTTTAATTAACTAGTAACTAATTGGTTTTAACAGTTAAAGTTATATATATATATATATATATATATATATATATATATAAACATATATAATAGGTTTATATAAACATATTAAAAGGAAGAGTGTGTCTTTACAGGTTGTCGATGGGGCACACTTAAGCATCCTACAGTTATGTGATGCATTGTGTGTATGCTTTACTAAAAAATGGGTCTTCAATCTTGTTTTGAACTGAGAGAGTGTGTCTGTGCCTCGGACATCATCAAAAAGGCTGTTCCAGAGTTTGGGAGCCATATATGAGAAGGCTTGACCTCCTTTAGTGGACTTTTAATGAAGAACATTGATCTAATTCTGATTTTTTTTGTCAGTTAACGTACTTTTAATATGTCATACACAGAAGCTAGGCTGAAACGGTAGCTCAGTGGTTACCACTATTGCCTCATAGCAAGAAGGTCGCTTTTTCGAGTCCCAGCTGGGTCAGTTGACATTCCTGTGTGGAGTTTGCATGTTCGGGTGCTCCAGTTTCCCCCACAGTCCAAAGACATGCACCATATGTGAATTAAATAAACTAAATTGTCCATAGTTTATAAGGGTGTATAGGTGATTCCCAGTACTGGGTTGCAGCTGGAAGGGCGCTGTGTAAAACATATGCTGGATAAGTTGCCAGTTCATTCTGATATGGCGACCACTGATGAATAAATAGACCAAGCTGAAGGAAAATCAATGAGTATATAGAAGATGTTTAAATTGATAGTACGTGGCACATAGCAAGTCATGATCAGTATTTTTAGTACAGCAACGCCAAATAGATACATTTCTGAAGTTATATAAACTTTCTGCATATCAGATTTAATAGGCTTTAATGAGGGTTGACGTGTGCATGTGTGGGCAGTTGTGTGTGTCAAAGTCTAAACTGCTGCCAGGCAAGTTATGTCAAGATGGAAAAATAATCAACTTTGTAAATAATCAGCCGCACAGGAAAAGCAATTAAACACGAGAAAATATAGAAGTTACACCCTGAGGACACAGATAGATTTTTTTCTTAGATTTGCAGAGTCATGTAAGGTTATCTTCTATCATCTGAAATTGAAACAGTATGAATTAATTCCTGGGAGAGCATGAACGGCAGGTTAAATGAATCAAACTAAAACTTTTATTCTTCATAATGGCTCATGTTTAATGATATAAAACTCATAGCACAATTTGTCTTTTTATTTTTTATATGTTTTTTTGTATTACAGACCAAGAAAATTTAATTTTAACAATAATATTCTTAGGAGGAAGTTGATGAGGGGAGTCCACAAACAACAGTTTGGACCATGATTACCATCTCAATTTTCAGATTTTAAATAGACAGAAGCTATTGTGATTTGTATGATGGCATGTAACACTTTTGGATGAAGTTAATGAAATCCACCATTCCTACTGCACCCAACCTGCTCTGAGCTGGGATTGAACCAGCGATTCTTTGCATGGGAGTCATTTGCTCTAACCAGGAGGCTAAAACCACAGTTTCTAGCATCTGTCAGTAGAGCACCTTTACGCCCCATCCACATGGGGCATCAGCGTCAACGCTTTCCATTCACTTTGAATGGGTGACGCCAGGCATTGTCGAACTGCATTGTGGATCCGTCAGAGCCACTTCAGAGGCGTTGCTCGCTGCAGAAGTTGGGACTAGCTCAACTTTTCAAGTGCCGACGGAAGCGTCAGGCAATCAGATTGCTGTATGCAAATACACCAGCTAGACAGTGGCCTATTGCTGACTGAATTTCTGAATGGCTGACGCTTCAATGACGATCGCGTCAGCCCCAACTTTAGACACACCTTCAGTCAAGCATTGATGCTGAAGCCCTGTGTGAATGGGGCGTAAAGGCTGATTTATACTTCTACGTCAAGCGCATGCGTATGTTACTGCGCAGCCTACGCATTGACGCATAGCCCTACGCCATAGCCATCGGCGTTGCTGGCGTGCACCTTTTAAAAAATGTAACTACATGGCGCATCGACATGTAGCGCAAGCTCTGTGATTGGTTGGCTTGGTATAGCTGACGAGTCTGGGCAGGACGAGAGCCGTGCGAGTGGCGCGAGCCCAATGGAGCGATTGTTTACAAGTGTGGAGTCCATTGAAGGAGCTCCGGATGGAAAGTTTGTTTTGTGTTTACTTCATAGTTAAAGTTGTTGCTCGTCCGCCGGTTCCTGCCTCAAAATGAGCGAATTTGAGCCACTTGTATATTTAGGAAGTGTTCAGAAAAAACAAATCCCCAGCAAAGAAACTTGACACTGAGGAACATTTACACCTCACCGCCAACTAGCGTTTCGGAAGTGTTAACGCAGACCAACAGAGTTATTATTAAATACATTTATTCAACATCAAATTTGTCCTATCCTGCCAAACTTTCCTTCAGTACCTCCTATTCAAAAAGTAGGTACTTCATTTTGATGCCGAAATATGATTGTGCTACCATCTAATATTTTAATATGGAGTGATGTGATATGAGGTTATAATATAGCCACAACCTACATCAATTGCTGACCCCAATCTCAGAACCATTCTAATACAGTGTTGGTAGCATAATCTGATGGGTAGGATAAAATGTCAGGACACTCTACTCTTCATCTCATTTACAAAATACATACACACGAGTATTTCTAATCATCATAGTAAAGGCTTAATTACGATATATATTTACATGTGAGGGCCGGTACACACCAAGCCGACGCCAAACAACTAGCACAGACGAAACCCAACTGTGCTCTCACCTCGCCCTTAAAAAAAACAAATTGGGATTGGGCCTTAGAAAGAGTTGGTGTGTTGCCGACTGCTGTTTAAATTAATAAATTGTTCATCACCGTGTCCAGAGAATTTTCTGTTCATGCACATGACCACTGGAACCGACGATGTACAAGCTGTGTGGAGTAGGCTAATTTTGTGTAGCATGTAATTATGTTTATCTTAATAAAAAAGTGGTTCTAGTGAGAGTCAATGATGACAGTCTACACTTTATTCTTATCAATACGCAATAAATGTTATTTTGGGACTCATTTACACAGGCAACGAAGACTCCTGATGTCATAGTAGAGGCCCATTACAATGGAGATGATGAGATGGTCTCTAAAATGGAGAAAGTCAGTCTCAATGACAAAGGTAAGAAGCTTTTTCTCCACATGTACAATGTTAATTGGAATGTTGGCTTATAAATGAGCTCTAATTTGGATCCATATTTTCTTTTGTAATGTTATAAAATGTACAAAACTATATTTCTCAACTTTAAAAGCTTAGAAATGTCCAGCAATTGTGGTTGAGAAACATTGAACTTAGTTAGAAATTTATTGACAACACACAATGCATCCGGAAAGTATTCATAGCGCTTCACTTTTTCACATTTTTTTTTTTAATGTTACAGCCTTATTCCAAAATGGATTAATTTAATTTATTTCCTCTAAATTCTACACACAATACCCCATAATGACAATGTGGAAAAAAGAGTTTTTGAAATATGATGTCATTACTTTGTGTAAAGCGTTTAACTTTATTTTTTTAAGAACTAAAGTATTGAGCCATGTTTGACTCCGGTTTAAATAAGAAAGAGTTTATTTTTTATCATGTTAAAATTTATTGCGTTAAGTAAAATTATTAAGTCAAAGTAATTAAATTAATGCAAAGTAATAAATTACTTTTCAGGAAAGTGATTAGAAAAGTGATTTAAATACAATTTTAATTATGTAATTAGTAATTAATTACTTTACGTCCCGTGGCAATTTCCTTTTAGTTATTAATAGAACGTACACCAGCTCCACAGTTTAGACAAGTTGCCCCAGGAATCGCTGCTTCTTTAAATGTAAACGTTTCTCTGGAAGAAGAACTCGTAACATGTTTCTCTCTTGACACTTTCTATTACATGACAAGAAAAATGTTGAGTCACTCATTGATGATTGAACAGCCACGAGCTGTAATTTCTTCCCCCCCTCTATCAGGCCCAGATATCTATGTTTGCACATGCCTCCCAAAGACTTCTACATATTAAATCATTAAGCATCCGCAGCTCAAAACATAGCAACAGATTCCAGAGTGTCAGGTTTGTCAGGCGTGTGGCGACTGAAGTGAACGGGTAATGAAAGACATGATTGTGTTGGCAAAATGAATGAGCTATTCACTTCTTTTATTTTTTTTTCCTCCAAAGATCTTGACTCATTGTTACGTCCTCAATTGACCCTTGAAACAGTTGGATTTTGTTTACAAATCATATTAAACTTGTACATTTTGGATAATCATTTCATAATCAAACAATTAATTTGTTGATTTAGTAAATAAGCAGTGCAAAAAAAAAAAAGAGTTATTCCTAAAAACTGCTTCGTACAATAATCAGTGACCACCAAAGATGTGTTCTGTCAATCATGTTTAAATGGCGGACTGAGATTTGTTCAATCATTATGGGCTCTATCTTAACGATCTAGGTGCAAAGTCTAAAGCACATAGCGCAAAAGCATTAAGGCTGTGTCCGAATCCACTTTTGCTATTTTAGGAACGGAAAAATACAGTCTGTGCCAAGGTGCATAGTCTAACAGGGTTGAGCTTATTCTCTTAATGAGTTCTGGGCGGGTTTTGAGTATATTGTGCATTAAACCAATCAGAGTATCATCTATCATTCCCTTTAAGAGTCAGTTGTGTCACACCATAACACATTTGCTATTTACATGGCGACTTTGTAAGTGGAAAAACTGAACGCTTCACTAGCAAGAAAACAGTTAAACAGACCATCTGCAGCGCAGGGATAAAGAACTTTACTTTCTCTTTACTTTATTCTTTACTCTTTTACTTTTGTGGAGGTATGCTGTTCACACCAGACGCGGAACACAAGGATAAATTGCGCTTATCGCGCGTAAATAGCCATGTGAACATTCGCTTCATTCGCGCGTCAAACCACCCCCCGTCATTCGCGCGTCAAACCCCACCGTCATTCGCGCGTCAAACCCCACCGTCATTCGCGCGTCAAACCCCACCGTCATTCGCGCGTCAAACCCCACCGTCATTCGCGCGTCAAACCCCACCGTCATTCGCGCGTCAAACCCCCCCAAACCCCTCCCCCCCCCCGTCATTAGCGCGTCAAACCCCCCCCCCCTCCCCGTCATTAGCGCGTCAAATACGCTTCTGTCGCATGTTAAAGTCTCTTCAGAACAGATGCAGATTTGCGTGATAAGCAGGGCTTCTGTCTGCCCGGTTACTCTAGCTTCGTTGTTAAATTACGAACATGGATTTTATGAAGAAAATAACAATGTTTATGTGCTTTATGAAGGCTGAAAAACAGCGTCAATACGTTTAGGGCCGTGTCGGCATCCACTAGATCCTTTCAGAGGTGCAAACTTAACCTGGATGACGGAGGCTTTCAGCGGTACTTCTGACTAAACTGAGCCCAGTTTGACTAACTTTTTGTCAGTGTCGGCTGCAGGATTTCTTACGGGACACCTACAACAGGCGATACATCCTCACAAGAGCAAGCTCCTGATTGGTTAACGCGACGCGAATGTCTGCTGAAGTTCAGATTATCGAACTCGTACGATTCAAACGCTGCGCCATTCGCACTGCGCAATTCGCATGTATCGTGCCGCAGGATGTCTGTTCGCGTGGTTGCATTGACTTAACATGTAAATCACTCGCTCTTGACGCATGTTTCGCGTCTGGTGTGAACGCAGCATAAGGAAATAGTGGAAACTCACTCCACTGAAGACATCCATTAGCCTACATATTTATTTTTGTTTGTTAAGCACAAAGATTTGTTTCAAAACTTTATCTCTTTTTATAGCCCTTCTCACAACACAGTCTGTTGAACATGCAACGACATCCAACACTCCTGCATCAAGTTCAGAGAGAACTACGCAAAAAAATGGGAAGGTAAGTGTTTTTTTTAAACGAATGTGTAATGTTTTTTCTTTATTTCACTAATGTTTTATACAGTTCATATTGTCAGTCGTTTTCAGGCAATAAAGAGACAGCAGTGCTGTTCATCAGACACAATTTGATGTTGATTCAGTTCAGTTCAATATGATTATCAATGTTAAGGGATAATATCAAGCAGCTCCAACTAGGGTTGTCACGATATTGGAATTCGGTACCAATCGGTACAGAAATTTTTAAATGTTCATTTCCGGCTAACATTTGAGCGCTGTTGAGCACGTTCTGATTTGTCAGTGCTGATTTGTCATTGTGTTCATGTGCTCAACATAAATGACTGTGATTGGCTGTGAAGGTTCACAGAACTCATCAGCTGGTTTGACATACTAGTGATCCGCTGACCAATCAATGCATTAAAACAGGGCTAATAATTAATCTTCAACTGTACATACATTTAAAAACCAACAAACTTTCGAGGATTTAAGATGCTGATGACCATTAAACGAATCAAAACCGTCTGATGAAAAGGCTCCATTCTATTCAATTGAATATTTCTATTGTGTTTTCAGGTTGTATTCATTGTTGAAAAAAAGCACAGCAGGGCAGTATCAGGCTTTCTCAAATTTCTTCCCAACAAGAGATTTGCCATGTTTTCTCCTGTGGATCACCGAGTCCCGAGAGTTAATGTGCCTCTAGCGGACTGCCCTGCAGACTTCACTTCCAGGCCTGGAGACTACGAAAACACACTGTTTATCTGCCGAATTACACAATGGCCAGCAGACAGCAACTTTGCTGAAGGGTGAGCAAATTAATTTTCTTCAAATGAAGAGTTTTACATCATGCATTGGACTTTGTTTAACGGTATCTTTCAATGTTGTTCTTTCTCTGGTTTAAGGCGGCTTGCAAAAACGTTAGGGCAAGCAGGTGAAATAGAGCCAGAAACAGAAGGCATCTTGACTGAATATGGTGTTGATTTCTCGGAGTTTACAGAGGAGGTCTTGAATTGCCTTCCTCAAGATCTACCTTGGAGCATCCCTGCTCATGAGCTGTCTACAAGAAGAGATCTCAGGTAAACTTTTACTCCGTCTCAGCTCTGCTAGGGCCCATATTAGAACAATTAAAGGTGCCAAAGAATGAATAACTGATTAGTAGGGCCAGACGGAATCTGCAGACGTTTTTTGTTATTTCTGCGGAATTTTGGTAAAAATCTGCGGATTTCTACGGAATTATTTTGGCATCATCCAACTGAGTATCATAACTAAAACCTTAATATATTAAATAAAAAGTAATAAATTACTGAATAAAAACTGAATAAATTCAAATTTACTCAAGTAAATAAACAGAATTAATAACGGGCTAAAAATCTGCAGAAATCTACGGAATTCTGAGGAAAATCTGTGGAATTCTGCGCGCGGAGATTCCGTGTGGGCCGACTGATTAGTAAGAGTTTAATACATGGTTGTTTCCTCGTTCTCATGTAAATCCCATAAGTGTAAAATCCAAATGAAAAACAGCCCAATCAGAACAAAACACAGACTTTGACCATCCACACTGAATCATTAATATGCATGCTTCAAGCAGCGTTTGATTGGGCACAATGTTTCTTAAAGAGATTACAACAATGGTATTTTTTCCTCATGTTTATTTATGTAAGTTTGCTTTATACTTACTATGTTTGTGGGACTCTTATTTTGAAAATTAGACATTATAGAGGTCTCTGGTAATGCATACCAGGTAATGTATACACACTAGGGATGTAACGGTATCAGAATTTCACGGTTCGGTAATACCTCGGTATGAATGTCACGGTACGGTATTTATTGAATCATTTACAGGAAAAAACAAAACTTATGAAAATACTCCAAAAAAGTGCCAAAAGTGTCAATGACATACAAATTAGTCATCTATCTGTAAGCTTTGAAACAGGAACTTCAATTTTAATAACAAAAAAATATTAAACCATGTAAAAAAAAATAAAGAGTCAATTTAGTATTGTTGAAAACTCATCACATTCAACATTTAATCACTCACTCACTTAGATAGAGATGGGTTTAAAGGAACATTATCATATAAATATAATCTGGTAAAAGCTGGCATCTCTGGGCATTTACAATGTCCCCTGCAACAGAAAAAAACCCTCTCATTTGGGACTGAGGTTTCTGGGACAAGAGAGATATGACTTGGCCCAGGTTGACAGCAGTGGGTAACGTTGTGCATTGTCTTTCCCCCACTTGAGAGGACAAACCATGAGTAAGATAGAGGTCTCATGTCTGCATCAATCTGAACAGTGTGCTGACAACACTGCTATTCAGTACGCGCGCGACAACACAGCTGATAAGAACTCGCGCGACAACACAGCTGATAAGAACTCGCGCGATAACACAGCTGATAAGAACTCGCGCGACAACACAGCTGATAAGAACTCGCGCGACAACACAGCTGATAAGAACTCGCGCGACAACACAGCTGATAAGAACTCGCGCGATAACACAGCTGATAAGAACTCGCGCGACAACACAGCTGATAAGAACTCGCGCGACAACACAGCTGATAAGAACTCGCGCGACAACACCGCTATTCAGTACGCGCGATAAAAACACCCGCTTTAGAGTTTTCCAGCTCTTTTTCATCCCCGCTTCTAGCAGCACACTCCATTTCCGCATTACTGGATCTGTAGCGACAACAGACCGCAAGGGATGATGGTCAAGCATGGATTGATGGGAATTGTAGTTTTCGCTACCTCCCGTTCGCTTCATTCGCCTGAGCAAATTTTCTCAGAAGACCTATAGTTTTACCGAGTCATGCGACTACGGTAATATCGAAAAAAATTAATATTGCGGTATGACGGTATTTACAATACCGTTACATCCCTAATACACACAGAAAAGTAATAAACAAAAAGTACACTCTAACTAAACACTCAAATGAAACTAACTACACCTTCTAAAATAACAGAAATAAAACTACAAAATCTACACCTACTTCCCTGATTAAGAACAAAAACAGGAGAAAATATTTACATAAAGAAAAGTGTGGTGTCCAACCCCTACTGCCTCATTATGTGTACATTATTCAATATTTACAATATTAACAAACAAACAAATAAACCAAAAAATAATAGGAGGGGGAAACACGGATGGATATACAACAAAGTGTCAAAATTTATACACCAACATGGGAAACAAAATCAACGATAACATCTTAGCAGCAAGAATAGTTTTTTTGTAGCACACCAAACGCACAACACACCAACAAAACTCGCTCTCCCGCCCCACGCCCGTTTTTCCCTTTTTAAAGGACGCCCTAGGTCACTCCATCCAATCCCAGGTCATGTCATCTATGTAACTAGGGCGGGGCCTGCAGATAAAAAAGAGGGAGAGAGAGAGAGAGAGAGAGAGAGAGACAGACAGACACACACACACACAGACAGCCTGCCAACGCAACACCCCCACCCATTAAAGTCAAAAACTGTTTAAACCTTTTATAAAAGTGATTTTTTTGCATAATAAGACCCCTTTAAATAAAATAAATCTTAATAAAGAGAGTAAATCATTCATGTACTATACTGTACATAATTTTAAACATACCATACCATAGTATACTAACAAACAGCGTCTAATATAATATGATGAAGTATGTACAATATATGTGTGTAAATGTCATTTCCTTAACTTGTAAAGTGCTGAACAAGTTCGAAAATGCTCCTGAAAAGCTTATTGAACTCTATGGCACCTTTAATCATTGATGAATCATATGTTATGTCTATGCAAAGTTCATCTTAACTCATGAATTGTTTTAAAATGCTGTATTTTTTAAAGAAAAGAGTGCATATTTACCATCGACCCAGCTACGGCCAGAGATTTGGATGATGCGCTGTCCTGCAAACAGCTCTCAGATGGTAGGTATGCTCCCTTTGACTTGTTCATTGCAATGATGATACAAATACGCACTTTTCATTCTCTCCTCTCCTCATTCAGGCAACTTTGAAGTTGGTGTTCATATAGCTGACGTGAGTTACTTCGTGAAGGAGGGAAACGCCTTGGATGAACTCGCTGGACAGAGAGCCACAAGTGTCTATCTAGTCCAAAAGGTAAACCTCACATTTACACTATGGTTATAGAAGATTTACCAGTCACAATTCACAGTATTAACAAACCATTAACTGACACTATTAGCTTAATAAACTACTTATTAGCTGTTTATTGGTAGTTAGAAGTTTGCTTTAGGTTTTTAGGGATGCAGAATAAGATCGTACTTTATAATTACTAATGAACAGTTAACATCTTAATAATAAGCCAGTAGTTAATAGCATGAATTGTGAAAGTATTAATGAATTCTGTGTCTGTGAAATGTTATGAAGCGGTGAAGCAAGGTTGTAGTGCAGAGGAAATGGTAATTTTAGATGTACCTGGATTAACATCGCTGGAGGCATCTGCTCATAACTGTTTGACGAAATGACGTTTTCTTGGACACGGAGCACTAATTATTCTGGAGTTGAAAGATGATTCGTAATTTGAAGCATGAGTGCTTTGATGCGTCTAGTCATCAACTTGTTTGGAGGAAAATGTACAACAGATATTAATACCTATGCTTAAAAGTATAAACACTATAGACACCAACGAAACAAAAAAACATTGTATATGACAATTTTGGATTGAAAATGCACTTAAGGGCTATTAATAATATTACAGTGAAAGCAATAGGCCTGAATGTAGGACTTATTTTCAGTTTTACTCCATACTATTATATTTAATTAATCTTTATTTCTATAGCTCTTCTTTAAAATGTAGATTGAGTCAAAGCAGCTTAACATGCGAGTTCTAGTAAATTGAAACTGTCAGTCCAGTTTTCAAAGTTGAAGTTCAGTTTAGCTTAGTTCGGTGTGGTTTAATTTTCACTGCTGAAAGTCCAAACACTGAAGAGCAAATCCGTCGATGCGCAGCTCCACAAGTCCCAAACCAACCAAGCAAGCCATTGGCGACAATGTCGTGGAACAAGCTTCACCAATTGACGAAAGTGAAGGAAAAAAAAAACATAGAGAGAAACCAGGCTCAGTTAGGCACGATCATTTCTCTTCTGGCCAAACCTCTTGTGCAGAGCTGCAGTCTAGGCGCCAGAGGCTGAAGAATGCTGGACAACTATCATGAAGAAAGCTGCAGATGTAAGGTTGTACAGGCTGGCCCACAGGATCAATATGGATACCCGTCTGTCACTGGGGTCTTCAGAAATCAGTCTTGTGCTCTCCACTTCTTCATGAACGCCACAGCATCTGCTCGGGATACGGCCTGGTCCACGGTTATGAAGACCTCTAGAAGTCCTCTATTATTGGCATCATTTCTTTGTATTAATTGATCTTTGAGGTCCTCAATGGTTGGCATCATCTCTTTACAGGCCTTGGATCACATCAATGGAATCTGGAAATGGCCTGCAACAATTAGCGTAGCTGCTGTTCATAATGTATTTCAACAAGAAATATTAAATATCAATGCAAAAAAGTAGTTCTAGAAATGAAAACGGCAGTTATAGAAACAAACATGTAAAGTATATTAGCGTTTTTAACAATATCATTTATAATTCCAGTAATTTATGCTAAATTAATTAATTATTTAAACTTCTTTACTGTATATAAAGTCTTTGTGAACCTGAAGCTGCGGAGACTTTTATTTCAGTGTTTTGATGAACTTCCAACTGAAATGGAATATTGAGTAGGGGGCAGGGCTGTCTTTTTGTGCATCATTTACTAATGGGAAACTAACGGTAAGAGGGGCATGGTTGTGAATATTGTGCCACTGCAAACATGCAAACAAATGGTCAGACTTTGATTGAGAATTTTATTTTATTATTTTATTTTGAACATTTTATTTCAGTGTATTGACTAAAAATAATGTACGCTAGGAAAATAAGCATTGTACATTTAGATTTTACCAGACTTTAACAGTCCTCCCTTAAATTTCCTGTTCAGGAATACAGTGATGATCAAACTTCTCCACAACACTTCTCTTCTGGGACACACCACTTCACTTCCACATTTTAAAATTTTTGTTGAGCCGTCTACATGACGCATAATTCTCCAAATTGAATAAAGCTTTTGTCTCCGCATGTAAATTTCGGTTCATATTTGGGTACATACTGTCTGTCTGGAATGTAAATGGATTCCACCGTGTTTTGCAACCTCATTAGTCTGTTATTGCTGCCTCATCCCATCTTTGGGAACACATAAATCTGTTTCCCAGTCTACACACGATAGCTTCACTGATTTATTGTAGACTATTTTGAGCTCGCTTTGTTTACAAAACAAAGAGGTTTCTTGATGAAGTCATGGCAGCAATAATTCTTTAGACAAGTTTGAAAGTTGCAAAGGCGATTAGAGGAAAAAAAAATATCACCCTAAGCTTTGTTTTCATAACCAAATCACCATCCTTATATAAAGTGCCAGATTAAATGATCTCAATGAAAATGTGTTTTTTTTTTTTAAATATCTCTGCTGAAAAATCCAGCTTAAACCAGCCTAGGCTGGTTGGCTGGTTTTAGCTGGTTGACCAGTCTGGTTTTAGAGGGGTTTTGGCCTGGTTTTGGAATTTCAGGCTGGTTTCCAGCCATTTTTTAGCCTGGTCTGAGCTGGTCAGGCTGGAAAATGGCCAGCTAAATCCAGCTAAAACCACCTTGTCCAGCCTGGTTTAAGCTGGACATAGCTGGTTTTGGCTGGACTTCCAGCCTGGCTAGGCTGGTCAAGCTGGTTTTAGCTGGTCATCTCCCAGCCTGACCAGCTGAGACCAGGCTGGAAATGGCTGGAAACCAGCCTGGAAGTGACCAAAACCCCTCTAAAACCAGCCTGGTTGACCAGCTAAAACCAGCCTAGGCTGGTTTAAGCTGTTTTTTTTCAGTAGAGATGAAAGTTGTTTTAATAATGCTTTTAATGTCACTGTAAAAAAGACTGTCAGTAAGTAAAATCTGATTTGGCATTTGCTTGATGAGCTTTTGTGGATCACCTCACTCTTCTGTAGATGCAAAAGAAAAGATCTAGATTTACAGTATTGTGCCCTTTATTATTGGGAATGGAAACCCATAGGATTAGTTTGCAGGACTCTATAAGTTTCTGGCCTTCACTTAAAGTGAGAACAGTTCAAGAGGTTAAAGAATTGGGGAAACCACTTCTGAATAAGTTGTTTAACCTTAAAGACTAAACAGATGACTAGTAAATGGACAAAAAATAAAAATATGACAAATCTCACAAGGTCATTAACCGAATAAATTCAGAGCGAGGAACCAAAAATATTTCCTAAATGGACCAAAATTTTAAAGGCGCTGTATGTTTTTGACTCTTGTAACGTGTAAAAATACCCTAATATGTTTGTGGATGTTTAAGAAACATGCTCAGTGAACATTCTTATTTATCTAAAAAACAGTGCTAAAGTCAGATATTCTGCTTGGAAAATGTCTTTGTTTTGGTCACTTTAACCCGCCCACTGCCAGTTTAGCTTATTATATTTCAGCACCCCAGGTCGCCTTCATGGAAAGCAGCATATTTTATTCATTCAGTCAGGAAGACTCTCAGAGTATGTGTCTGCAACCGAAATGTGACCTCCGGTGGACAGTAGCAGACTTCGAAATAAGACTCAGAGTTTCACATGAGGTTATTAATTAACAAATAATATAAATATTACGAACGTAAACTTTAGGTGAGCAGGTTACATTGTAACCCCATGTCGTAGCAACACACTATGTGACGAGATTTGCTGAATCACTGATATGTGATGGTTTACACTGAGTCACAGTTCTACAGTTCAATTTCAAACTGTTTATTTTATTTTTAAGATCTGAGGTGAACCATCTGCTGCTGCTTTCAGTAGTATGGCAATGAATGTCATGTAAATCGGCATTCACACTCACATTATTAGCATTTAACAATGAATAAAGCACATGATGTGTACCTGAAGTGATCATAGTCAGTTTGTCCTAATGTTCAGCTCTGAGAAACAGAAGCCGTTTCTAAAATATAAATGTTAGGTGTTGGTTAGGACAACTCTTTTTCAGTATGGAAAGTATTCCTTCTGTTGTGTGCCGTTGCTTTTATTTAGAACACGGTTTAAATCAGACTTTAGGCTCAAGTCAGGCACACTGTTATTGATGATGTCAATCTGGCAACCTCCCCTTCCGTTTGTTTTGATCTAGAGTGCAATACCTAGTTCAAACTTGCGTAATGCACCTTGAAGTGATTTTAGTGACAACAAGGTTAGTTAATATTCTACTATTAGCTAAGGAAAGCTGGAAGCAATCAATGTAATTTGGCTGCAAAGTCTCAAAAATAGGAAGCTTGGTTTTAAGATATGTATATTATTTAATGGTGCTATAGAGCAATGTTGATAGAACTAGACTAATGATGAGCTCATACTTTTTTTTTTCAAGTAAGGACTCTAGCTGTTGCTTTTTAACCGGCTGTAGTTTGTATATTAGGCCTACAGGGCAACCACCTACTTCTGCATAACCTTAATTTTTATAGAAGCTACAGATGTGGGACTTAAATGACTGCTTGGTGTTAAATACCGAGTTTGTGATTGACCATGAGAACTAAAAGGGATAATTCAGACAAACATGAATATTGTCATCTTTTGCTCACCCTTGATTTGTTTGGTTTTTTGAACACAAAAGAAGTATTTATTAAATGATGGCGGAACTTTCCTCTCATTATCAAAACCTCCATTTGGCTCAATACTAAATTGTATAACAAATAATTGAAACCACATCAAGCTCCAAACCTGATTGATTGATTGTTTGATTGATTAATTGATTGATTGATGTTTCAAAAACAAATTTCATACAGGTGATCCCCATGTTGCCCCGTCTTCTCTGTGAGGAACTGTGCAGCTTGAATCCTCTGACAGATCGACTGACTTTCTCCGTCATTTGGAAGCTTTCTCCAGAGGGAAAGGTACTGTATATCTGACAACCTCTTAAGGCCCTGGTATACCGCAAACAAAATCATAGAATAAACTGAAATGACAACATTTCCAGCTAAAGCAAAATTATGTTTGTTTTGAGTTAGCTTTGGCAGTTAGCATTTGTCTCTGATTTCTCAATTTGTCAGTGAGCGAAAAGCAGGGCTAAAATCGTGCAGTGTGATGTCAGCGTTAGCAACCTGAGTAAACTGGAGGCTCGAGTAGTGGAGCTGGTGCAGACGAGAGGCAACAATGCATTACTCCACGTCTTTTCTAAACATTTTTCCATTTGATTTTCTGTTTGTGGAAAATAGAAAGCAGTGAAAAGGCTGACAGATGTTCATGAAACTGTTCCTCTCTCACCGCCATTGCATTTAGGGATCCATGCAAGTAGCATGACCTTTATACTCAGCCTTTTCAAGCTACTTTTTGTCTTCAAACGAAGATCGAAAAAGAACTGCTTTTTAAGTATACCAGTGACTTTAAACTCTCAAAGAGAAAAAAGAACTCAAAACATGTCTTTGAGTGCATTTTCTTTAACACAATATCATTATTTGTGATTTACCCTACCATTGAAGTCATAATTATTACCCCCCTGTATATGCCCCCCCTGATTTCTGTTTAATAGAATGATTAAAATATTTTTTAAGAGAAAGATTTAGGCCCATATCCATCTTTTTTTGGACCCCTACCTCTTCCCCTTGGCCTTTAAAAATGAGTGTGAAGATGAAGGGCTTCAAAATTTACCCTTAGAATTGGGACAGCACTACAGCACATGCACACATCATCATATGTCATTGCAATCCCTTGCTTCATATGAGATCAGACGATGGTAACTTCTGTAGTTACTCTAGTTGTGCTATTTTTCGGCTTTTATCTTCAGGACATCACTGAAGGCATATATCATGTTATCATGACAATCTAATGTGGCAATAAGCTCGTAACTGTACTGTGCATTTACACAGTGGCCTTATTCATCTATGTAAACACACCAAAACAACATTAACATTTTACCAGACACTGTAAAAAGCCCATTCACAACCACTAGACTATTTTAACAGGGTATTTAAGTGTCATAGAGTGTAAGAATGTTGTGGGACTGCTGTACAGGAGTAATGATTATGGATTGTAGATGGCCAAAGGATTGTAGATAGCCAAATTTAGCAGTTTTTATTTTAGTTTTTTTTTTTGACTGTAAAACACAAACGCGGTTATGAATGAATTAAAACATATGCTTGTTTGTTGTAATAGTTCGTAATAATGACAACAACAACAAAAAAATACTAATTTGTGGATCTTCTTACCTCCGGGTGCAGCTATACTGCTGTCATAGATGGTGTATTCTGGGAAATTTTTGTACCCGTTGGTTTTGAGTGTGGTCCTGAAAAATTTCAGTTCGAAGCACTATCTACCCCTTCCCCTTAGCCCTACGCCTTTAAGCTAAAGAGAATTGGGACACCCCTATCTCTTCACATGCTAAGGGGAAGGGCTAAAGCCTGGTTTATACTTCTGCGTTAAGTGACCAGCGTAACCATTGGCGCATGCAACGCCCGTAGCTCTGCATTTATACTTCTGCGCGCTGTCTCTGTTGGTCTGCATTAACACTTCCGAAACGCTAGTTGGCAGTGAGGTGTAAATGTTCCTCTGTGTCGAGTTTCTTCGCTGCTGTTTTGTTTTCCTGAACACTTCCGGGATGTACAAGTGGCTCAAACTCGCTCATTTTGAGGCAGGAAGCGGCGGACGTGCAACAACTTTAACTATGAGGTAAACACAAAACTAAACTTTCCATCAGGAGCTCCTTTACGGGACTCCACACTTGTAAACAATCGCTCCATCAGGCTCGCACCATTCACGCGGCTCTCGGTCCCGCCCAGACTCGTCAGCGCTACCAAGCCGACCAATCACAGAGCTTGCGCTACGCGTCGTTGCGACGTGTAGTTACAATTTTTGAGAGGTGCACGTCAGCGAAGGGCTATGCGTCAGCGCCGTAGCATACGCCGGCGTTTGACGCAGAAGTATAAATCAGCCTTAAGGGGTAGAATTGTTATTGGGCCATAATAGAAACGCATTAAATAATGAAAATTAAAATGGTATTTTAAAAATTAAAAAACTGCTTTTATTCTAGCCAAAATAAAACAAATAAGATTTTCTCCAGAAAAAAAAATTATCAAATTTCTTTGCTTTGTTAAACATAATTTGCGATATATTTGAAAAAGAAAAGAAAATACAAATAATTCTGATTTCAACTGTACAGTTTATGATGACCATCTCATCTCAGAGTACTGCTTTTTAATTGTATTGTTTACTTTCTATTCTACAGATATTGAGTGAGTGGTTTGGGCGAACCGTCATCTGTTCCTGCATTAAGTTGAGTTATGATCATGCTCAGAGTATGATTGATGCTCCTGACAAGCACTTTAGTCCTGAAGAACTGCCAGCCTGTTCCCCAAACCACAGCATCATCGAGATACAAGAGGCCGTCCTCAACCTGCACAACATCGCCAAACAGCTCCGAGCTCAGCGCTTTGAGGGTGGCGCTCTCCGACTTGACCAGGTCAGACACACCAGTCTCTCTTTGCTCTGGTCTTTTATGTGGTACCGTGGTACAGTACAGTAGCAGCATCAGCACATTTAGAAATAACCATTTGTTGGCAAAAGCCTCTAAACGGCACTTGCCTTTGACAGCGAAAGCCGATATTTCCCGAGAACCAGTCAGAAGGAGCGAATCGAATGTGTCATGTCACATGTGTCATGTGAATGAATCATATGTTTTCAATGTAGCAGCGCGCTGGTTCGCTGGCTGTTACAAGGAGACTGTTTTAATCTGCATTCGATTTTAAAAGATGGAGTTTGATAAACTGGATGAGCCTGTCCGACTGTCAGTGAATGGCAAACGGAAACGTCCCTTACCCCAAAACTCTGTGCATTATAAAGAAAAGCAAACACAATGTACAAGAAAAAGAGATGAAAAAGGGACCAAGACCTTGAGTTTGGTGAATGAATAAATGACAGTTTCTAAAATGGACTGTGAGGCATCCCCTTTTTGCCCAGTAGGCCTGCCTTGTGTTTTATTTGCTAATTTAAGCTATTTAAAAAAAATTAATATAATGTATAAAACTATACATTAATTCTATCACTTCATAATACCTATACGTCTGATAAGCTTTTTATATTTATGGACATTGCACATATATTGATGTTTCACAATAGCGCTGTTCACACAGGCGAGGACGTTACGGAATTTTTCCAGAAAAGACACATCCATTCCAAGTTCACACATCCATTCCAAAATACCGGTAAATTCTGACATCTTTCCCCACAAATGAGCTTTAAACGGCCGCGCTTGTATTTGTAAACATTTGACTACATTACAAACTCTGTGGATGATCATTATTGTGAACAACTTTGATGAAAACATATGGAGGATCACTTTCCCATGTAGAGATGTTCATAATATGTGTGTGCTGGCGTTCACGGCTGTTTCACGTGCACACGCAAAGCTTGAAGGTAAACAAACAACGGCTTATCATAAGCATCTTATCGATGATTATTTACACAGTTGGCATTAAGATGAACATATAAGCATTATCTGACTAACATCTAGCGCGCTAAATATGTCTGGGAAAATATTCAAAGGCTTTTATTCTCATAAACCGCGCGGACGTGAATGCGTCTGACTGTTCTGATTGGCTAAAGCAGGCGTCTCACGCCAGCACGTTCTAGACGTGCACGCGCTCTTTTCGGCAATCTTCCTTCTGCATTCAAACAGCGCAGCATTCCGGCAAATTACTAGTATTGTTACAACTTCTCTTTCCGGAAAATATCCAGAACGAATTTACCGGTATTTTCAACAAGGACCTGTTCACACATACAACCATTCAGGAAAATTGCCGGTAAATTTCCAGAACGGTCTGTATGTGTTATAGGGGCTAATGTTTTTACACTACATCATTTAAATCTACCAAGCTTAGTTCACAATAGTTACATTGCTCTACTAACATTAAATCTGAAACCCCAAATTTTAGAAATGACAACAGATTGTTAAGATTTAATTGATGTCAGTTTTAATGTTATTAATTAATGCACTTGACAGATTTCATTAATTCATTTTTTCTTTCTGCTCTTTCCCTGGTTTTTACAGTGGAATGAACCGCCACTTGACAGATTTATGCAATTTTAATTTAAGGTGATCTGGGCAATGTGTTTTATGTTTGATAAAATAACTTGTAATCGCTTCTTTAGTGATTTTTTTTAAACTAATTTCACTGTCTTGTCCCAATATGTGGATTTAGAGGTTTTTGCAAAAAAACAAAAAAAAAAAAAAAAAGCTGAAGTGTATTTAGCTCGTTTTGACACAAAATTAAAAACCAAAGAATTGTCTAAAGTGACAATTTTGAAAACAAGGCATTTTATTTACAAGCTAATAGCCTTTTCGTTACATATAAAATGACACCTCTGAACCTAATTATAAGAGCCTGATAGAAAATGCTCATTAACCAAAAAATAAAAAATAAAAAAAAAGATTTTTTTTTTTTTACTTATTTTGACACAGATTTTGGGAAAATGGTTTGACAAAGTTCAAAAAAAAAAAAAACACACTGGGCAAGTTTACTACCATTTCAATTATTTTAGTGGCTGTTTTTGCCCCATTGACTTTTCATATAAAGGCATTTTTTGCCTGCGAAGTTATGACACCATATAATCATAAATTCTTAATTGTTGCTGTTTTTCCCTGTTGGGACGAGGTAAAATGTGTAATTTTTACTGTTGATCATCAGCTGTAGTGCAAAAAAACCTTAGTTTCTCAATTCAGTTCATGTTTATTTCTATAGTGGTTTTATGATTGTGTCAGCAGCTTTACATAGAAATTCTAGTAAATGGAAACTGGGTCAGTCCAGTTTAGTGTGGTTTAATTTTCACTGCTGAAAAGCCAAACACTGAAGAGCAAATCCATCGATTAGCAGCTCCACAAGTCCCAAACTAAGCAAGCCAGTGGCGAAAGCGGCGATCAAACTTCACCAACTGATGAAGTGAAGGAAAAAAAAAAACCTTGAGAGAAACCAGGCTCTGTTGGGCACAACCATTTCCCCTCTGGCCAAACGTCTAGTGCAGAGCTGCAGTCTAGGCGTTGGAACGTTAAAGGCTGGAGAATGCTGAATGTCCAACATGAAGAAGCTAAAGTTGTGAGTAGGTCACCGGTGGGTGTTCAGGCTGGCCCACAGGATCATTGCGCAGACCCATCTGTCACTGTGGTCTTTCAGGAATCAGTCTCATGCTCTCCACTCCTCCATTACCACCACAGCATCAGCTCAGGATACGGCCTGGTCCAGGATTATGGATAACTTGGCATAATTTGTAGGGGCCTCGGAATAAGTATTCTCAGGTGGAAATAGAGAATTAAGAAAATAATTAGTGTAGCTGCTGTTCATAGTGTGTTTAAACGATATGCAAAAATGAAGCGTCTCAGCAAAGTCAGACTTTACAGTAATTAAATCATTTAAAATCAAGACATGATCATATTTTATTTTGGTGAAATAAGCGTAATCTAAGGGCCTTTGCATTTCATGTTAGACACTTCTGATACCAAATGGTCAACTAGAAGTCAAGTTAATATTTGTTGTTCCTAAAATGTGGATGGGTGACAAGACTTTTGAGTTGCATAATGTGAATGAAAAACAAAGTTCTGGTGATTGTGTCCATGATGGAGTGTTTGTGTTATGAGTTAAGAGGAACCGGATTTGAACAACCCTATAGCAGTGCCAAATTATCTAAGTATCAACTAAACGAGTAATACACCCTGAAGGAATCACTACCCAAACAGATCCATCATTGAGACGCAGCAACCAAATGTACTCCTTAATTTCTGAAACATCCTCATAATAACAGGTATTACGTAATGGAAATATCTTTGGTGAAATGAAAAACAGTTCCATTCACAAGTGTGTGCTTATGAAGTCTGGAAGTGTGGTTGAACGCTCCCCTTTTTTTTTGTATTAATTAATTAAATGGCTGTTGTTGTAATTTCATCCTTCTGTGCAGTAGGGGTGTAAGAATACAATAATATTATGGTTCGATACATTCGGTTTTTAAGTTATGGCATAAAAAAACTTAAAATAGATTTGTAAACACCAACAGTTTAAAACACTTTCAAATGAAATGCCTGCTTGGTTAACCGTTACCAGTTTGTTAATATAATTGGACAGCTTTAACAAGTCAGTCCAGTAAAGTATGAGGTGCCTCAAGGATCAGTTTTAGGCTCTTTGCTGTTTACAATATACTGGGAGACATTACGGGATTGGCTTTCACTGCTATGCAGATGATACTCAGTTATATATTTTAACAAAACCTGACGAGACGTCTGAACTGTCTAAGCTAGCAGTGTATTAAATATGTTTAAGACTGGATGACCAACAATTACCTTTTTTTTTATAAATTCAGACAAAGTAGAATTATTACTTATTGGGCCTAAATCTAACCTGGAATTAAAGGCATACAAAGTTAGCATTAGCTCTACTGCAAAAAAAATATCAGTGTTATATTAGACAGCAATTTACCTTTTAGAAATCCTATCTCCAATGTCACAAAAACTGCCTTCTTTCATCTGAGAAATATTGCTAAGTTATGAAGTATGATATCCATCTCAGATGCAGAAAAGCTAGTCCATGCTTTTATGACTTCTAGGCTGGATTACTGTAACACTCCTCTATTAATAAACTTCAGCTAGTGCAAAATACTTTTCTTGCTGGAAAGTAATGCAATTATGATTAAAATGGTATGTTTAAATGTTTCTTGTGCCATAGTCAGTTATGCCCTCTATAAACTGACTTTCAGTTTTTACTCAATGTTGTAGATTTTCCTCAATGCTCTGTGTTTTTAAAGCTGACTTAAACATTTTCTTCTATTGAATTTTTGTTAAACTTTTTTATTTATTTATTTATTTTTTTTAAATTTATATATTTAATATTTTTTCATTTACTTGGTTTTTAAAAAGAAATTCCTTTCATTTATCACCATAAATATAACTGGTAGCTGGCATGTTGTTGAAAAACTGCGCCATGTAATTTTTAAAAAATGATTAAATATTTATTTATTAAGTATTTATTTAGTACTTATTGTATGAATTTTCAATTTAAACTATTAGTCCAGTCATTATTGCTTTTATTACTATAACTATTATTAATATTAATAATAATAATAATAATAATATTGAAAATCTTGAAAGTCTTTGAAGTTTGAAATTAAACTATAGTTCTAAACTCATATCAGTGATTCAGCATCATTTAATAATGTTAAAGAGGTTTTATATCCAATAAATAGATGATAAATCTTACCATTTTACTAGAGTGCAGTGAGTGCACTATTCTGTGCTTCTGAATGACTGTATTTAAAATTCTGTCGTGTTTTGTCTGCTGCAAACAGCCAAATTGCTTATCACCGCAAATCTTGTCATGTAGTGCGTTGTTAGGACTCGGGGTTACAATGTAACCTGCTCACCTAATGTGTCTCATTTCGGAGTCTGTTACTGTCCACTGGAGACCCCCTGTTTTTTTTGATGAAATGATGGCAGTAAATAATATTTTACTAGATATTTTTCAAAACACTTCTATACATCTTAAAGCGACTTTTAACGGCTTAACTGGGTTAATTAGGTTAACTAGGCAGGTTAGGGTACTTAGGCAGGTTATTGTATAACGATGGTTTGTTCTGTAGACTAGCCCTAAAGGGGCTAATAATTTTGTCCTTAAAATGGTATTTAAAATGTAAAACTGTTTTTACTCTAGTCGAAATAAAACAAATAAGACTTTCTTCAGAAGTAAAACTATTGTCAGACATACTGTGAAAATGTCATTGCTCTATTAAACATCATTTGGGAAATATATTAAAAAATAATAATAATCAAAGGGTGGCTAATAATTCTGACTTCACCTGTGTGTGTGTGTTCATGTATGTATATGTATATACACCCCTGCAATTTAATTGTGATTACATTTTTTGAGAGCACTAGTTAAATGCACTAGGTAAATGATTTATTGACTATAGTAGCAATATTTGTCTAATTCAGTTGTTGTCATTTCCTGGTTTCAGCTGAAGCTGTCTTTCACCCTTGATAAGGAGTCCAGCATGCCTCAGGGCTGTTACGTCTATCAGTATCGAGACAGCAATAAGTAAGTATGCATACAATTGCTATCATACCACTCTAACTATGGGTTTTCTGACAAATGCTAACCCCTGAGCAGTGCAAGAGGCCACATATGCTTCATCATCTGTATCTAGCTGTGTTCAGCTCTTTGCTGTTTGTAATTTTTTTTGTTTTGTGCTATTGAAGTGGTCACTCTCTGTCCCTCTATTGCACAACATGTGACTCTGAACACCTTCGTGTTGAGCTTTTGAACAATGAATCTCCTGCCCTCTGTCGTGCAGACTGGTGGAGGAGTTCATGCTGCTGGCGAACATGGCGGTAGGGCATCAGATCTACCGCTCGTACCCAGAACTGGCACTTCTTCGGAGACACCCGCCTCCTCAGACCAAGATGGTGGATGACATGCAGGAGTTTTTTGACCAGATGGGCCTTGACATTGACTTCTCCTCATCTGGAGCACTCCATGTGGGTATTATACACTATTCTAACATTATTAAAACCACATGAATTGTAAGCTGCGACCATATTTTTGTCATATTGTGACGCAGTTCCTTGAGAAACGTAATATTAAATGAGAAAACAGTGGGCGTGGCTTGTTTTTTTTTACTGCGAGCTGATTGGATGTAGTAAAGTAGGCATTTCATTCAGAAAGATCGGGAAAAGAGTTTGGGGAGAGTTAATACAACTTAACAGGCTCCTCCTCCTCACTTAACTCACAGTTGGATGGGTGTGGTTAAGTATGTTAGCCACGCCCAATACCTCACAGACCTAATCTAAGAATTTAACTGAGAAAAAAAAAAGAGGAAGTGCAGATTTTAAATTCTTAATGACGTGCACAGATGAATTGGTCACCACAAAACTAGCAACGCGAGCGAACAAAATCATATGGGTAGTAGGGCTGTGGATAAGATTTCAAAGGGGAGTAATGTGATTGGAGGGCTCTGTGTGTTTGTGTATTAATAATGAATATATTTTGTTATTACAGAGAAGCCTGAATGAAAATCTTGGTGATGACGAGTATACAGCTGCCAGGAAAGAAGTCATCACTCACATGTGCTCCAGGCCAATGCAGGTAAACATGCTGAATTTAACACTGATTCATATTTATCAACACTAACTAGACCTCAAAGAAGACTATTTCTCCATCATTACACACTAGAGAGCTTATTTGCTGTTTACTTGGGTAACTACTTATGCTGAAGTATGAGGAACATACTAATAAATGGTGATGTAACTAAAAAAAATTGTGGTGGTTGATATTCATATGTGATTTTAATGTGCCAAAATGCCTGTTCACAGCCAGAACAATAAAGATAAGTGTATTTAGTGTATTTATACGTGTCTTCACCCGACCCGTGCCCGATCGTCGCTTTAATAATTACATTCTTTGTTTTAGGCATGATGATAGGTCACCGTGGATATTAACAGCAGATTCAGTGAGCTGTAATCTGCTCCTCTCTCATAGTAAAATAATACGTTCATCTTAAACGTTTTTAAATGAGTATTGATTTATAAAAACAATAGTTTCTTTAGACCAGTGGTTCCCAACCTGGGGTCCGCTAAGGGGGGCGCCAGAGTTCATAAGGGGGACGCGGGAGATAAGTATTGAGGTACAAAAAGGCAAAAAATTCTCCACTATTATACAGGGCTGTACAATTAATCGAAAATCCGATTTTGATTTCAAGCGATTATAAAAAAGCATTAATCTAGATAAACGATTATTGCATCATATACCGCCACTTTTCCAGTTGTACACGACCGCGTGCATATGTGTGTGTGCACCACGCACAAGCTGTCAGAAGCATGCGGCCGGTCAGCATTCGCTCTCATTCGCACACTGAGACGAGCAGAGGAGCGCAGACATCTAAAGTCATTAACGTGAGCGCTTTAATGGTCAAATAGGTGTCAAAACGCGGTGTTTAGTGATTATTTATATTAACCCTCATTTGTGTAATAAACAAACGAGTTGAGGATCAAAAGACGTGAAAGAGAAACCATTAATGAGACAGCGAGAAATATTCCTGCTGCCGCCTGTTTTTATGATTAATCAAACAACGAGAAAATCCCTCACTAGTCTTGACTAAAGGACTGCTGTAGCTAAAGTGTTTTTCTTACAGTGAAGATGCTTAAAGCAAAGTTTGTTTAATATTTTTATTCTATTGTATTTATTTCTCATTTCTTTGCAGGGTGGAAATAACTGAATGTATACACTTGAAGTCAGAATTATTAGCCCTCCTGAATATTAGCAACCCTTTTCCTGCCCAATTTCTGTTTCATGGAAAGAAGTTTTTTTTAAACTTATTTCTGAACATAATAGTTTTGATATCTCATTTCTAATTACTCATTTCTTTTATCTTTGCTATGATGACAGTAAATAATATTTTACTAGTAATTTTTAAAATACAAGTAAAAGCTTAATTAGGGTAAATAGACAAGTCATTGTATAACAGTAGTTTCTTCTGCAGACAATCAAAAATATATATTGCTTAAGGGGGCTAATAATATTGACCTTAAATTGGTTTCAAAATATTTAAACCTGCTTTTATTCTAGCTAAAATAAAACAAATAAGCCTAGAAGAAAAAATATTATAGAAAATACTGTTAAAATTCCTTGTTCTGTAAACATAATTTGGGAAATATTTATAAAAAAAAATCTCAGAAGCGCTTATAATTTTGACTTAAACTGGCAATGGTTTTGAATAATCGTGATTACAATTATGACCAAAATAATCGTGATTATGATTTTTCCCAAAATCGAGCAGCCCTACTATTATATATGTATTTTTAAATACCAAAAAAAACACAAAACACATGCTTAAAATTCCAACATAATAGTAAAAATAATTAAAATTAATAACTTTAAATAATTATTTAAATTTTGCTCAAAAATGTGCTTGTCCAACGTGTTGTAAAGGCAAAATCAAAACAAATATGGCAGAGAAACTTAAATGCAGTTATTCTTCAGAGGTGAAGAAAAAGATTAGACAGTATGACAAAGCCTACCTAAATTTTGTTTTTATTGAAGGCCAAGACAAGTTAAAACTGATTAATTTATATTTTCTATACATATTATATATTAATATTACACAAACACACACATACACTATATATATGTATATATACAGTACAAATGTGTGTGCGTGTGTATTTATATGGTGGGGGGGCTCCACTATGGTGGGAACCACTGCTTTAGACAACCTTTTCTCCATTTTCAAATAGGTACAGAAAGTAAAAATAAGACATTTTAGCTTTAACAGATACAGGAACAAGATAACAAAAAGGGTGTCACTTCATCCTAAACGGCAGCTATGTTATGTTTACTTGGCCCTTTTTCTTCGCACTGTGCAAAAACAGAAAAGCATCTACTGTGCTAACATATACATATTGTCGCCTATCCAAGTTTTAAGAAACAACAACTAATAACTTGACTTCTAGTTTATCATTTGGTATCAGAAGTGGCTTCTATGAAAGGCAAAGGCCTCTAGATTATGCTTATTTGACCAAAATAAAATATGATCATGCCGTATGATCATGCTGCGCAATCACGAGAGAGAGTGGGAGAGAGAGCATGGGCGCTCAATCTGTAAAAACCTGCTGATTCAGAACTTTTTAAAAAGCCTGAATCAGTATTGGAGTTACCTTTGCACGCTGGAGAAAGGATGATACAATAGCTGAAGCATTTCTCTTAGACAGGTAATGTTCTGTTTCAAAATTATTTTAGCTTCACGCAAAGCTGATGTAACGTTGGATGTTGTTGTTACAAATGGCTTAAATCTTCACAGAAGTTTTGTTCAGCCACTAAAATCTTCCGATGAAAGATTAATAAGACTATTTTCAGTTTCATGAGGGACCTTTTACAGCATCGATAATGTAGATTTTAATTAGTTTAACAACAAAACACAAGTAAATACTGTTATTCCGCCTAGTGTCTCCCTATATTGTTTACCATGCAACTCTAAATATTCACTCTGAAATAGCATGTGAGTTCGGCTTACACGCCGCCGGACAAGCACTAGTGGCTTGAGGCCCCGTTTACACTAATGCGTTTTCGTTTTAAAGCGCATAAGTTTTGCTATGGTTACACCATCTGTCCACACTACGCCGGAGTTTTCGAGTACCGAAAACGGAGCGTTTTGGAAACGCTGAAGAGGCTGTTTTCATTCTAAAACACTGCTGCTCCGTCTCAGTGTGGATGGGGGAAAACGGAGACATCTGAAAACGGAGGCGGGGCTGCTGACATTCGCCTATTTGATTGGGGCTTTTCCTCAATATTTAGTAGCCTAACGTTACACAGTTCAGTCCTGCATCCTCTTCTTGTAAGTTCAGACTTTGCAAGTTTGATCAAGGCTGCAGTCTCCCCCTCCTCAGTTTGATATGGTAAACAGACTACCGGGTAAATCTTCAAAAGGAAACAGTGTACTTTATAACTTCATTCACATCACCCCGGCTACGTTGTTACACTTTCTCGACAATAAAATGAAAACATGATTTAAGGAACTGCCTATTTTCATTTTGATATTAACAACTTAACAGTCAGCAGAAATGTTGAGGCGTCGTGCTGCATGAGCGTCATCTTCACTGTGTGGATATTTATAACAAAACGGAGCCTATAACAACCGCCTCCTTTCAATTTAAGTGAAAATACGAAACATACCCTCTCTTTTGCTAAATATCAGTTTTAATAATCGATAATGGCCATTATAAAAGTATAACGTACAATAAGTTTATAAATTATAGGAAATGAAGGCAAGCGATCAGTCAATATACAGAATAGGCTACGTGCTTACATTAATCATTAACTTGTCTTTGCGCTCAGCCAAAACACGTTACCTGAGAACAAGTAATAGATTCCAATGACCAAAGTCAGGGAATATGTCGTTAGATACAGACAACAAAATGAATGAAATATCACGTTTAATAAATATAGTGAGATTAGATCCAGCGGGAGATGCTTGATGAGCAGTCAGACGAGCAGAGCTCTCATCTGGGTAGATAGGCTGCAGCGCTTGCCCGAGTGTGTGTGTGTGTGTGGTTACGTGATGTGCGTTTTCATCGTTTTGGTGTGGACGGAGAGCTGTTCAGAAACGCTGGTTGAAACGCTAGTGTGGACGCGGATGGTTTTCATTCTAAAACGCCGTTTTAAAACTAAAACGCACTAGTGTAAACGGGGCCTGAGAGAGGTTTCTTTTGCAGTGCTCGTGTTTAAGGAGGCGTGGCTCTAGACGGCAGGGGAGGGACTGTGATTCAGAGATTTATGCTAAGCTGTTAGCATTGTGGAAGATCACCTACTGCACCTTTAAGTCTTTAAATGTCATCTTAAGCTCAATACTAGCGTCTTACAAAATATCTAGTCAAATAATATTTACTGTCATCATGGCAAAGATGAAAGAAATCAATTATTGGAAATGAGTTATTAAAACTATTATGTTTAGAAATGTGTTAAAAACATAGTCTCTCCTTAAAACAGAAATTAGGGAATAATATACAGGGGGTAGATAATTCTGACTTAAAGTTTAGAGTTCATACAGTGGTGGGTTTTCTTACGCATAGCAGTGAGCTTCAATTGCACCTTCTATTTTTAATTACATTAGCTATTTCTAGGCCCACATGGAATCTGCGCATGCAGAATTACGCAGATTTTTAGCCCATCATTAATTTGATGATTTAGTTGATTCGTTTTTTTTTTATTAATTTCAGTATTATTATTGACTAATATGAAAATGTTCATCTGATTTATGTACAATGCATTTACAATGCAATTACTTTGTACAGTAATATTTTCTGTCTTTTAGTTGATATATTATTTGAGAGATTTACTTTGTTTACCAAATAAAGTGAATTAAATTTGATTTGCATTTTAAGAACTAAAATCATTCCGCAGAAATTCACAGATTTTTACCAAAATTCTCCGCAGAAATAGCAAAAAATGTCCGCAGATTCCGTCTGGCCCTAGCTATTTGTTAGTGCATAAGTCTTATCATTTGTCCAATACTGATTCAAACTATATCTTTCCCAACTAGTGTTATAATTGTAGGCTAAACTCAACCATTTGGTCATTCAGAACTACATTCTTGGTGTGAACAGACCTCAATATTGTGATCTAGGTGGGATTGAAATAAAGCTAAAATGTCTGACTACTACAGATGAAGCAATGGTGACCTCTGCTGAACGTCTGGTGGTCTAACCTGAGATATTTGATGCTGCTCTGTTTAGATGGCGGTGTATTTCTGCGCAGGAGCTCTGAAAGATGAGAAGTTGTTCCGTCATTATGCTCTGAATGTGCCGCTCTACACTCACTTCACTTCACCTATTCGGCGATACGCTGATGTCATCGTGCACCGTTTGCTGGGCGCCTCTCTGAGTGAGTTGCTGTACTGTTGGGTCAGGGGGCATGTGAAGGGTGCTTTGGCCAATGCGTTCTGCTGGATGGTTTTCTTTAGGGTCGCACTCTGAGGATCATCGTGGATGAAAGAATTATTGTTCATTTCCTTATATCCTATTTCCTCCTCCTTTCTTTTTTGTCTTTTCATCATTTCATTTTATAATTTTTCTTTTTTCATGTCTTTCACTATTTTTCATCATTTCATCCATTCTTTCTTTCTTCCTTTCTGTCTTTCTTTCTTTCTGTTTTTCTTCCTTCATTTCATAATTCTTTTTCTTTCTTTTTTTCATCTTTCTTTCATAATTTTTTTATCTTTCTTTTCATCATTTCTTTCTTTTCCTTTTATTTTCTTTTTCTTTCATCATTTCATTTAATATTTTTTTTATTTTTCATCTTTTCATCATTTGATAATTTCTTTTTTTAATCATTTCATTTCTTCATTTTCTTTTTTCTTTCTTTCATCATTTCATAAATTAGTTTTTTCTTTCTCTTCATCTTTCATTTCATTTGATAAATTCTTTCTTTTTCTTTATCTTTCACCATTTTTCATTTTTATAATTTAATTTCTTAATTTCTTTTCCTTCCATCTTTTTTTCTTTCCTTTTATTTCCTTTTTCATCTTTTCATTTTTATATATTTTTTTTACTTTTTCTTTCTTTTTCATCTTTCTTTCACCATTTTTCATCCTTTTCATCTTTTCATTTCGTAATTTTTTTCTTTACATCTTTTTTCTTTCTGTTTTCATCTTTCTTTTCATTGCAAAATTTATTTTTTTCATTTTCACCATGTTTTCATCTTTCTTTTCATTGTTTAATTTCTTAATTTAGTTTCCTTCCTTTTCCTTTCCGTTTATTTTCTTTCATCATTTCCTTTTCCTTCTGTTTTCATCTTTTCATCATTTCATTTCAGTTTCTTTTTTTTATCTTTTTTTCATCTTTTATCTTTCACCATTTTTATCTTTCTTTTCATTTCTTAATTTCCTCCCTTCCTTCGTTTCTTTCTTTTTTCATAATTTCATTTCTTAATTTATTATGAATATATTATGTAATCTTTTCGCCATTTTTCATTGTCAGTATCTTTTTCTTTCACCATTTTCATCTTTCTTTTCATCACATTTTATAATTTCTTTTTCTCTCTTTTTACATCTTGATTTCACCATTATTTCCTCTTTCTTTTTTTAATTTCATATCTTAATTACCTTTTTTTATTTCTCTCTTTTCTTTTGCATATGGTGCATATCATATGTCTCTAATTGATTTTGTCTGGTTACCATCACAGATTGTGGACCCCGTCTCAGCGTCTCAGGAGAGGAAGTGCACCAGCAGGCGTCTCACTGTAATGACAGGAAGACCGCCTCAAAGAGAGTCCAAGAGTTGAGCTCTGAACTTTTCTTTGCTGTTTTTGTGAAGGTATATCCATCATCATCACCAAATCATACTTTTTGTAAACATTTTTGCATTTAACCCATGATGTTTTTCCAAGGAAAAAATCATGCTGGTAAACAAACTGAATCATGTATTTATGACTTTTTATTTACCTAAATTATTTATTTAATTTATTTATTTAAATGTTTTTATTTATTTATTTTTATTTCAATATTATTATTTTACATTTTATTATTATTATTTTTATTTATTATTTATTTAATTGTATAATTTCTTTATTTTAATTTTATTGTTTATTTAAATTGTATTATTTATTTGTTATTGTTTTTATATTTATTATTTATTTTATTTTTTATTTTTATTATTTATTTTATTTTTTATTTTTATTATTTATTCATTTTATATTTATTTTAATTTATTTATTTATTTATTTATTTATTTATTTTTTATTATTTTATTTTATTTCTCTTGTTTTTTATAATATTATTTATTGTTTTATTTATTTATTTTTTTAAATTTTTTTATTTTTTTTGTAGGAGTGTGGTCCTCTGGATTCAGAAGCCATGGTCATGGGAGTTCTGGACCAGTCCTTCGACGTGCTGGTGCTTCGATATGGAGTGCAGAAACGAATTTACTGTAATGTATGTTTCAGAACTTTACATCATCCTTCCTTTAATATGGAAGTTGTAAAATATGCCTTTGAGCTTATGTGATATATTAGAGAATAATTTTAAAAACAAAACCAAGTACTTAACAAAGTAAAATAACAATTGAAATATAATAATTAACATACATTTCATTAAAATATAAATAATAGACTTCACAACTGATAAATAAAAATTATTATGATCATTTAAGTTAAAACTAAACTGTAGCAATATTTTTTTCGCTTGTCTACAGAACAAACCGTTTTATTGTTATACAGTGACTTGCCTAATTACCCTAGTTACGTCTTTAAATGTCACTTTAAGCTGAATACTAATGTTTAAAAAACATCGAGTACATTATTATGTACTGTCATCCTGGCAAAAATAAAAAAAATCAGTTATTAAAACTATTATGTTTAGCTAATAATTCGAACTTCAACTGTAACTTAAGGCTAAATGTCTTGCAATGCAGTGTATTGAAGTTAAGCTGTAGTAATGCATAACACATCCATTAATAAATACAGTTCTGTTTCTCTTCTGCAGTCATTAGAAGGTCTAAAGGAGGTCGAGTTTCGTAAAGTGGGAAAGAAGCCAGAGATGACGCTTGTTTGGGAAACGGATGACCCATCTAAGGACTCCATAAAACAGGTGTGCTACTCTGTTCATCTTTTATCTGTTTTCTGAAATTGTTGTTTTCATCACACATTTCAGTTGTGAACATTGATTTTAAAACATCGGCTGCAAAGACTTACAGGATTATAGTTTATAGTTGGCGTATCCAATCGAGTTTAATCGAGCTTAATCATCTTAATCAGCTTTTTATGTTAACTCTGTAAAGGTAACCGGTTTGCGGCTTGTCACCTCCGCCTATATCTATATTTTTTTTTTCACGTCACCTCATACTTTAGTTTCTCTTAAAATTTTGACCAATCAAATGCTCTCCAGTATGTGACATGCCCCGCCCCCCTCAAAACTCTAATCATTTGCTCTTCATTTGATGCGCTTGAACTCAACCAGAGCTGTGATGAAACAAATTTCTGTTGAGTGTTTTTTAAGGGGTGGTGCTACACTATGCCCCACCCTCTCTTGAGATTACCTCAAATATTGAATTAAAGAAATACAGTTTGTGTCACCACTTGAAAGACCCACAGACAGCTAAATATCAGGATATCCTAGCAATGGTTTAATTTCTGTGCATAATAATGTGTTGTCCTCTTCTGCAGGAGATCTCCATCTTCACCCTGTTGAACGTTCAGCTGAAGGCAGACGGAGCTCCTATGAAATACAGCGCGACGCTCAAGAGACCCTTAGCACCCATGTAAACCCCACCAACACCACTTTACTTCAACCAAACAGATTTGTCAGTAGTTCACACATCTTTTGCACGAACGTACCATGAACTCCGTTTTAATCCCTCTTCTTTGACTTTTAAGATTTTGTTCTCAAGACTTTTCGAAGACGGAAAGAAGTGTTTTTATTTTAAGCTATTTTGCTTTAGCCTCAGGAATTGTGACGTTTTGTTCAGGGATTGTTTTATACATTTTCAGCGTCTCTTTTGAATCTGAAATTCTCCCATATTAAGATGCTACTCTTATTTCATGCTTCGGGTTTTATTTCACACTTTCGCAAATGTGTCCTTTGTAGCTTACAGACATTTTTGTTTTGTTCTGCCTTAACCTGCGGCCTTTGCATTAGAAACGATTGCTTCAGAAATGACATTTCGTTAACTTCAGAAGTTATGTTAATGATTATTTTGTTTTCCCAATGGGAAGCATCGAGCCCTTAACAAAGATACCATTTTTATTAAGTGGTTTTTGAACAGTGCATTATTATCTATGGCCGAGTCGTTGGTTTTGTCGCAAATAGTGGATGTTTTCTTCTTAAAAAGGAACTTTGGGTGAGTTTGTTTTGTTTCTAGATGCTTTTAAATGATCCATTTTGTTTTAGAAATGCTTTTTGCATTGTAAAAATCGATTAGTTACTATACTTAAAGTGAGTAAACCTGTTGCCTTCAAAGTGATAAATTGATTTAAAAAACAAGTGGGTAAGACTTTAGTTTAATGGTTACTATTGCACATTTTGTTGACTAAAAGTTGCGTTGCAACTACATGCCAATTACCACTCATTTGAGTATTAGTAGACTGTCTGCTTAATATCTGCTGATGCTGCTCCTTTAACAGACAGTTAACTGACTATCAGTAACTTTGCAAGTACATGTCAACTTACACTAACTCCAACCCCAACCTAACAGTCTATTTATAATCTATTGAGAATTAGTTGGCATGTACTGTAGTGCAATGTTACTTAAATTCAACAAAATGCATTAAAGCGACCATCAAAACAAAGTGATACTAAAAATAGAGTTATTCCATTAAACTGTTAAGTTGAATGAACTTATTTTTTTATACATGTATGCACAGTTCGTTTACTTGATCATTTTTAAGCCATTTGTTTAACTCATTTAATAAGAAATAAAGTCAACTAATCGCTATTTACAAGTATCTTTGCTTTTTAAAATATCTGGCATATTGATTTACTTTACAGTCACTCCGTTGTAGTGTTGTCACGATACTGGAATTCGATACCAATCAATTTGCCGTTGTGTTGACGTGCTCAACAAAAAAATGACTGTGATTGGGCGTCAAGGTCACCGTTGCTGTTAACTGAGTGTAACCACAGATACAGGGACACTGGAGCGTTTTAAAGCCGCGATTCATCAGCGGATCGCTCGTATGTCAGCTTATAGACAAACCAGCTGATCGACATGACTTTAAAACGCTGCAGTGTCCCTGTATCTGTGGTTACAGTCAGTAAACAGGGATGAGTTTGGTGAACTGATGACCTTCACGGCCAATCACAATCATTTCTGTTGAGCATGTGAACACAATGGTCAATCAGCGCTGTTTAAGAAAGTGCTCAATTGTTAGCGGGAAATTTTAGCACTGATTGGTATCGATTTCCAGTATCGTGACAACCCTACTCCAATTACCCTGAATACATAGGCTTTGAACACTTAAAATTCAAACTACTTATTTAAAATGAGTTGAACCAACACAATTATTAGGTATTTTTTTGGAGGACAAACTTAATTATTTTATGTTCAATCCGCTTAAATTTGTTAACTTAATCGATTTGTGTTGGGATGACATGGAATCGTGTGGACAGAATTTGTTTTACAGGGAAGCTTTTGTAAATACAGACTTTTGGTTTGATCGATTGTGTTTTAAAATGTAATTTATATAATTTGATGCTTTCATTTTTGACCCACTTCCATGTGTGTTTAAGTGATCTGCTAGGATATTGATAACAGTTATAAACGATTGATCTACTGTAACAATCTGTGTCTACTGTATTGTGCCATACTTGGGACCAGTATTAAAACAATAAGACAAAAAAAAAAACACTAGAAAAAGGCAGCTGGTATCAACTTAATGTTAACACTTAGTCATTTCAGTTGAACAATTTGTACAGTAAGCTGTGTCATACACCATAATATCAGTTTAATTTATAAGAGCAGATGTGTAAATTTAAAGCGATAGTTCATCCAAAAATACTTCATTTACTCACCCTCAATTAGTTCCAAACATTTATGAGATAGTTTCCATGGTTTAACACTAAAGAAGATATTTTGAAGAAAGCTGGAAACCTGTAACCATTGACTTTCATACAAATACTATAGAAGTCAATGGTTACAGGTTTCCAGCTTTCTTCAAAATGTCTTCCATTGTGTTGAACAGAAAAAAGAAAAACTAATAGGTCTGAAATGAATAAATGGGTGAAACATTTTTGGGTGAACTGTCCCTGTAAGAGAGTTATGTTGGACAGTTAGGTTAGAACCAATGAATATCAATGTTAATTTATATCTGTTTCTGTCATTAGACACTAGTGTTATCACTGCTTTGTTCAAATTGACGTCATAAAGCCTAAAATCCATGTATTTTTAAATAATGTGTGTAACTGGGAAAAAGGAACATGGCTAATTGTGACATTCTGCAAATTAAAAAAAAAATCTTAACCAAAGTAATAAACCTGTTCATTTTTTGTTATGCCATGTATTTATATAACACATTTACAGTTGAAACCATAAGTTTTCATACACTCTAACAAAAGGAACATAACCATTTAAAAAAAAATGTCTGATGGTAAATCATACTAAACGTTTACTATTTTAGGTTCGTTAGGATTACCTAAATGACTTGCATTTGCTTAATGCCAGAATAATGACAGAATTTTTTTTGTTTGTTTTATTTATAAATTTCTTGACAGTCAAAAGTTTACACACATTTTCTTGAATTTATTCATTTTTTTATTCATATTTTTTTAGCTTTGCTTTTAAACTGTCAAACTTTGGTCAAATATTTTGTGTAACCTTCCACAAGCTTCTCACAATAGTTTGTAATTCAGGAAATCTAACTGAGTCTTACTCGCACAAGCTTTTTCAACTCTGCCCACAAATTTTCTATAGGATTGAGATCAGGGCTTTGTGATGGCCACTCCATAACATTCACTCTGTTGTTTTTAAAGCACATTTTAACTCAATTCTTTAATCATCCACCCGCATAGTTGAGTGGACGGGCTCAAACTAAAATAAAATTTGTATATTTTTCTTGGAAAAATTGTCTTTTTGCCAATTTCGTATAGCCTATTGTTTGTCTCTTTGTTCAAATATTTTTCCTGGTCAGTTATCTTCTAGATAAAATAGAAGAGCCAATAACATTTGAAGTGAAGTGCTTCAAAACCCGCAATATGCTTTAACAATGCCGAACCACTAAGTGAACAGTCAAATAAAATAATAATCTAGGCTAAATTAAAGTGAAATGTTCAGTTTCAGAGAAGCCTAAATTAAACTGTTTACTCATGTTGCGCCGGTGAATTACAATTTAATTCATTTAATCAAATAATTTGAAAGAGCAGGACAGATGTTTACATATTCGCATGTTCACAACAGCACTGAACATTTACCTCGGTAGAACAAACTTGGTTGGAAGTGTGAGACAACTCAGAAACTCGTGAGAATGGAGATGTCTGCTTATTTATGCCAGCCTGTCATGTAAACTTGTTTAAAGTACCTTGAATGGTAGCTGTTCGAGCTGTTCATGCAGCAGCTGGATCTGATCTGTCTGATGAAAGAGACAGGTTCTCCAGCTCAGGCAGTCTCCACCCCCTGCGGGGATCAGTATTTGTCTCATTAGTTTTAGGCCTTTTTTTTCAAATGTCTCAATTGAGTTTAGCTGTTTTAAAGAGCGTTTACTCATTTTACCCTGGTTTTAAGCAATAGCTATCTAATGGTGATTTTTAGGTGTGGAAAAACTGCCAGTAAAACTAAAGCCAAAAGATTTCTTTACCCATCTCCCACCATGCAAGTGCATACACACTTTAAAACACACACCTTTTTTGTTGTCATCCTTTCTTGCTCTGTCAATATATCGTAGTGTATACTGTTCAATAATCATTTTAAATTATGTAATAAAAATTTTTAAAAAGTGGCATTAATTCGCGCCCTCTCATGGTAGGTACGCACAGTGCGTACAGCCGTACGCCTGCAGGCGCCACTGTTTGGGGTCATGGTCTGTTTGGAAGACCCATTTGTGGCCAATTTTTAATTTCCTGGCTGATGTCTTGAGATGTTGCTTGGCATCAACAACATGAAAGCATGGATCCATCCTGCCTTGTATCAACGGTTCAGGCTGGTGGTGGTGTAATGGTGTGCGGGATATTTTCTTGGCACACTTTGGGCTCATTAGTTCCAATTGAGCATTGTGTCAACGCCACAGCCTACCTGATTATTGTTGCTGATCATATCCACTCCTTTATGACCACAGTGTACACATCTTCTGATGGCTAATTCCAGCACGATACGCAGCATATCATAAAGCGTGGATCATCTTAGACTGGTTTCTTGAACATGACAATTAGTTCACTTTACTCAAATGGCCTCCACAGTCATCAGATCTCAATCCAATAGAGTGGAACGGGAGAATCACATCCTGGATGTGCAGCTGACAAATCTGCAGCAACTGCGTGATGCTTGTCATGTCAATATGGAGCAAAATCTCAGGAATATTTCAAGTACCTTGTTGAATCCGTGCCATGAAGGAATAAGGCAGTTCTGAAGGCAAAGGGAAGTCCAACCAGGTACTAGCAAAGTGTCCCTAATAAAGTGGCTGGTGAGTGTATATGTTAATAATCATTCTGAATGATCTTTAAAAATCACCAGCAGCTCAAATAACTGGTTTGTAAGTTTAGCAGTGAAAAGTTCAACACAAACATTAAGCACATTGTGTGTTAATAAATCAATAATACAGCACTTATAGCTGTATAAACCGTTTAGTCATGTATTAATGAGTTAATGCTCATCAAATGATGAACTAACTATTTGCTAATGATTAATAATTCATCGTGTGCAGTTCAGTTATTAAAAAATGTTACCTTTCCTTTTTGAAATTCTACTGATGAACACTTCCGGAAGCAGGGTCGCTGAATAAGTAATAAGGGGGCGGGCACTGATGCACTATTATTAAAATGTAGCCTATGAGAGGCCGCCTTCAGGACCAGTGACTCCGCTAACCGGATGGGGGTCTGCAACTGTACGGTGTGGGATGCTTCATTATCATCACACACACATGCACAAATCAATACTGTGACCGAATGGCATTAAATGTCACGGGGTGCAAATGCGTTTCATTTCGTCCGTTAAACCAACACGGATTGTAAATCACTATCAGTTGTATTCATCATATATAGTGGCAACCCGTGCGCTCTTCAGATCACCTCCGCACTTCAGCGCGGTTTATACCGTTTTTTTTTGTCAGCACAATGAAAGTTACAGTGGATTTTGAGGAATGCCTGAAAGATTCGCCACGTTTCCGGTGAGTCTGACGTTAATATCAGTTCATATGCTGGTTAATGATGTACAAAAGCGGATGGACGGGCTGCGCCTCAGAGCTGGGGGTCTGCATGGTGCCCACCTACAGCACAGCACTGCAGGTACAGGCGGATTAAACATACGATAAAATGTCCGCTTAATCAAGATATGCCATCACAAATGTTTTTACAAGCCGTGGTCTATCACACCTCACCCATTTTCATTTTGGTAACTCCATCAAATGACAGTAGGCTATTCATACAGTGGAGGAGTAGGAGGAGGGCGCCGCGTTTGTCCCATTCACCAACATGAAAACGCTCGATTTCCTCATGATACACCAATATCTAAACTGTTTTTATCACGGAGACGGGTTTTAAAATCTTTTTTCCTAGTCTATAGTGCGTTTTGATGTTGCAGACATTCGTTTGGCGTGTCTGAAAGATGTTATATAATGGCCTTCAAATGTTTATGATGTAGATTATGCGTTAGTCAAACCAGAAAATATTATATAGACACCTTCAAAATGTGCTTTGACCACCACAGTTATTGTACTATAGACTATATTATTTAATAAATAGTAATGAAATATGATGACAAGAATTTCTTGTAGTTATTAGGATACTCTCTGCCATCAGGCAAACCTGAACGTATTATTATATATATTATAACATATAATTTCGATGCAGCAGAATTGTCAGTTACAGCTGATTTTTAGTGCACATTATAAAGCATTTTGGACATGATATGTTCACGGTTAACTTTATTTTTTTAATCCCAGTGTCCAGCACTTAATAGTAAAATAAATGTAAAAAATTATATTTATTTATTTATACGCTGCAGATTTTTAAGGATGCTAATCAGATATTTGTAGATGTTAGTTTAAAAAATCATAAGTTTTAATGGTTTGGACTAAAAATTATTTTTGTGTTGTAAATTTAGTGGTACTAAAAATCTACCAATAGAATGCATTGTAATATTAACTATTTCACCAATTGTTAATATTACAACAAATGGTGAAATAGGTATTTAAGTATTAAGTTATTCTCATCAGAGATTTATAAAAAAATGGGTTATATCTTATATAATTATATTTTTTATATTTTATGGAATTATAAAAGCTTATTTATCATGTTAGGATTTTATAGTGTTTTTATAGTGATGTTTTTTCTGTTCTTGTTGGGTCTGTTGCAACATAATTTCGTTCTGCATTACAATTCTATTGTGATGATTTGAATGACATAAATAAAGGAAACTGAAACTGACTTTACAATTCCTGTTATAACCACACACACAAAAAAAAAAAAATATATATATATATATATATATACATATGCATACATACTGTATACATACATACAAACAGTTGAAGTCAGAATTATTAGCCTTCTGTTGAATTTTTTTCCTTTTTAAATTTTTCCCAAATGATGTTTAACAGAGTAAGGAATTTTTCAGAGTATTTCTGATAATATTTTTTCTTCTGGAGAAAGTCTGATTTGTTTTATTTTGGCTAGAAATTAAAAAAAAAAAACTTCTAAGGTCAAAATTATTAGTCTCTTTCAGCTAATTTGTTTTTCGACTGTCTACAAAACATACCATTGTTATTCAATAACTTGCTTTATTACCCTAACCTGCCTAGTTAACCTAATTAACCTAGTTAAGCCTTTAAATGTCACTTTAAGCTGTATAGAAGTGTCTTCAAAAATATCTAGTCAAATATTATTTACTGTCATTATGGCAAAGATAAAATAAATCAATGAGTTATTAAAACTATTATGTGTATGTGAAATGTGTTGAAAAAAAAAATCTCTCCAGTAAACAGAAATTGGGGAAAAAATAAACATGGGGGCTAATAATTCTGACTTCAACCATATATATATATATATATATATATATATATATATATATATATATATATAAACAGTCAAATAAGTTTTAACCTTTGTCACTTAAAATTACTTTGTTTACTTATTTTTGAGATTTAGAAGCTTGTTTGGGGTGCTGTCCTGGGAGAGAGCCCTGAGCTCATAAGATCCTCAAGCCTGAGGCTCTTTCCCATTTGCAAGGCGAGAGGGGAGTTTGAGCTCAGGTAGATCTGGAGAACTCCTCTGCTGTGGGAGGAACCCGGGGGAAACCCATGTGAGCACAGGGAGAACGTGTAAACTCCACACAGAAACGTCAGCTGGCTTGGTAAGGACTAGAACCAGTGACGTTCTTGCTGTGAGGCAACAGTGCTAACCACTGGGCCACCGTGCCACCCATCTAGGAAAGGAGTAGGGGTGGAAGGGTGGATTCTTTAAAACGAAGATGGCTGTTATATGGAACTCAGGGTATTTATAGTGGCTTGGGAATCTTCTGATTGGTGGATAATAAATTGGATAATGCAGGACCGGCTGTAAGCAATCAAAAGCACGTGATCCTCTTGAAATTAGTTTATAAATAAACTTCTCTTATTGCTTCACTCAGTGAACTGCTAATAATGGAAATTCTGTGATAATTGCTTTTTCTTTGTATATGTCTACATGTTACATATAAAAACATTATTAAAGTAGTTTGAATGAATAATAAACAGAGCCTTCTGTTTGAATTTAAAGAATGAAGCGATTAAATGGCGAAACAAGAGTAAACTGTGTTCAAGTTATATTCAGATGACGGGATTTGATTTCATCGGTTCCAAAGGAATTTAATCTTTGGTTCCATTTGCCTACAATTAAGTTGAAATAGCATCCTTCAATTATGTGTCAAATGTCTGTCTGTATTCATAAGTTCACAGATGATGCTTCAGATAATTTGTGCAATGATATTTTGTAGGGCCACAATAGAGGATGTGGAGGAAGACTTTGGAGAACTGGAGTCAAAACTTGACAAGGTATGATTTTCTCATTGACATACTGGCTTTAAAGTTTGCTTATGTGTTTTTTTTTTACTTTATATATTAGAATTGTTTGCCATAATAGAATAATGGAGGTCACACTTAAAGAAAAAACACAACAGTTTTATTCTTGGGTCTGAACAACAAACAACTAGCACCAACGAAACTCAACTGTGTTGCACCCTCAAGTTGGATTGCATCTAGACCCAAAATCTGTGCGTGAACACACCGAATGGACGAAAGGCGGCTGGAACAAGAGCCACGTTCTAAACGTCTGCAAGATTACGTGTCTTTCCACGGGGGAGCGTATCTGTTTACTTCCAAACTTCTTCCAAACAAAGCAGCATTCAGTACCGTTATCACAGTAATTGTCACTCACCATGGAGGGATTTTCTCATGCAAATAAGTCTGATAATCCAATAATCCATATGGTTTGCAAATATTTGAGAAATATAGCAAAATTATCGTGTTTTGATTTGTTGCAGAATAACCAGTCAGAGCGCTCTAATCTGCAAACGGTCTGACACAGTTTTGACATGTTGAATTGGGCCAATGAAGTCTGAGGGTGCTTTCACATTAGCACTTTTGGTCTGCACCCGGGGTTCGTTTGACGTCATAGTACGGTACGTTTAGCTAGTGTGAACGTGTCTTCTAAACTCGGGTGCGCACCCGTGAACCGTACCCGAGTCCACTCTGAAAGAGGTGGTCTGGGGTACGGTTCATGCGAACTCTGGTACGGTTCACTTCTGATGTGAATGCAATCGTACCAAATCACGGAAGTGAACCACCAACTGTACAACAAACTATCGTTTTCATAACATTCGTTCGTGTTTGTGTGTGTGTGTGTGTGTGTGTGTGTGTGTGTGTGTGTGTGTGTGTGTGTGTGTGTGTGTGTGTGTGTGTGTGTGTGTGTGTGTGTCAGTGTCAGTCAGTCAGTCAGTCACGTTTCGTACCTTGGTGACACGCGCGGGACTGAGCCAGGGCAAACACAGTGATACACAGTGATGTCTGCTTGTCTCCTCCAAAAACAGCTTCTGCAGACACTGTGTGATGTTCTGAATGTTTATAATATGTTTGCGGCAGATAGACGCGAGTCGCTTTCTGTATGTCCAAAATCAGAAGCTTCAGTTAGAGCAGAATGACCGCGATGTGCGGACGTCGTTCCATTTCGGCGCTTGCTTTCTTGACCGTCAACTAGCAACGGCCGTAAACAAAACAGCAGCTCGATGGCGCAAGCGTACCGGGGTTCAGAAGGAAAAAAGACAGTATGAACACAAACCAACTGAGGAGGTGGCAGGGGGAGACAATCGAACTTGGGGATGCGGTGGGGAGGGGTGAGAAGGGTGCGTGACCTATTTGAGGACCGGGAGGGAGACGCACGATTATTGGGAGATTACTTATCACTCGTTTGGGGGCATCCGGGAGTCTCTGTGCATTTGCGGGAGACTTACAAAACTTCCGGGAGACTTGGGATGTCTGGGATGACCTCCTGCCCTACTCATAATTCTCTCTTCATATAGCCGTATGGCTTTTACATATCATAATACACTGCGATATAACCAGGATCGGATCGTATTGCTTTCTCACTACAATCAATCCGCTCCAGAGTTCGTTTCAATCGAGCTGAAACCACCTCATTCAAGTGATCTCGGAGCGATTGTTTTGGCGCGGATCTGAGCGGATTCACATATGCCAAACGAACCGCGCTAACTGGGCAAACAAGACAGGTTCCGAAACAAAAGTCTAGGTGTGAAAGCACCCTGACATTAACCCGAGAAGAGCCCACATGTGGAACACACCAAACCAACTGGCCGAACTTATAGACCGACGAAGCCCAACAACCGGCCGCCAGCTTGATGTGTCCTGGCACTAAGGTGTGATGGGTATCCTCCATCTAGTAGTGTTATTCCTCAAGCACCATCTTGATGGCTAAAAACTCCTGACTGCTGATGTCCAGGACAGAGTGTTGGGCGGGGAGAATGTGAGAGTTGGCAGTATTTCCAAATGAAGTGACAACAGAAGATTGCGAAGCCAATGAATCTCTGGAGTGTCTCTGATGGTGTTGTAAGCAAGTCAGAAACCTTCCTCTAGTCCACTCCTTCAGGGCTGAAGTGCATTTCCAAGTGCTTTTTGCAGTTTTTTGAACTGCAACAGGAAGATTAATGAAACATTAATCAAAGATTTATAGCCTGAGGAACAGACAACGAACAATGAAGACAATGAAGTCTGCCCTTGTTCTAGAAGTAGATGAAGATGTAGGCAGTGATGGAAATACTCCTAGAACATTTGAAACCGGGGGAAGTAAATGCAAGAACTTAGTTTTAAGACTTGTATTGGCAATTTATCAATATTTCCGTTTACACTTACTTTTAGTCATTTAGCAGACACTTTTGTCCAGGAATTCAGCGATTCAACAAGAAGAGTTAATTGATTATTACGCTGGAATGGGAGTATTGACCTTATTCTGAAAGGCAAAGGCCTCTAGATAACGGCTATTTTGCCTAAATAAAATATGATCACGTCTTGACTTGAATGATTTAATTAGGACAGTAAGGTCTGACTTTGCTAAGACAAAAGTCTTGACACTGAACAGAAATAATGTACAGTCTAGCATATAAAATCATGGTGCAGTGGAAAAAGATGACTCTTATGAGCTTGGAGGACTGCATCCAAACATCTCTGCAATGACTCAAATCACTTATTAATAAAGTCATCTGGCATGGCACAGAAAGCGTTCTTGCAGGACTCCCAGAGTTCATCAAGATCCTTTGGATTCATCTTCAATGCCTCCTCCTTCATCTTACCCCAGACATGCACAATAACATTCATGTCTGGTGACTGGGCTGGCCAATCCTGGAGCACCTTGACCTTCTTTGCTTTCAGGAACTTTGATGTGGAGGCTGAGCTATGAGAAGGAGGGCTACTGTACTGTTACTGTACATTCAGAGGTTTATTCATGTTTATGTTGTACATAGTAACAAACAGCAACATTGAATTCTGACATCAGATCGGTAACTTCACTTCCTTCCATTTGCTCACGTCTCGTCCATTGATTTATGTTATTGCATCTTGGCGTGAGAAATGCAAGGTATGGCTTGTGAGCATGGGAAGTGGTTGAAATCCATGCATCTTAATGTGAATGCATGTGATTTGAGAGCCCGGGAGTTTAGTTTCTAGCTATATCAACCTTGAAAATAGCTCCCCTTGAGTTAAATAGTTGATTTTTATAAATTTTTCAACCATTCAGCTGATCTCCGGGTCTGGCGAGAACACTTTTAGCTTAGCTTAGCATAATTCATTGAATCAGATTAGACTGTTAGCTCAAAAATGTACTTATTTAAAGCTTGATCCTTCTGCAGATGCAGATGTGTACTATTTTCTAGACCAGGGGTGTCCAAACTTTTTGGGCCGAGGGCCAGATGCAAAAAAAAAAAAAAAAAAAAAAAAAAACCTTTGTCCCGGGCCAAATTTTACATACATCACACAGACACGAATATATATATATATATATTAGGGGTGTCACGATTTTGATTTTTAATCGAAATCGATCGAAATTTATGCTCAATTTCGATTATCGAATCAAAAAGTAGAATCGTCGATACTGCCATGCCCCCATGTCACGTTAGCTTGGCTTGCCAAGCGGGAAAAAAACAGGCTTGTTGAAGTGCTTGTTAAACTGCAGAAGCAGGAGACCCGTCGACAGAACTTAAACCCTCTCCTCTTCCAATGAAGTCGCCGGTGTCTAAGCATTTTGGATTTCCAGTGAGTTATGTTGACAACGTACGTGTTGTCGACAAAAAAAACACAGTTTTGCAAGCTCTGCTATGTACGTTTTACGTACGGTTCGTCCGATAGACAACACCGGCATCGCGATCCTCCGCCCGCCCCCGTTGCAAATCCGCTCGCGAAAAGTACACACTCAGGCCCTGTTTACACTGTCTTTGTTTTTAAATGGCATTTTAGAACGACAACGATTTGACATCCACAGTGGCGTGTAGCATTTCTGAGCAGCCCTCCTTCCTCTCTACCTCTGAAAATGCACATCACGTGACCACACAGACACAGACGCACACACAGCCAATATGAGCTCGAGACAGCAGGTCCAGGCAGTCAGAGGACTGCTTCAATCTTTCACTCACTTGTACTTAATCATTTTAGCTAACACCTCAGATACTGTTGGCTGGTTCCTGTTGGTTGTGCGTCTTTTTACCGACGCCATTGTAACGACACAGATCACTGCCTATTGACGAGTCCCGCAGAAAAAGTGATTGACAGGTGGTAATTATGTGTGTATCTTGCCTTTATTCATTTACTGTATGATTTGTTTATGGGTAAAACAAAGACCATGCAGGTCAGGTAGATTAAACGGTAGGCTACAAATAATTAATTGGTCATTAATTAATTAATTATTCATAATCGAGAATCGAATCGTGACTTTAGAATCGAAAATGTAATCGAATCGAGGATTTGGAGGATCGTGACACCCTTAATATATATATATATATATATATATATATATATATATATATATATATATATATATATATATATATATATATATATATATATATATGTGTGTGTGTGTGTGTGTGTGTGTGTGTATTGTGGATTTATTTTAATTTGTCTTCCAACTGTCTTTCAAAAAAGTCTTACGTTTTTAAAATCTAGAATCTTCTCTGGGCAAATTACAGTTGCAACACTCATCAGACACTATTATATAAAATCTCCTTCAGTGAATTCTTTCTTGAACTTTATTAGCACAAAAAAACTGCTGTTGTTGAGCTGATAGGGCAGCTGCTAATTGTTTTAATTTTTGATCTCGTTCGGCACCAGCGTAAAAGCTGAAGGTCTGATGTTTTTATTCATAACGTCTTTTAATATTAACGTATATTCCTTCATTACTGCAACTGATTCCTGGCAAATTAAACAGACACATTCCACTGACCTCTGTGAAGAAATGTTCTTTGCCCCAACGTGACTGAAATTTCCTGCTCTCACTGTTGATTTTCCTTTTTTTTTTTGGTTGTGCCATGGCTCGCCAAAACGTGATTATGAATTATGTTTCTTTCAGTTTGTTCGGCTCGTTTTACTTCATAACAGAAACTGCTGCCTAATTGAAGACATCTCATAGTGACACCCTGTGGTTATTTATGGAATTGCATTCATTTTTGTATAGCGGGCCAGATTCTATTATTATTTATAAAAAGCCTAGCTGGCCGCCACAAAACTGATTGCGGGCCGCAGATGGCCCGTGGGCCGTAGTTTGGACACCCCTGTTCTAGACTGATATGGCTAGAAACTATACTCTCATTCTGGCATAATAATCAAGGAGTGATTAGCTGCAGTAGACACAACCAAATTACACAGTGCGATTACCTTGTTATCTAGCTGGGGTATATTTTCATGCGCTGCGAATATAGTTCCTAGCTATATCAGTCTATAAAATAGTAAAAAAAAATTCAGTCTGTCTAAGTAACAACAGAAGGGTCAAACTTTAAATAGGAAAATTACCGAAAACTCTTTGGTCATTTTTAAATAATGCAGATGCTAATGGTCTACTCCGATTCAGTGATCTATGCTAAGCTATGCTAACCCTAATCTTTAAAATCTGATGTGTTGTCTCATGTTTGAAATCACAATATATTGACTGATTATGTTTTTTTTTCAGCTGGTGAAGTTGTGTATTGGGATGATAGACGCCGGAAGAGTTTATAATCAGGCCAACAAGCAATTTGTGAATGGAATCCGAGATCTAGCTTTACAGTCAACCAGAGACGAAGTCATCGGGGTAAGAGAGACAGCGCTTTTTGCTTTCTGTTTCTCGAAAGCTTTCAGTATTTCTGCTTCTGTGTTTGTCTGATTTTGTGCTGCTTAATAATTCTTTTTTTTCCCCTCTCTCGCTATTTAGTCCAGTTTAGCAGCATTTTCTGAGACTCTGCAGGAGATGAACAACTATCATACAGTAAGACATCAGAAAGTATTAGATATTTGTATGTGTATTTTGTGACAAAACCTCCTGTTTAAAATATCTGTTCATGGCATGCGGTTAGATAATCTTGGGAGTCAAAATTGATCACATCTGACATAGACAGTTTAAGTCAGAATTATTAGCCCTCCTGAATTATTCCCATTCTGAAAACATAGCCCTATATACGTTTCTGGGGATTGAGAATTATGTAGCCAGAGGCTTGTATGGCTGCATTTCATCTTTAAAATGAACGCTACGGGGCGGTATGATGCAGTTTCTTTTCACGCTTACCAGATGAACGCTTACCACCATATGGATGGCTTTCCCGCTGTTACTAGTTTGTACAGTAGCTATCCATGTACATTAACGGACTTGAGACGCAGAGTTGACCACAATGACAGGGTTTGAGTCTGGTTCCAGAAAGGACGGTTTTAGTAAGACAAAAACAGAATCCTAAATATTAAATAAATAAGTAAATAACAGGGTGAGAATGTGGTAAGGTCTGAAAATGTGATTAAAAAAATAGGCGAGGGTTTTGCTTTTTCTGGACTGCTTTTTAAAACTGTCGGTGGGGTTTAGGGAAATTAGTGGGCTGGTCAATCAGTGCTTTTGAAAACACTATTGGTTGGGTTTAGGGAAGAGGGAGGGTGTGAGCATCGGTCAGTTGGTCAGTCAGTAAATCAGTCAGTCGAGAGCAGCCTCTGGTGGATATACAAGTGAACAGCACGCGAGAGAAATTTGAGATCTAAAAAAGCGCGCACAGCGACCTCTTGTGGATTCGCGAACACAAAAACTGCAAATAAAACGTAGCTCCTGGGACGTATTTGGTGTTTTCCAGAAATGTATATAGAGGTACATTTCAGAATGAGCCTGGGTTGAAATTATTAGCCCCTCTGCATCTTTTTGTCCCCAATTTTTGTTTAACAAAAAAAAAATTACACATTTCTAAGCATAATAATATTAATAACTCATTTCTAAAAACTGATTTATTTTATCTTTGCCATGATGACAGCACATTTGACTAGATATTTTTCAAGATACTAGTATTCAGCTTAAAATGCAATTTAAAGCTTTAACTATGTTAATTAGGCAAGTTATGGTAATTTGGCAAGTCATTGTATAACGATAGCTTGATCGGTATTCTGATAAAATTGCAAAAAAAAAAAAATTCTTATGTGATCTAATAATATTGACCTTAAAATGTTTTTTAAAAAATTAAAACTGCTTTTATTGTAGCTGAAATAAAACAAATAAGACTTTCTCCAGAAGAAAAAAAAAATATTGGAAATACTGTGAAAAATACCTTAATCTGTTAAACTTCATTTGAAAAATATTTTGAAAAGAAAAATAAACTATTAAAGTGTAATAAAATGACTTCAACTGTACACTTGTGCAAGCACCTGCAATCCTAGAAGACAAGGAAAACTAATTCTAACCCCAAATCCTTTCTCTGTTTGTGATCTGATTATCTGAATCCCAGAAGTTTTTAATCTAATGATCCAGTAGGTGAAAGCATTTAAACGAACAATTTAAACCAGCGGTAATGTAAAGTAATTTGCGCTGATTTCTTTAGAGATACCAGAGAGAACATTTGCAGCCAGTTTTTAGTAAATAATTCAATCTAACGTGTTTGGTTTAAAAACACACAAGCCCTCACGCAGCATGCTGTGTGAAAACAGACTGGCCGCTCTATGGTAAAATAAGATACACACCAAAACCTAACTTGTATAAAAACCTATAAAACTTTAACTCTGCTGCTTTTTTTCTTCATTCGTAGGCGTCTACTAAATAAATATATAGAGGTATAAAAATGAAGAAGTGTAAAAACAATTTTATAAAATACTGTTTTCTATTTTTCCTTTAGATTTTATTCGATCAAGCTCAGAGGTCCATCAGGTCCCAGCTTCAGACTTTTGTGAAGGAGTAAGTGTTTCGTTTTTTTAATTCTCTTTTTTTTTTTTTTTGTTTAATGAAAGAGTTTTTTAGGTCATCTCCAAACTTTTATTTGCAGAGACTTGAGAAAGTTTAAAGATGCCAAGAAGCAGTTTGATAAGGTGAGCGAAGAGAAGGAGGTGGCGCTGGTAAAAAATGCTCAGGTGCCTCGTAATAAACTACACGAGGTCGAAGAGGCCACCAACATCCTGACCACAACACAGAAGTTCTTCCGTAACATCGCCCTGGACTACGTGCTGCAGGTTTGTCAAGTAACCTTTGTAGCAACACTCCACTTTATTAACAGTTAAACAGTTGAGTTTTTTAATCTCATTTTTTAATCCACTCAGCCGATCTCCGGGTCTAACAGAAGCACTTTTAGCTTAGCTTAGCATAATTCATTGAATCGGATTAGACCATTAGCATCTCACTCAAAAATGACGCAAGAGTTTATATAATTTTCCTTTTTACAACTCCACTAGAGTTAAACAGATAAGTTTTACCATTTTTCAAACCACTCAGCTGATCTCCGGGTCTGCTAGTAGCACTGTTAGCTTAGCTTAGCATAGATCATTGAATCGGATTGGACCAGTAGCATCTCACTCAAAAATGACCAAAGAGTTTAGATAATTTCCCATTTATAACTCTACTGGAGTTAAACAGTTGAGTTTTACCATTTTTTTAAAATCCACTCAGCAGATCTCCGGGTCTAACAGAAGCGCTTTTATCTTAGCATAGCATAATACATTGAATCGCATTAGACCATTAGCATCTCACTCAAAAATAACCCAAGAGTTTATATAATTTTCCTATTTACAGCTCCGCTAGAGTTAAAAATTTGAGTTTTACCATTTTTGAATCCACTCAGCTAAACTCTGGTTTTGGCAGGAACACTTTTAGCCTAGCTTAGCATAATTCATTGAATCAGATTAGACCATTAGCATTTCAAAAGTTGCAATTGCAAAATTGCAATTGCAAAAAAAAAAAAGAAAAGAAAATTCAATGCTTATCCTATTTAAAGCTTGATCCTTCTGTTACATCACGCACTAAGACTGAGGGGAAAATGAAAATGTACTATTTTATAGACTGATATAGCTAAGAACTACACTCGCAGCGCATGAAAATATTCCCCAGCTAGGTAACTATGTAACCATACTGCATATATTATTGTGTCTGCTGCAGCCAATCATTCCTTGATTATTACTCCACAATGATAGTATAGTTTCTAGTCATATCAGTCTAGAAAATAGTACAAAATGTAACTGCAGATGAGTTAAGCTTTAAATAAGACATTTTTTTGAGCTAACGGTCTAATCAAATTCAATGATTTATGCTAAGCTAAGCTAACAGTGCTCTCGCCAGACACGGAAATGGGCTGTATAGTTAAAAATAAAAATTTAAATCGACTATTTAACTCTAGGGGAGCTTTAAAATTCACCTTTTTTCCCAAACAAAAGTTGTGCTTTCCTTTAAATAAAGGATTTTATTTTATAATAGTGCGGTCTGTTTATTTAAGTGTTTTTAACTTAACTAAGTTCCTAGCCTTAACAACCTAGAAAATATCAACTTTTTAGTACAGGATGTAATTACAGAAGAGTCAGTTTTTAAATAGGAAAACTATCAAAACTCTTTTTGAACATTATAGAGTGAGATGCCACTGGTCTAATCGGATTTAATGATTAGAGCTAAGCTAAAAGTCTTTCTGCCAGACCCGGAGATCTCCCTAATCAATTAAAAAATGAATTTAAAGTTTATATTGCCTGCCTTTTTGCTTATCATGACTTTATGGGACTTGTTTGCCTCTGTTCTCAATATAAAATCTTTGATATTCAAAATGTTGGCGAAGTCATTTTACTTCATGATTCAATTTGTCATGAACAGTTAATTCATTTGAGTCAATCTTGAAGTAATCTTTTTGGTCCCACTTCATATTAAGTTCCCTTAACTACTATGTACTTACATCAAAAAAATAAATACAATGTACTTACTGTGTCTATAATGTATTTGAGAACACTTGTGGTGCTTTTGAGTTGGGATAGAGGTTGGGTTATGGAAAGATTTGGTGGTATGGGTAGGTTTATGGGTGGGTTAAGGTGTAAGGGATGGTCAACAGTGTATTTACAAATGTAATAACAAAAATTAATTACAGATGTAAATACATATATGTATTTAATCAAGCATAAGTACACAGTAAATACATGTATTTACACAATAAGTACATTGTAACAAACTATTAGTTCCTGTGTAAATACATATTAGTTAAGGCCACTTAATATAAAGTAGGACCATCTTTTTTTCTGGAAAGCAAATGTCAGGGCTTCGAGAAATTTGCTTTGCTACTTTCCTCCCCGCTCTCTCTTTATTTATTTGTCACACAGCCTGAAATAAAATCATATCTTTTTCCAGCTTTTGAAATGTATTTGTAGCCTCTTCTCCTAACCTGTGCCTTTCAACAACGTTATCCCGAAGGTCTTCTCAAAGCAGGGTGTATTGTGATTTTCACAGGGTATGATGATTTTCTATCAGCACTGTATATTAAATATCTATAAACATTTTCTTTCTTTTTCAGATAAATGTCCTTCAGTCAAAGAGAAGATTGGAAATCCTCAAATCTGTAAGATTTGGAAGACCTGCAATCAAATCAAATCAAAGTTCAAATATGTGTGCTGTCGTGTTTTAATTTCAGATGTTAAGAGTCCTTATTATTAAATTGTTAATTATTATTACTCCTTATATCCTGTCTTAGATGCTGGCCTATATGAATGCCAACCTCACCTTTTTCAATCAAGGACATGATTTGTTTAGCCAGCTCCAGCCATTAATGAAGCAGCTCAGTGGTCAGGTACTGTACAAGCACTGCTGGATGAATTAAAACCTTAAATATAATTTAAAAAAATGTAATTAATGTAAGTAATGCATTTTAACAAATATATAACCTGTAATATAAATTTGACGAGTGTTCAGATGTGAAGCTCATTGTGTTGGGGTTTGTTTTGTCAGCTGGATCAGCTGGTGGTGGATTCAGCAAAGGAGAAAAGAGACATGGAGCAAAAACACTCGTCTATCCAACAGAAGGTAAATTCAATTCGTTCAAGTCATGTTTTTGTCCTGGGAATAATTTTTCTATGGGAGCTGTTGACATGGACTTCAACCAGATTTTGGTAAAAACCAAAATAATACATATGTGTATTAACAATGTAATGACACAAGGAAAAAAACATATTTTAAATAAAAATACTAATAATTTAAAAAAATAAAAGGCTTATTTGGTGATGATAGCTTAAAGACGCCTCTCATATGGAGAATAAATTCACATGCATTGCTCATGTCTGAGCTTTTCAAAGGCTTCCAAGAGTGTAAAAGAAATCTTCTCATCTTTTGAATCTGATCTTTATTTTGTATTTTCTAGTGGGTTCAGCTCAGGTGATTGGCTGGGCCATTCTACAGCTTGATTTTCTTTCTCTGAAAACATTTGAGAGTTTCCCTGGCTGTGTTTTAGATCGTTGTCTTGATGAAATGTCCACCCTGGATTCATCTCCATCATCCTGCTCATGTAGATGTTGGGCTGAAGCAGCTGATATTCATTTACACTGTCGAAGGGCAGAGGGTTGCTGAAGAACTACTGAGAGATTTCAGCTGCTGTCTGGGCTTTCACTGCCTTTCTAAACCTCCCTTTCTTCATGTGTTTGATACTTTTTCCCTGTGTCATTTCATTTTATTATGCATAACTTCATTTAGAAACTAATTAGATTTGGTTTCTTTGCATATATGGATTTCTTTTGTTGTTATCAACATCTAGTGAAAATTTTAAGTCAACAGCACCTTTAGAAATATGAACATATGTAAGAAACATATGTTTTCTGGAGTATAATATTCCCTGCTGTACTTTGAGTTTTCTCCTGTGTCTTTCTCTAATTCCTGTTTGTTTGGCTTTTTTCCCCTTTCAGGCTGCTTTGCAGGTACAGCATCCACCTCTTTCTCTCTTACATGATCACAGACAATGTTTTTGGTTACAGTATAGCTTACTTAAAAATTGAAAAAAATCTAAGAAGTTGTGTTCTGCATTCTGAAAATTTACGCCTTTTTTAGGATCATTTAAGGTTTTTGCATTGTGAAGGTATTTTGATTATTTTACGGGTCTTTTGCACACTGAAATTAGAAAATTTTAACCCAAGCTCATTCTGGAAACGTAGCCCTGCTGACGTTTCTGGAGACCACGAAATATGTCCCGAGAAGTACGTATTTGTGCAGTTTTTGCAAATCCGCCTACACTGTTCTCACGTGAAAAGCCACCGGAGGCCACTGTCAAACGACCGTCTGTCCGACTGACTGAATGAATGACTGACCGATTGACTGGGTGGCCGACCAATTGGCCGACCCGGCCACCCTCCTCCTCCTCCTTCTTCCCTAAACCCAAGCGACGATTTACAAAAGCCGTGCAGAAAAAGAAAAGCCCTTGTCCAATTTTGACCACGTTTTCGGATTTCACAGCATTCTCGCCCCGTTACGAACTTGTTCGCGTTATTTTTTTAATTCTGTTTTTTGTCTTACCTGATTTCTGGAACCGCTCTTCCCCGGACTCGAACCTGGTCATCGAACGCAGCCGGCTCCTCCTCCTCAGGGCCTCTGATCCGCCGGCATAACACGACGAGCTAACCGGACAAACTGGTTGAGGCAGGAAAGTGCAGCCATACATACCTCCGGCCACGTAAATCACAGTCTCCAGAAACGTCTGCGGGGCTATGTTTTCACAATGAGCCTGTGTTGGAAAATTTTGTATGTGTTTTTCCCGAAAAAATTCATCACACACACAAATCTTGCACACCGATTCAGATGCGTATTAATAAATTTGTTGGGAAATAATTCACGTAACAATACAATTGTTACAGGGTTTGCGATGATTGTGTTCTCCCTGCTTCACGTAAGAAAAAGAAAGAGGAAACATTTGGTTCATCCTATCCTTAGATGAGGTAGTAGAGTTTATTGAGGTAAAGTTGATATTATTTTCACACATTCATTCAGTGATATGCTCCCTATATGGTCTACCATGGTACTTTGAATATTCGTTCTTAAATCGCTACTTTAAAACAACATTAGCACTATTTAACTGGCAGTAAACAATGTTGTTTTTTCTTACAATGTTTTATGTTAGATTTAGGTCGCCAGCATCTTAAAGACAACTTTATTATGACATCCGTTGATATTTAGTTGGTTTTAGGTTGTGTTGGAAAGTGACAAAATTCAGTGTCAAGTCAACATCTTAAACCAACATCATCATATTGACGTCAAATACTGACATTTATTCGTCAGATATGGCGATCAAAATCCAACATCTGATGTAGCATCAGTAGATGTTGATATTTGGTTGTTTTTAGGTTGCTTTGAAAAGTAACCAAAATGCAACGTCTGTCCGACGTTGTACATTGACGTTGGGTTTTGACGTCAACCCGATTTTCATTTCCAAACAAAATGCAACGTCCCATGACATTGGGGTACAACATCAGTCTGATGTCATGTGATGTCCTGTGCCTGCTGGGTTATATTATTAAGTAGAAAGTCTGACTGTGTTAATTTAAAACCAACTTTTCCTCTATGGAGAGTTTTATTTCCTAATCAAAGAGCTGTGGGATTATCCTGATTCAAAGTTTACTTCAGGATGTCAGTGTGCTAGCGATACTGGAACCACATATTAAAAAGAAGATCACCAATTTCCTGAACAGAGATTGGCAGGATGTCTAAAGGCCCCTGCACTCACGCTTTTTGCTCGTGTTTTCCGTGTACGTTTAACGCCTCGTGATTAAATAAAAAGTGCCAATGTGATCATGCACACCGTCGCGCAAACCGTCAGGCGTAAAAGCGTCATTTAAAAAAAAAAAAAAGTTAGTTCTTCATGCCTGTTTGAAACCTACAGGTAAGTGTGTTGGAGCAGGGTTGAAACTAAACTGTGCTGGGCTGCAGCCGTCCTGGAGTTGAGTTTGACATCCCTGGTCTAAGTTATGTAGACATGGAAATCAAACATGATCTAACGAGGAAATGTAACTGTTTAACGTTGTTTCAGTGGCTAAATTGTACGAATTCAGTTGGGCGAAAATGTACGATTTAAAAACGGAGGTGTGGCACCCAACCCAACCCCGCCCCTAAACCCGACCGTCATTGGGGGATAAGTAAACCGTACTAAATTGTACGAATGAGAGCATTTGATTTTATATGGATTAGCCACTAAATCAAAAAGTTACGAATTACTGTTAGATCGCTTTAAACAGACACACATGCGGACAGACACACACCAAACCATGCTGACAAACTAGCATACGATAAACCACAGAACATTTGTATTAAATTAACGTTAGTTTCTTCAACAGCATTTTGGCCTTTCGCTTGTTCGGCGACCATGAATTGCCAAAACACCTCTTAAAATGCCTTTGTGGGTTGTGAAAAACAGAAAAAAAACGAACCCGAAACGATTTTTTTTTTTAAATGATGAACAAAAGTTTCAGAGGCAGTGTGTCAACATGATTGACACAACGTGAGGTCGAATTTATTTTTAACGTGTGAAAGTTACGTGCGAAATTTTCTGATTCAGTGTGCAATAACAACTGTTAGGGTCATTTATACATCACTGGTGTTGGTTTTATTGCATTTATAATCAAACTTGCAGTTTCAATCAAAATCTGACAGATCTTACAAATCTTAAAGAATAAGTTCATCAAAAAATAAAAAAATACTGTTATTAATTACTCACTGTCATGTGGTTCCAATCCCTTGACACCCTCATTTATCTTCAGAACACAGATAAAGATAATTTAGATAAAATCCACGAGCTCTCTCATTTTATAGACAGGAAAGGACCTGAATTCTACTTTTATTTTGGTGTGCAAAAGTGTTCTTGGAGCTTCGAATGATTACAGTTAAAGTCACAAAGAATGCTTTTGGCAACATTTTAGTTCTAGAACATGTCGCCACAGTGGCTCAGTGATTAGCACTGTCACCTCACAGCAAGAAGGTCGCTGGTTTGAGTTCTGGCTGGGTCAGTTGGCATTTCTGTGTGGAGTTTGCATGTTCTTGCATGTTAGCGTGGGTTTCCTCCAGGTGCTCCGGTATCCCCCACAGTCCAAAGACATGTGCTATAGGGAACTGAAAAAACTAAATTGTCCATAGTGTATGAGTGTGTAAGTGAATGTGAGAGTCAATGGGTGTTTCCCAGTACTGGGTTGCGGCTGGAAGGGCATCCACTGTGTAAAACATATGCCGGAATAGTTGGTGGTTCATTCTGCTGTGGTGACCCCTAATAAATAAAACACCAAGCTGAAAGAAAATGAATGAATGAATGACTTTGAACATCTTGGGATCGTTGCTGTCTATCAAGGAATAGAGAGCTCTAGGATTTCATCTAAAATATCTGAATTTGTTCTAAAGACGAACAGAGCACTTATTGGATTGGAACAACATGATAGTGAATAAATAACATGAATTAAAATTTTTGGGTGAACTAACTCTTTAATGGTCCTAATATATAAACATACCAATCACTGTAGTAGTTGATTGCTACTTTTCTGGGTGAATTTTTAAGGATTTCTCCACTGAAGACTCTAAACTGGAGTATAATATAGACACTGATAATGGAATAGCTATGGAGGGATACCTCTTCAAAAGAGCAAGCAATGCCTTTAAAACCTGGAACAGGTATGGCTGCTCGGTTTTGGTGGTGAACATATACAGTTGTTGTCAGAATTATTAGCCCTCCTGAATTTATAGCCCCCTGTATATCTTTTTCTCTGATTTTTTTTCAGCACATTTCTAAACATAATAGTTTTAACAACTTATTTCTAATAACTGATTTCTTTTATCTTTGCCCTGATGACAGCACAATATTTGACTAGATATTTTTTAAGATACTATTATTCAGCTTAAAATTACATTTAAAGACTTAACTGGGGTAATTAGGCAAGTTGGGTAATTAGGCAAGTCATTGTATAGCAATGGTTTGTTCTGTAGACAATCGAAAAAAAATAGCTTAAGGGGGCTAATAATATTAACCTTAAAATGTTATTTTTTTATTAAAACTACTTTCGTTCTAGCCTAAATAAAACAAATAAAAAAATTTTCAAAAAAAAAAAATTATCAGGAAATACTGTGGAAAAATTCCTTTCTCTGTTAAACATCATTTAGGAAATATGTGAAAAAGAGTTCACAGGAGGGCTAATAGTTTAGACTTGAACTGTATATACATTTTCATGTGTTTGCATTGTGAGTGAACTTGCGCATGAGACTTTCATTTCAGAATTCATTTTCCTCATCTCCAGCTTTTTTGTGTAGCCTCATTTGTTTAGTATGTATTTTTTATGTTCACTGCACCCATTTCTTGTGTTGGTGAAATGATTACCATTGCCGCTAGCATACTTCATAGTTTTGTAGGTTTTATAATTTGCTACGCATCCTGGATGTCCAGTGCCATGTCGAACACTCTATTAGTTCCGTCGACGAATATTCTCGCATTAATCCGTTCATCTGTGGCTGAACCCAATTATTTTCTCCCCAACATAGACGGTGGTTTTCTATTCAAAACAGTCAGCTGGTTTATCAGAAGAGGTTCAGGGTAAGTCTGTTGTAAACACTTAAATAAAGCCACTGTACTTTATTTAAAAAACACGCTTAACTTTTGTTTGGAAATAGATGCATATTTTACCGCTCTTCATTGAGTTGAACAGTTTCACCATTTTTGAATCCATTCAAGCCATCTCTTGGTCAGGAAGGCTCACTTTTAGCTTAGCATAAATCATTGAATCGGATTAGACCATCATCTCACTCAACAATGTTAAAAAAAGAGTTTTGATAATTTTTCTATCTAAAGCTTGACTATTTTGTAGCTACTGTACGTTAACTAAAGAAAAATGAAAACATTTAGCTTAGCATAAGTCATTGAATCAGATTAGACCATTAGCATCACACTAAAAAATTTCAAAAGAGTTTGGATTATTTTGCTTATCTAAAGCTTGATTCTTTCGTAGTTACATCAAGTAACTGAAAATGAAATCTTTTAGCTTAGCGTAGCATAAATCATTGAATTAGATTAGAACATTAGCATGTCACTCAACAATGTCAAAAAAGAGATTTGCTAATTTTCTCTATTTAAAGCTCGATTTTTTTTGTAGTTTCGTCAAGTAACGGAAAATGAAAACTTTTAGCTTAGCTTAGCATAAATTCTTGAATCGGATTAGACCATTAGCATCTTACTCAAAAATGCCAAAAAACTATTTTGATAATTTTCTTATTTAAAGCTCGACTCTTTTGTAGTCACGTCAAGTAACTCCAAATGAAAATTTGCTGTTTCTAGACTGATATGGTTGTCAGAACTATACTCTCAGTCTGGCGTAACCATTGATTGGCTGCAGCAAACACAATGGTATACGCAGCACGATTACCTAGTTACCTAGCTGGGGAATATTTTCATGCTCTGTGAGCATAGTTCTTATAGTTTAGTATAGTTCTTGATGATGTAACGTTAATCTTTAAATAGGATAATTATTGAAATGTTTTAGCGAGATGCTAGTGGTCTAATCTGAATCAATGAATTATGCTAAGCTAAAAGTGCTAAAAGCTCAAGCGTTATTATCAACAGCCCCTTTCACACATACAGACCTTTCCGGAAAATTGCTGGCAAAGTTGAATGGGAAAGGTTGTATGTGTGAACAGGTCCTTTTTGAAAATACCGGTAAATTCGTTCTGGCTATTTTCCGGAGAGAGAAGTTGTAACATTACCGGCAATTTGCCGGAATGCTGCGCTGTGTGAATGCAGAAGGAAGATTGCCTTAATAAGCGCATGCACGTCTAGAACGTGCTGACATGAGACGTCTGCTTTAGCCAATCACAACAGTCAGACGCATTTACGTCCGCGCGGTTTGTGAGAATAAAAGCCTTTGAATATTTTTCCAGACACATTTAGCTGCTAGAAGTTAGTCAGATCACGTTTATATGTTCTTCTTAATGCCAACTGTGTAAATAATCATCGATGAGATGCTTATGATAAGCCGTTGTTTGTTTGTTTACCTTCAAGCTTTGCGTGTGCCTGTGAAACAGCCTGTGAGCGCCTGCACACGCACATATTATGAACATCTCGACATGTGAAAGTGATCCTGCGAAAGTTGTTCACAATATTGATCATCCACAGAGTTTGTAATTTAGTCAAATGTTTACAAATACAAGCGCAGCCGTTTAAAGCTCATTTGTGGTGAATGATGTCAGAATTTACCGGTATTTTAGAATGGATGTGTGAATGCTCTTTTACGGAAAATTTCCGTAACGTCCTCGCCTGTGTGAACAGCGCTTTTTTGAATTTACCAGTAAAGTCGTTCTGGAAATTTTCCAGATATTTACCGGTATCACTGTGTGAAAGGGGCTATTGACAATAATTTATTTTATATAGCGCAATCACACAATAACACAAAAAAGGATCATTATTGAAACTTTTATTTTGAATGAGATGCTAATGGTCTAATCTAAATAAATGATTTATGCTAAGCTAAGCTAAAAATGCTCCCAGAGATTGACTGAATGGATTAAAAAATACTCAAAGTTGTAAAATGATTTATTTAAAAAAAATGTAAATTGTGTAGTGTTTCTTTAAAGTGTTTTTATAGGTTTGAAATGTTTCAGGATAACCCCACTGTGGTGGTAGAAGATCTGAGACTCTGCACTGTTAAGCACTGTGAGGACGTGGAGAGACGCTTCTGTTTCGAAGTGCTGTCTCCGTCAAAGTATGTTTCGGTCTGTCTTTTCTTATTACACATCGTTGTGTTGAGCATTTGACTCACAGTAGCTGCTGTTGTGCGTCAGGAGCTGTATGATGCAGGCGGACTCGGAGAAGCTGAGACAGGCCTGGATCAAAGCTGTGCAGAGCAGCATTGCCTCGGCCTACAGAGAGAACGAAGACGAAATTATTGTGAGTATTTCTTTTTCTTTTTCAAATATTTCCCAAGTAATGTTTACAGGGCAAGGAATTTTTCACAGTACTCAACAAATCATCTGTTGAGCTGCATACCAATCATCACAAATACTGCAGAAGACCTACTGGAACCCGCATGGGCCCTAGATTCTTACCGAAGTCAGTCAAGTTTGGTGAAGGAAAAATCATGGTTTGCGGTTACATTCAGTATGAGGGCGTGCGAGAGATCTGCAGAGTGGATGGCTACATCAACAGCTTGACAGTGTGCTAATGTTCGTGAATTTGTTTTGCTTGCTGTAGAGTCTCGACAGGCAGTCGTCAGCCTCTCTGGGCAGTCTGGACTCCGGCTGTGAGTCTGTGAAGCTGGTTAAAGGTGAGAGTGCTCTTCAGCGGGTGCTGGCCATCCCGGGCAATGAGTTCTGCTGTGACTGTGGCCAGAGTGACCCCCGCTGGGCCAGCATTAACCTCTGCATCACCCTCTGCATCGAGTGCTCGGGCATTCACAGGTACTGCATGTTTATAGCTCCAAAAATGAAACCTCAAGGGTAGTTCATGTGTTGGTGCTCTTTGAATAAGGGATTCGTAAAGATAGATGACAAAATCAACGACCTTTATTGTTTTAACACCTCTAGTTTGGAAAAAGTCAGGAAAGTGTCCAGCTCTGTTTAGGTGGCAAGGTGCATAAAAAATTTGCACAAAAATGGGAGTTTTCGGTTCGTGCACACAGAGGCAATACAAACACACAGATGCAGAGGAGATGTCAAAAACCAGGGGTGTCCAAACTCGGTCCTGGAGGGCCGGTGTCCTGCATAGTTTAGCTCTAACTTTGTTTAACACATCTGCCTGGAGCTTTCTAGTATGCCTAGAAAGAGCTTGATTAGCTGGTTCAGGAGTGTTTAATTGTGGTTGGAACTAAAATATGCAGGACAGCAGCCCTCCAGGACCAAGTTTGGGCAGCCCTTGTGTAAACCAATTAGAGGACCCAGAATTGGCATAATGAAATTGACATAAATATTGATAATTATTTTTTTTCTTTTCAGGAGTTTAGGAGTTCACAATTCAAAGGTGCGATCTCTCACACTCGACACATGGGAGCCAGAACTGCTGAAGGTAAAAGTGCATTGTTAGGGGGTTTAATTTGTGTGTTTTGGTGTTGTGGTGTATTAATTCACTCATATGTGCCGTATGTTTAGCAGTTGTCTCACTGTGTGTTTTATTTGCAGTTGATGTGTGAGCTGGGAAATGATGTTATTAATCAGATCTATGAAGCGCACAGAGAAGAGAATGGTGGCAAGAAGCCTCAGCCTGGAGATCCCAGGTATCCTGAACACTGTTTGTCTACACTACCTGACCAAAGTCTTATCGCTAATCCCAGTTGTAAGAGCAACAAATAATAACTTCACTTCTAGTTGATCATTTGGAAAATTGGCAGAAGGTCGACTTCTTTAGATGAATCATCTGTTGAGCTGCATCCTAAACTTCAGAAATACTGCAGTAGACCTACCTGAACATACATGGTACATACATAGGGGCCTGTGAGAGATCTGCATAGTTGATGGCAACATCAGCAGCCTGAGGTATCAAGACATTTGTGCTGCTCATTACATTACAAACCACAGGAGAGGGCAAATTCTCCAGCTCCTTCTCATACTTCAGCTCCACATTAAAGTTCCTAAAAGCAATTGGCCAGCCCAGTCACCAAAAATGAACATTATTGAGCATGTCTGAAGTAAGATGAAGGAGGAGACATTGAAGATGAATCTAAAGTATCTTGATGAACTCTGGGATTCCTGCAAGAACACTTGCTTTGCCATTCCAGATGACTTTATTAATCAGTGATTTGAGTCATTGCAGAGATGTATGGATGCAGTCCTCCAAGCTCATGGGAGTCAGACACAATATTCATTCTTTTTCCACTGCACCATGACTTTATATTCTATACTGGATATTATTTCTGCTAAGCGACAAGACTTTGTCTAAGCAAAGTCAGACTTACTGTCTTAATCAAATAAAAAATTCAAGGCATGATCGTATTTTGTTTTGGTAAAATAAGCGTAATCTAGAGGCCTTTGCCTTTCACATAAGCCACTTCTGATACCAAATGAACAACTAGAGGTCAAGATATTAATTGTTATTCCTAAAACTTGGATAGACGACAAGACTTATGTCAGGGAGTGTATATTTCAGTTCAGTTGTGTACTTTTTTCCTCATTCAGAAAACAAGTAGTAATTGAGTAGATTTCTGCGTAAGTAATGTCTTTAATACTTGTGTACATTTCTCTTTCTGCAATAAAGACGGGAAATTGAAGCCTTTATTCGTGCTAAGTATGTAGACAAAAGGTTTGTCCTAAAGCCTACGGAGCAGGAGCAAATGGAAAAGATCATGACGCTGAGGAAACATGACAAACGCATGCAGGGAAACATGGAGTTTCTGCCACCTCGTCCTCCCCCTCCGACACCCAAACTCCGAACTGCCTCCAACGCCTCAGGTAAATGAATGAATGAAGGATGACTACAAATCAAAAACCAAAAACTGACTTAAATCGTTCTGTTTTACCTACTTGCTAACGCTGTTTTGTTTCCCCTTCCACTGTTAGTAGCTTCCCTTAGTGGGCAGGAGGTGCGACGGGATTCGCTTTTCTGCCCTGATGAGCTTGATTCACTGTTTTCCTACTTTGACACATCCTCAAAGTTGCAAAACTGTAAGTGCTGCATGGCATAGCATTTACCATGAATCAGTTCTGCCTGACGTTCTGTGTTTTAAGCTGACTTCATGCACAGGTACTTTCTGTAGCACTTTACTTGAAGGTAGGGTCATAAGACGTCTTGATACCTTTATTATCATGATATTACACATCGTAAATGAGATTTTGTGTATGCATATGGCAACAAACAAATACATCACAACCTGCCCTTTTCATGTCAACTTGACATTAGCCCCTTTCACACATACAGACCTTTCCGGAAATGTACTAGCAATTTTCTAGTACGGAAAGTTTTGTATGTGTGAACAGACCCTTTTTGAAAATACCGGTAAATTCGTTCTGGCAATTGTTTTGGAAAGAGAACTTGTAACATTACTAGTAATTTGCCGGAATGCTGCTCTGTGTGAAAGCAGAAGGAAGATTCCTGGAAAGAGCACGTTCACGCTTGTAACGCGCTGACTTGAGACGTCTACTCCAGCCAATCAGAACACTCAGACGCATTCACATCTGTGCTGTTCATGAGAATAAAAGCCTTTGAATATTTTTCCAGACACATTTAGCTGCTAGATGTTAGTCAGATAACTTTTATACGTTCCTTAATGCCAACGGTGTCAAAAATGATTGATAAAATGCTTATAATAAACCGCTGTTTGTTTACCTTCAAGCTCTGCTTCAGTTGCTTGACGCGCGTGCACGTGAAGCAGCCGGTGAGCGCCAGCACACACACATTATGTACATCTCGACATGCGAAAGTGTGTTTTCATCGAAGTTGTTCACAATACTTCTCCATCCACAGAATTTGTAATGTAGTCAAATGTGTAAACATTTAGCTGCGGTTTGCGCTTCTGCCTTTGGATGGCTCTGGAACAAAGTAGCTGCATGAATGCTAAAGCTTTAAATAAAGGTGAACCCATCAACAAAAGCCCGAACTCTTCTATGTTTACAAATAAAAGCGCAGCTGTTTAGAGGTAATTTCTGGTTTATGATGTCAGAATTTACCGGTATTTTGGAATGGATGTGTGAACGGTCTTTTCCGGAAACATTCCGTAACGTCCTCGCCTGTTAGAACATCGCTTTTTTGAATTTACCGGTAAAGTCATTATAGTAATTCTCTGGATATTTACCAGTATCACTGTGTGAAAGGGGCTATTATCTTGACAACTAATTTGTCATAAACCTGTAATAAACATGAGTGCCATTAGGCCATTATAACTGTCATGTTAATCATTCTGAAATATTTACTATAAAAATATAGCGTCATTATTATTTAATGACATTTTAACTCTTTCTCTGCCAGCAATTCTTTTTTTTAAAACATTGCCAGCACTGCCAGCATTTTTAATGATTTTCACATAAAGGTCCTTTGAAGTAAAAAATTTTTTTTAGATGTTAGTATCAGTATTGTTAGTTTTTAGTTTTTGTCTAAAATAGTGAAAAAATTCCAACCCAGGCTCATTCTGAAAGCGTAGTCCCATAGACGCTTCTGGAGACCCTGAAATACGTCCTGGGAGGTATGTGTTTTAGCAGTTTTTGTTTTCGCGAATCCACGGGAGGCCGTTGTGTGCACTTTTTCATATCTCAAATTTCTCTCGCGAGTGTCACTCACGCCCGCTGCTCTCGCATAAACCCACCAGAGGCCGCTGTTGACCGACCGTTTGTCTGGCTGAGTGACTGACTGGCCGGCCAACAAATCGACTGACCCACCCTCCTCCTTCCCTAAACCCAACTAATGTTATTGATTGCCCCACCCACCCACTTACTTCCCTAAACCCAACCAGCGATTTACAAAAGCAGTCTAGAAAAAGAAAAGCCCTCGTCCGTTTTTTTCCACGTTTTCGGGTTTTATGAAATTCTCACCCTGTTATTTACTTGATCATTTTATTTTTTGGATTCTGTTTTTGTCCTTCCTGATTTCTGGAACCACTCTTCCCCGAATTTGAACCTGTTTGTCATTGTGGTCAACTCCTCTCTGGCATCTCAGGTCCGCCAACGTACATGACGAGCTAACTGGACAAACTGGTTGCGGCAAGAAAGCCCTCCACACGGAGGTAATTTGTCAGCTGGTAAGAAACGGCGTCACACCGCCCTGTAGCGTTCATTTAAGAAAATGAAATGCAGCCATATGTACCTCCGGCTACATAATTTCCAGCCTCCAGAAACGTCCACCGGACTACGTTTTCAGCATGAGCCTGGGTTGCAACATTCGCATTTTGAAAATATAAAACTAATATAACCATGTACAGTAAAGCTTGTAGTTTGTCACTTCCCCCTAAATGGATGAACGGTTTTACTCGCTTCATACTTCAGTTTCTCATCAAATCATAGCTAATCAAATGCACTCTAGTATCTGCCATGCCCCGCCCCCTTCAAGATGCTTTTCATTTGATGCACTTGAGCTTAAAACTCTATTGGCTGTTATTTAAAAAGGGGAGGAGCTACACTATATCCCACCATCTCTTAATGTTTCGGTTGAGATATGTTAAACATCGAATAAAATATGCAATTTTCAAAGCACTTCACGGGACCTTTAAATTTGACAGCCCTCAGAATATTTTCGGCAATATGACCTTATTATATATCAAATAATATGAAATAACAAAATAATGAAAAAACCCTCTGCATTCAAGCCAAAAAACAAAGCATTTTATACAAGTGTTACTGTGCTATATTACATGGCATCTTCCACAGTTCATTGGTAAAGTGGTTAACAAAAAGGGTGGCAATAAAGAAAAAAATCTCCTGTCTCTGGCTTCCATTAACTTAAGAAATTAGAGAGATGAATAAACAGTAAACAAATAATAATTTTGTAAGCAATAAATATTAACTTTTTTGAATAAAAATCTACCCTAAAGCCCAATCTGTGTGGGAAAAAAAGGTGCAGAATGCGTATGTGTGTATGTATGTAAGTAAATATGTATGTATGCACAGTTGTCATAATTATTCACCCTCCTGTTATTTATTAATTTTATTTATTTTTTTAAATATTTCCTAAATGATGTTTAACAGAGCAAGGATTTTTTTACAGTATGTCTGATCATATTTTTCTCTCTGGAGAAAGTTTTTTTTTTATTTTAGCTAGAATGAATTTTTGTATAAACAATCATTTTAGGGTCATTATTATTAGCTGCCTTAAGCAATATTTTGTTTCGATTGTCTGCAGAACAAGTAATCGTTATACAATGGCTTGCCTAATTACCCTAACTTGCCTATTTAACCTAGTTAAATATCACTTTAAGTATCTTGAAAAATATCTAGTCAAATATTATTTACTGTCATCATGGCAACGATAAAATAAATCAGTTATTAGAGATGAGTTTTTAAAACTATTACGTTCAGAAATGTGTTGAAAAAATCAGCTCTCCGTTAAACAGAAATTGGGGAAAAAATATTGTAGCAGGACTAATAATTTTGACTTCAACTGTATACATGTTTAAAGTAACATAAAGAGTGTGTAACAACTAATTGCTTATTTTACCTTGTGAATGAAGTTCTATTTTGCTGTTTTCCCCACAGGTATAATCTATAATATGTGTCATCACTTTAGGTTTTATTGCTACAGTATTAAATTTCATTCATGGTTAAACTATGTTGTTGTAATGGCAGTGAAGAGAGCGGACAGCGGGATTCAGAACAGTGCAGACGGGAGCAGAGAGATGTTGGCCTCCACCCCCTCCAGCTCCAGCCTGAGTGAAACAGGTCAGCGTGAAAAAGTTCAGCCTTGTCATTCATATTTTAGCTGATAAGCCAATCATTCTTTTATATCATCACAAGGTGAAGTCACTTTGAGCCATTTCTATTGACCAGATGTGTAAAGAGTGCCTGAAAACAATACTTGAGTAAAAGTACAGATACCTTACTGTAAAAATGACTCCATTACAAGTTACAAGTCACCAATTCCAATAAGACTTGAGTAAAAGTATTAAAGTATCAATTTTTAAAAGAGCTTAAGTATTTTACTTATACTGAATGTAGACTTAAAGAACACCAAAAAAGGTTTTATTTCCTAATACAGAAATTCAATTGAACACCTCAATGTTTCGAAATGGCAGAACAAAATAGATAAACAAAAAAATAAATAAATAAAACAAAAAGTCTCAAACTTAAATGTTAAAAAAAGGACAATTTTTCAAAAATAAAAAAGTAGTAAAACGTAGTAAAAAAAAAAAATTCAGAGCTGAGTTTCATGTGATTCACCTCTCAGTCTCAAAGGGGGTAATACTTTTATTTGGAGTAGTTTTTCAATTGATAAGGATGTTTTCTTTAAAATTTAAACAGAAGAGCAGTGTTATTTTTCAACTTAGTAAACTACATATAAATTCAATGAAAAATACATCACAAATAGTCATGTCATGTCATAGTGGTTTGTGCCAGGGCCAGACGGAATCTGCGGAAGTTTTTTGCTATTCCTGCGGAGAATTTTGATAAAAATGTGCGGATTTCTGCTGAATAATTTTGGGAGTATCATAACTAAAACCATAGTATGTGAAATAAAAACTAATTTCTTTTTAACTTTTATTTAATGTTTAAATTGCAAATCCAGTTAGATTCACATTATTTGGTAAACAAAACAAGTCTCTCATATGATATATACTAAAAGACAGAAAATATTACTGGACAAACTGCATTTTGCATAAATCAGATGTACATTTTCATATTAGTCAATAATATTACTGAAATTAATTTAAAAAACTGAATAAAAAATAGATTTACACACATTTACACAAGTAAATAAACAGAATTAATGATGGGCTAAAAAGTCTGCGAAAAATCTGTGGAAAATCTGCAGAATTCTGCTCGCGCAGATTTCGTGTGGGCCTACCTATCAGTAACTGTATTAAATTCACATTAAATTAACATTAAACTTACTTTATATTCTTACTTGACGATAAATTCTTAAAAGCACTTATTTTCGTGGCAAACAAAGTAGACACTGCATCCTGTAAGAGCCATATCGGCAAATGAAAACATTTCTTTCAGATAAGAGCATGGATGGTCATCAGTGCTGGCACTGCTTGATGTGCTGACTTCGGCTTCATTGTTTGCTGCAGCCATGTCGCTAATTAAACACCTGGATTTAGTCAAGCTGCTAATTCACGTTCACGTGATTTAGCTCATAAATAGCATATAGTACCTTCAGCAGCCTGCAGATGGCGATATCGCCTCGTCCGCCCAACAGCAGTGGTAGATAAAGATGCCGACTTGTCGCGTACAATCACAATATAACGAGTAACAATAAGCGTCCGTTCAAATGTAGTGTAAAGAGTACATATATTCAATCAAAAATGTAGTCAAGTAGAGAGTAAAACTTTTTAATACTAAGTACAAGTACAAAGTAGCCAAAAATAAAAATAAAAAATACTTAAGTAACAAAGTCCATTTACTTAAGTACTTTACACCACTGCTATTGACATTATTTTTTAAGTACCAGCAGGAGCAGCCATTTTAATCTTTTTGGCTTAAGACATCCGATCTCATTCACTTCATTGATTTGTAGACATTGAAAACAGCTCGTCATGCTGCTTGATGTTGCATTCGTATTATATCATTCTACTTTTTTATGTATAGTCATGAGCACACTTGTTTGTAGAGCAAGTAGTTTGACCGTTTTCTACAGATCGGAAGTTCTAAAACAGTCACAAAAAACGAGCGCACTTCCACATTTTAGTATGAGGGTTCTAAGGCGGCAATGTAAATGTAAGTCAGTTCAGTATTTATTCAAAGGGTTTGTTCACCCAAAAGGGAAAATTTGCTCATAATTTACTCACCCTCAGGGCATTCTGGTTTCTTCTTTCTTTTTTCAGACAAATCTATTCCAAGATTATTATATAACAAAAGTCTGAATACTTAGAACAAAACACTGTACATAGGTAAACAGTTGAAAAAGAAAAGTTCAGTACTTGAAAATAACATACCGTGATGGTTAAAATCCTGGCGAAAAACAAGCCAATTGGAAGAAAACGATTCACGTTTGACTGGCCAAAACATTTCTTAGTGAGATTACAACAGTGACTACGTTTACATGGACACCAATAATTAGATTTAATGTGATTAAGATGATACCCTGATTAAGAGTCTACCATGTAAACAGCGATCTTTGATTAATTTAATCAGATTAAGGTCATAATCGAACTTCTTTGGCTCTCGGCGAAGGCGGTCACACTTCTTCCCTCTCCGTCCCATATCTCTCACTGCTGGCTCCTCTTGTCTTCGTCTCATTCTCTCTCTGAGGCTCTCCGTGCCCTGCTGTCCAAACGAAAAAGGAATAATGGATTTGATCAACAGGTCTCTGAATGCAATTGACACCATCTTCTTGACGAGAAGTTTGGGCTTCTACTTGTCCTGCGGGGACGTTTGCAGTTGGACAAGTGATGGATGGGTGGGAGAAGTGGTGCGTTGTGTGCGATGATGCGTAAACAAAATGGCGACGGTTGGCCGTGCCTACTTGTGTCTTCTTTTACAGTGTTCAGAAACCTATCAATGACGTCATGGATACTACGTCCATATATTTTACAGTCTATGCTTTAGACATGCGTGACCACAGATCTAGTCTCAATTGTTCGTAGCGCATCAGAATGCAAAATGCAAAATTTATTCAAAGCCACCTTAAAGAGGCATAAGAGTGTTTAAATGTATATTTTGTTAGTTTACGTGTCTATTGTGAAATTTATCATGTATGTTTGTAATGAGGCAATAGACACATGTACACTCATGAATATAAGTGCAGCAGGTGGGTGTTTCTCTTTAGCAGTTGAAAAAATGTCAAATCAAATCTAAGAAATAACACAAATATACTCAATTTGATGAATATTCTGTTGCTTTTCAGATCTTCCAGAGTCAGAGGCGGCAGCAAATCAGGCCGAGCGTTCTCCTGTGTTCTCCAAGCTGACTAATTTCTCCGCAGACTCTCTTCTTTACTGGGCGTCGTGTGCATGCAGCCTTAAAGACATGGCACAGGCTCTGGCACACGGAGCTGACATCAACTGGGTCAATCTAGAAGACAGCAGTCGCACCCCGCTAATACAAGCAGTACAAGGGGTCAGCACTTTCATTCATTCATTCATTTTCCTTCAGCTTAGTCCCTTTATTTATCAGGGGTTGTCACAGCGGAATGAACCACCAACTTATCCAGCATATGTTTTTACATAGCGGATGTCCTTCCAGCTGCAACCCAGTACTAGGCAACACCCATACACACTCATACACTATGAAGAGTTTAGTTCATTCAATTCTCCTATAGTGCATGTGTTTGGACTGTGGGGGAAACCGGAGCACCCAGAGGAAACCCACGCCAACACGGGGAGAACATGCTAACTTCACACAGAAACGCCAACTGGCCCAGCCGGGACTCAAACCAGCGACCTTTTTACTGTGAGGTGACAGTGCTAACCACTGAGCCACTATGTCGCACTTGATGAATGGTAATACATATGACGATTTTAGGCCCGTTCACACGGCATAATAATCTTATTACATGTAAACTTGACTTTCAAGAAAAATTATAACAATTTAACAATTTCTCCAAAAATATCTCTCGCATTATTCTGCTATTTAGCATAACAGAAACTAATTTGATAATCCTAACTCACCTAAAAGAGAAAACGTTGAGTCACATTAACATCTGACTTTTTTTAAAATGGTTATGTGCCTTTTTAACATACAGTGTATGTAAACTTCTGGTTTCAACTGTATATAACATATTACTTTATAATAATAATAATAATAACAAAATAGAATAGAATAGAATAGAATAGAATATGGTATGTTCTCAATAATATTTGTAAACCGCAAAAAATGCTTTTCTTATTTAGATTTTTTTGTCTTGTTTCTAGTCTAAATATCTAAAAGTTCTTAAATCAAGAAGCATTTTCTAGACAAGCAAAACATATGGTCTTGTTTTAAGAAGTAATATGCCGAAATGAAGCGAGTTTTTCCTCAAATCAAGCTAAATAATCTGCCAATGGGGTAAGCAAAATAATCTTATCACAAATCAAAAAACAAGATTATTTTGCTCACCCCATTGGCAGATTATTTAGCTTGATTTGAGGAAAAACTTGCTTCATTTCGGCATATTATTTCTTAAAACAAGACCATATGTTTTGCTTGTCTAGAAAATGCTTCTTGATTTAAGAATTTGTAGATATTTGGACTAGAAACAAGACAAAAAATCTAAGTAAGAAAAGTATTTTTTGCAGTGCACAGGCCCTATAAGGTATGGCCCATTTACCTTTATTTAATAACATGGAAAGCGAGTGTATGTTTTTACCAGAACTAACATTGTATTTTCTTTTAAATACATGTGCGTTTAAAAAAAAGATAATTTGGACAAAGAAATTATGGGGTTCTTCTCTAAAGAAGTTGTCACCCCACCCCGTTCAGAGCATCGTTATGGAAGTTTTACGTTATAACTTGCGTGGTCAAATGGCGGATCTGCAGTAAAGTAACAACGATTTTGGAAAACACTCGTCGCTACATAGATTTTTTTCCTAAATGATGAATCATACTATGAATGTTCAGCCGCGAGTTTGGAAAACGCACCCCTGGCTGACTGAAAATTACAAATCTGTGTCTATATACTCCATTGCAATTAAAAAAGTTACTATTTGGTTTATATATTTTTTCAAAATTTTATCTTTGCCATGATGACAGTAAATAATATTTTACTTGATATTTTTCAAGACACTTCTATACAGCTTAAAGTGACATTTAAAGGCTTAACTAGGTTAATAAGGTGAACTAGGTAGGTTATGGTAATTAGGCAGGTTATTCTATAATGATGGTTTGTTCTGTAGATTATCGAAAAAAAAATTAGCTTAAAGGGGCTAATAATTTTGTCCCAAAAATAGTTTTTAAAAAATTCAAAACTGCTTTTATTCTAGCCGAAATAAGACTTTTTCTAGAAGAAAAAAATATTATCAGACAAACTGAAAATTTCCTTGCTCTGTCAAACATAATTTGGGAAATATTTAAAAAAGAAAAAAAAATCAAAAGGGGGCTAATAATTCTGACTTCAACTGTATATTTGAAATAACGAACTTGAGCTGATGATAATAATGTGTGCGTGATTATTAAAGTGTTTCAGACATCATTTCAGAAATGGACAAATGCTAGAGGGAAGCTCAAAATAACAAAGGAGAAGCCTGAAAAAACAAATGAGCAAATTATCCTTTAAGCAACCTAAAAGATGAACAAACTTCCATGTTTAACTATTATCATCGCTTTTTTGGACTGTAATGAACTCAGAATGACGGAATTACTTTCTAACAAGATGTTACCGTTAATTATTTGTTTTTTCCAGGGTTCTCTGATCAGCTGCGAATTCCTGCTTCAAAATGCTGCCTGTGTGGACCAGCAGGACATTCGTGGCAGAGGACCACTGCATCATGCCACCATTCTGGGCCATACCGGGTAGGTACAGCATGAAAGATACATCCTAATTGCATTGTATTATAAAGAAGTAACGCCCCATTCACACAGGGCGTCAGCGTCAATGCTTCCCATTCACTCTGAATGGCTGACGTCAAGCGTTGCCGAACTGCATTGTGGATCTGTCGGTGCCACTTCAGAGGCGTTGCTCGCTGCAAAAAGTTGGGACTAGCTTAACTTTTCAAGCACCGATGGAAGCGCCAGCCAATCAGATCGCTTTATGCAAATACACCAGTTAGACAGTGGCCTATTGCTGACTGAATTTCATTGGCTGACGCTTCTATGACGATCGAGTCAGCCCCAACTTCAGACACGCTTTCAGTCAAGCGTTGATGCTGAAGCCCAGTGTGAATGGGGCGTAAGTGTTTTAAAGGCTCCTACCTAAGGTCGTTTAAGAAAGGAGGTGGTTTAATCTCTGAAAGGCAAATATCAATTATATTTTAGCTCTGTTATTGTGATATTTCAGTGCCTTTCTCATTCACTTGTAATATGATTAAAATAGGCTGCTGCACGATGGCGCAGTGGGTAGCACAGTCGCCTCACAGCAAGGTCGAGCCCCAGCTGGGTCATTTGGCATTTGACAATTTAGCCTATCCAATTCACCTATACCACATATATACCGCAACATTTCTCCAATCTTCTATTGTCCAATTTTGGTGAGCCTGTGTGAATTGTAGCATCAGTTTCCTGCTCTTAGCTGACAGGAGTGGCACCTGGTGTGGTCTTCTGCTGCTGTAGCTCATCTGCCTCAAGGTTTGATGTGTTGTGCGTTCAGAGATGCTCTTTTGCAGACCTCGGTTATATCAAGTGGTTATTTGAGTTACTGTTGCCTTTCTATCAGCTGGAACCAGTCTGGCCCTTCTGCTCTGACCTCTGGCATCAGCAAGGCATTTGGATCCACAGAACTGCCACTCACTGGATATTTAAAGATATAAAGTGTAGACCAGCGCGTCTGGCACCAAGAACCATGCCACGTTCAAAGTCACTTAAATCACCTTTCTTTTTCATTCTGATGCTCGGTTTGAACTGCAACAGATCACGTTGACCATGTCTACATGCCTAAATGCATTGAGTTGCTGCCATGTGATTGGCTAATTAGAAATTTGCATTAACTGAGCAAAGGAATTTTTACAGTATTTCCTATATTTTTTCTTCTAGACAAAATATTTTTTTAATTTGGCCTCAAAAAAAAAAAGGCCAATATTATTAGCCCTCTTGTTTTTCAATCGGCTACAGAACAAACCAATGTTTATCCAATGACTTGCTCCATTAACCCAACTTGTATACATGGTAAATCATATCTATGCTATGTTTTTATTTGAAAAATAACTAACAGTTTCTTCCTGTGTCCATGTGGTGTCAGTCAGGTGTGTTTGTTCCTAAAACGAGGAGCCAAGCAGAACACCGTGGACACTGATAGCAGAAGCCCGCTGTCCATTGCAGTGGAGGCTGCAAACGCAGACATCGTCACTCTGTACGTCACACACCATTAATAGCATCCTGCTTCCTTAAACTCTCTGTTCATTGAATTAATTGTGTGCTCAAGCATATCTTTAATATCATTTTCTCTCCTTTTGGATTTCAGGTTACGTTTGGCAAAGATGAATGAGGAAATGAGAGGATCCGAAGGAGCGTTTGGCCAGGCTGGTCAATACTCTCTCTCTCAGAGTCACACCGAGCAACAGTATAAAAAATGCATTCAAGAGTTTATAAGTTTGCACTTACAGGAGTCCTAGACTGGAACGGATCGTACATTGTAGACTGGACAAACATCTTTTAGATGTCTTTCAAACATCCAAGCCATATTTATTGTTTCTGAGGCCACGTGTGTGACATCACCTGCCAGCCAGTAGCCACCAGACAGCACAAATTCCTATCTCTTACTACAAAACTCCAAACACTGACAAGTTTTTTAAGTTTCCTAATTTTGTAGTCATTTTGTAAAAAGAGTCATGTTAAAGACTGCACTGGTGCTTGTTTCCTCAACGATCTCTTGGTCTGTTCTATTTAAGAAAACACATGAACAGCACAGAACTTCAAAACTTAAAAAGGTGCTTGCTTGTTCCAGTTAAGCCAATATGGTTGCTGTCTCTGTTGTAGCTAGTCTAAAGAATGTTTTATGTCCTGGAGTTCGTTCTTCATTTGAGATTGTGCCAGATTGTTTATTATGACAACTAATCACTGACAAAATTCCCTCAAAAAAGTTCGATTAAATCAATCGAATCTTATTTAAGTTAAATGAGATTGCTGCAGTATGTGTGCTTGCGTTCATTGGGAAGGGCAGATATATCGATCCTAGAAACTATTATCAACAATGGGGTGATTCGTTGGCGGCAAAGATTTTAGTGTAACGATATCATATAGTTAATGAGCAAAATTACATAAAAGATGTCATTGATAAAACATTTTAAAATGGAACTCAATACAGTCTACTCTGCACACTTTTCTGCGAGTATTTAGCAATTTTTTGTACAGTGCATCTGGAAAGTATTCATAGCGCTTTTCCCCATTTTTATTTTATGTTACAGCCTTATTCCAAAATGTATTAAATAAATTTATTTCCTCAGAATTCTACATATAATACCCCATAATGACAATGTGAAAAAAGAGTTTTTGAAATTGTTTCAAATTTATTAAAAAAAAAAAAAGCAGAAAAATCAAATGTGCATAAGTATTGACACCCTTTGCTCAATACTTTCTTGATGCACCTTTGGCAGCAATTACAGCCTCAAGTCTTTTTGTATATGATGCCACAAGCTTGGCACACCTGTGTTTGGGAGTTTTTGCCTATTGTTCTTTGCAGTACCTCTCAAGCTCTATAAGGTTGGATGGGAAGTGACAGTGTACAGTGTCCTATTGATATGTTCAATAAGATTTGGGTCTGGGCTCTGGCTGGGCCACTAAAGGACATTCACCGAGTTGTTGTGAAGCTTCTACATTGATATTTTGGTGGTGTGCTTTGGGTCATTGTCCTGCTGGAGATAAACCAGTCTGAGGTTAAGAGCACTCTGAAGCAGGTTTTAATTCAGGATGTCTCTGTACATTGCTGTATTCATCTTTCCATCTATCCTGACAAGTCTTCCAGTTCCTGCTGCTGAAAAACATCCCCACAGCATGATGCTGCCACCACCATGCTTCATTGTACGGTATTAGCCTGGTGATAAGCGGTGTCTGGTTTTCTCCAAACGTAACGCCTGACATTCACGCCAAAGAGTTCAATTTGAGTCTCATCACTCCAAAGAATTTAGTTTCTTATGGTCTGAGAGTCTTTCAGATGCCTTTTGGCAAATTCCAGGCGGTGAGTGGCTTCAGTCTGGCCACTCTGCCATACAGGCCTGATTGGTGGACTGCTGCACAGATGGTTGTCCTTCTTCAAGGTTCTCCTCTCTCCACAGAGGAATGCTGGAGCTCAGACAAAGTGACCATCAGGTTATTGATCACCTCCCTGACTAAGGCCCTTAACCCCCGATCCCTCAGTTTAGATGGCCGGCCAGCTCTAGAAAGAGTCCTGGTGGTTCCAAACATCTTCCACTTACGGATGATGGAGGCCGCTGTGCTCATTGGAACTTTCAGAGCAGCAGAAATGTTTCTGTAACCTTTCACAGCCTTGTGCCTCGAGACAATCCTGTCTCTGAGGTCATCAGACAATTCCGTTGTCTTCATGCTTGGTTTGTGCTTTGACATGCACTGTCAACCCTGGGACCTTATATAGACAGGTGTATGCCTTTTAAAATCATGTCTAATCAACTGAATTGACCACAGGTGAACTCCAATTAAGCTGCTGAAACATCTCAAGAATGATCAGTGGAAACAGAATGTACCTGAGCTCAATTTAAAGCTTCATGGCAAAGGCTATCAATACTTCTGTACATTCGATATTTCAGCTTTTTTATTTTTAATAAATTGGCAACGTTTCAAACATGTCCGTCAATTGAAATGCTTTGAAATAAAGGGACATTGATGTCCTGTACTGAATCAACTCAGAAGGCGCAGGACGTCAACAGGTGTCAGATTGACATTGTACTCCACTGTCATGGGACATTGCATTATGTTTGGAAATGAAAATCGAGTTGACATCAGAATGTCAGGCCAATGTCAATGTCCAAGGCCGGATAGACGTTGCATTTTGGTAACTTTCAAATGCAACCTAAAAACAAAACATCTAATGATGTTACAGCTTAATGTTGAGTGAACGTTACCACTATGACGTCTATCAGATGGTTGCCATACCTGATGAATAAATATCAGTATTTGACGTCAGTATAACATTGGTTTAAGATGTTGGCTCAACGTGGATTTTGGTCCTTTTCCAGCACAACCTAAAATTAACAAAATATAATTTCATGTCGTCTTTGTGCATCAAAATACTGTTATACTTATTAGGCAGTGGCGACCTAAATCTAAACTAATATTAACGTCTTATGACATTGTGTCTTCTGATAAAGCACCCACATATTGGCTCACTCCCAAGCAGGTTTGAGCTTCCAGGCCTGTTGCTATGACAGCAAATTCAAGAAGAACTTCTAAGAATCCCACAGTCTTATATCAAGATAAAATCGTCAAAAATATAATCATGCTAACGAAGTAGTCCACGTATGAAGAACAGACCCCAGGTGTCATTTGAGTGTGTGTGTATGTTCTCTTTTGTTGGGGCATTAAAAGACGAGTGTTCTATTTAAGAGCGAGTCTGCACACTCATGAGGGACAGGTCTAAATGACCGCAAGTCTTCGAGAAAGTTGTTCAAGTTACGCGAGACTCGTCATTAATAAAAGAAGTCTTCAAGCGTACAAGTCTGTCTTTGCATTCTTCTGAACGCTACACTGATGTCAGAAATGAACTGGTTGAATTGAGTGTTTCTGTGTGGAGTTTGCATGTTCTCCCTGCGTTCGCGTGGGTTTCCTCTGGGTGCTCCGGTTTTCCCTACAATTTGAAAGACATACGGTACAGGTGAATTGGGTAGGCTAAATTGTCGTGAACGAGTGTGTATGGATGTTTCCCTGAGTTGGGTTATGGCTGGATGCACTGCGTAAAACATATGCTGGATAAGTGGGCGGTTCATTCCAATGTGAACTAAGCCGAAAAGAAAATTAGTGTAACATTGTTTTCACAATTCAACCACTGATTACAGCCAATCAACAATGTGAAACATAATTTTCTATCCATCTGAAAATGTTTATTTTAGTTGTATTTTGGCATATAGATCAGCATAACTGTAAATATCAGCTAAAATTTATCTACGTTTCGCTTCGCAGTCAAGTCTTTCAATCTTATTTTAGCAATATTTTAAGTGTCTTTTTCTTCAGAGAAGACATTGCGCAAAGTAAAACAAAACCATTTAAAGACTGTAAACCAGTATTTAAATGTCAAGTGTGAATCAGCTGACAGCTGCAAAGACACAGCCACTAGAAACCAGTGAATAGGTAATAAAAATTACCTATTAACCCAGCTGCACAGATACACCTCTTTAACCTTTGCTCAAGATGCTTCCATTGTGATGCATTCAACACTTCTTCAACATGAGACAAAAATAAGCAATAACACAGAAAATTTGGATTGTACCAAGCGACGGGTACGTATAAAAACATCATATACCAATATATTGTTCAAGACCATTATTTCAATGGGGTTTTGTCTGTATGCTATCCTCTGTTTAAACAATCACTCGTGGATCGTTGTTACACTTTGTTTTGAATGCCATTGACTTTAAAATAATGTATTAATAACGCAAATATTGAATCTAAATTGAATGCTTTTATGTATTATTTGCCTTAAGATGACAGATAATAAGTACACTCACGTCGTTGGTTAAATATTTACACTATGTTTCTGCTATGCTATTTATCATGAGAAACTAATCTGAGAGATGGAAAAAAACAAGAATGATCACGAAAATATCTCTCTTATAGACAGACCATCATGAGGAACAAACACGGGGTTAATATGCTTCTGGGTACATGTGTGTTTGTGGTAATGTCAGCACACAAATGTCTGACATTTTCATCCGAATATCCACTGCCAAGCTCTTCAGGTGCCCAGCGGAAGGACACACCGGAAACGCGAGGAAATGGTTAGTGCGTTGATTTGTTATTCATCCGTTTGCATAAAAATCGAGTAATTGTCAGTAAGTTATTAACGAAAAACTGCAATGATAATCATCTAAATCATCCTGAATTAACGAGTAATTCGATAAATTATACATAAAAAAACGCAAAGAGTTGGTTTAAAGTCTGTGTAAAACGCTTCATGGGTGTTCTCCTTTTATTTACACTTGCAAATTGGTGGGACTTTGATCTCTGCTAAAAGAAATTTTTATGTTGAAGTAAAACTGGACACATTAACAAAGTGACTTGTTGATAGGAAATAGTAATATGGAGAAATAAATCTGTAACTTTAAAGGTACTGGCAGCTCATTGTTTGTCACTACTGTAGCCTACTGTAATTTACATGACCCAGACAATATAACTAAAATGTCAATTAAAGTGACTATTGCATCTAAAGTTGTTGTCAGAGCAGTCAAGGTCCCATAACGCTATTTAAAAACCTAAATAAAAAAATTAAAAAAACATCCATGAATTGTGAGCTACAAGCAACCATTAACAGATTATTTTGTACAGTGTTTCATATATTTTGTCATGGCAATTTCATTAAAAAAAAACTTCGGATACAATGTTATATGTTAATTTGTTCATTTAGCTCTCAAATGCATTAATATATATATTCTTTAGTTACACATATCAAATGACAGTTATAGTTGTATCAAACTAATAATTTGTGATAATGTTAATACTAATTCTTTTTCAGTGTTTTGGGGGCCCGTAGAATTTGCAATTTATTATTATTATTATTATTATTATTATAGGCATATACATGTATTTATTTGAGATATTAGTTATTCACTGGGCAACATGGTGACTTAGTGGTTAGCACTGTTGCCTCACAGCAAGAAGGGTCACTGGTTCGAGTCCCGGCTGGGTCAGTTAACATTTCTGTTTCCTCCGGGTGTTCTGGTTTACCCTACAGTCCAAAGACATGCAATATACTGTAGGTGAATTGGGTAAGCTAAATTGGTCATAGTGTATGGCTTCTTCTCCTGCGTCCTCCTGTTCTCGTTTAATGTCATCATCAAATGCTAAAGTTCAGTTCCAATACTCAAGAACGGAGGACGCATGAAACCAACGCTATCTCACGGCAATTCGTAACTTTTTCATTTAGTGGCTAATTCGTATAAATTCGAAAGAACTAATTTGAACAATTTAGTATGATTTGCTCATCACCCAATGATGGTTGAGGTTAGGGGTGGGGTTGGGTGCCACGCCTCCTTTTTAAAATCCTACATTTTCGTACGACTGAACTCGTACGAATTCGTACCAATTAGCTGGAATTAAGTCGGGGTCGCCACAGTGGAATGAATCGCCAACTTTTCCTTCAAGTTTTTACGCAGCGGATGCCCTTCCAGCCGCAACCCATCTCTGGGAAACATCCACACACACATTCACACACACACTCATACACTACGGCCAATTTAGCTTATTTAATTCACCTCTACTGCATGTCTTTGGACTGTGGGGGAAACCGGAGCACTCGGAGGAAACCCATGTGAACACGGGGAGAACATGCAAACTCCTCACAGAAATGCCAACTGACCCAGCCGGGGCTCGAACCAGTAACCTTCTTGCTATGAGGCGATTGTGCCACCCACTGCGCCACCATGCTGCCTCTTATACAATAGCCTCCCCTACTGTAGACACAAACAGCAACTTTAAAGAAAAAGCATTGTATTTCTTTGTTGTTGTTTATTTTTTGTTTGTTTGTTTGTTTTTTTTACTGATGACTGATATATGGTAACCTGTTTTGTCAGTCACAGGATCATTGGAAATCGTTGAAAACCATTCCGCCTGGCCCGCTGTTCTCGGTGCTTTGACGGCAGTGTTTTCCACCGGTCTCCTCATAGCCCTGGCCGTCAGATACCGCTTCTTCCGATGGTGTCTGGCCAGAAACAACCACGCTTTGTTACCTGAGGAAGAAACCGAGAGCCAGAACGGAGCTCTGGAAGGGGAAATGCCAGTGCGAGGCATGAGGGGCAGAATGATCCACACTGGAGAAAGTTCAGGCGATGAGGAGGAGGAAGATGATGATGACGGCTTCATCGAGGACAACTACATCCCAGCGAGTGTTAGAAAGGAAGCAGAGGAAGAGGAGAACTTACAGGATGAAGAAGAGGTGGACAGTGATGATGAACTGGTCGATGATATAAACTGACCCACATACACTGTAAAACCCAACAGTCAACTTTATCAGAGGAAATGAGTGTAGTTAACTTAAAATGTACTGAAAGTTAATTCTACTCATTTGAGAAGAGTTTGGAAAGTAATGAGATAATTAAATACTTCATTACTTCAGCTTAAATCGAGTAGTTCACAGTACTCATTAGTTTAACTCAAATGGCTTTTAGCAATGGGTTTCCTCAAACGGTTTAAGTTGCCTCTAACTTATTGAGGTTTACAGTACTCAGTTGGTTTGAGTTCTCTTTATTTATTGGGTTTTACTGGGCTTTGTTTACTCAAATGGATTAAGTTCACAGTACTCATTAGCATTAGTTTTTGAACTTAAATAGTTTGTTGCAATCGATTTCCTCAAACCGTTTGAGTTGTCTTAACTAATTAGACTTTATAGTACTCACTTGGTTTGAGTTTTCTTTATTTATTTCACTGTAAAACTCAACAGTCAACTTTATCAGATGAAATGAGTGTCGTAAACTCAAAATTTACTGAAAGTTAATTCTATACATTTGAAAAGAGCTTTGAACTCAGGGTTGAAGGTAATGAGTTATTAAATACTTCATTACTTCAGCTTATATGGATTAAGTTCACAGTACTCGTATAGATTCGTTTTTTTAACTCAAATGGTTTGTTGCAATCGGTTTTCTCAAACTATTTAAGTTGCCTTAACTTATTGGGTTTTATAGTACTCAGTTGGTTTGAGTTCTCTTCGTTTATTAGGTTTTACTGTGCTCAAATTGCTTTATTTTTTCAATTGAATTAAGTTTACAGTACTCATTAGGATCACTTTTTGAACTTAAATGGTTGGTTGCATTTGGTTTTCTCAAATGGTTTGAGTTACCTTAAATTTTTGGGTTTTACAGTGTAGAGATTGTAATCACTATGACATAATGAATTTATTTACCATGGACACACTCATCTGATAAATAATAATAATAATAATAACACAGGTAATCATTTAAATTCTTACAAATTTCTGTTTAGATTAAATTATATTTTTCAGACTCTGTTCATTAAATAATACATGTCAAAGGTAGCTATGCATACAGATATATCTGTGCATTTCAGCAGTCTGTTTAAAGAATTTTTGGGAATTACAAGTTCAGGCAACATCATGTGTGGCATAATGTTAACTAAAGGCACCGTGTGTAATTTTCACATTTACATTTGGTCATTTAGCACAGTGGTCCTCAACCACCAGGCCGTGAACCGGTACCGGTCCGTGTATGAATTGATACCAGACCGCACAAGAAATCATTCATTATTTTAATTTTATTCATTATCCGAGTCTGAACAAGCTTTTATTTTGAAAAATCGTTTAGTTTGAAAAATTACCGTATTAACATCTCTGTCACTTGAGTGGCCAAATTTGACCCACAAGCAGCAAAATGAGTAAGAAACCGAAGTCTTTGGAAAGTTTCTTTGCTAATGGTAAAGGCCCAATGAAGGACGTGCGAATTGCTAAAGAATTAATACGCAACCTATTTTTCAACAAATCAGGCGAATCCAGCATGTCTGTGCAAGAAGATCAACTGCTGGAGATCGCAAATGACGCCGGTCTTAGGGCCTGTTCACATAGCGCGTCTTTTCTAGTGTTCGCGCAAGTTCATTATTATCCAATGAAGAAATGTGGCTTGCAACTTCTAGTCGCACACAGTTAAATGAATGCTGCGAGTGCTCCGTGAGTCACGTGACAGAATTCTGACCGAATTATCTCAGATAATCACCGAGCACCCAAACACTGCAATGCTGTGAGTTTTTTCCATAAATACAACTTGTATCATCCTCTGAGAAAACGGTTGATGGTAGCCAAGCAATCTACAAATAATCAGCCCCCCACCCCTTTGGTTCGTGGTAAAATTGTCAAGTGTTGACCGGTCCGTGGTGATAAAAAGGACCACTGATTTAGCAGATGCAACTTACAATTGAGGAGGCATTTAGTGATTCAACAATAAGATGCAATACACGCAAGAGTTACTAATTACCCTGCTGAAAAAATCCAGCTTAAACCAGCCTAGTCTGGTTGGCTGGTTTTAGCTGGTTGATCAGCCTGGATTTAGAGGGGTTTTGCCATTTCCAGGCTGGTTTTCAGCCATTTCCGGCCTGGTCTTAGCTGGTCAGGCTGGAAAATGACATAGCTGGTTTTGGCTGGATTCCCAGCCTGGCTAGGCTGGTTAAGCTGGTTTTACCTGGTCACCTCCCAGCCTGACCAGCTAAGACCAGGCTGGAAATGACTGGAAACCAGCCTGGAAATGGCCAAAACCCCTCTAAAACCAGCCTGGTCGACCAGCTAAAACCAGCCAACCAGCCTAGGCTGGTTTTAGCTTATTTTTTTAGTAGGGTATACAAAGCAGCAGTAATACCACCAGACCTTCCAGCTGCAACCCATTTCTGGGAAACATCCTTACACACTCATACACTACGGACAATTTAGCCCACCCAATTCACCTGTACTGCATGTCTTTGGACTGTGGGGGAAATCCGGCACTGGCAAACAGCATGTAGGCCAAACATAACCCGGGTTTGGCAGAGGTGACACTGTCTTTAAGGCGGCACAATCCTTGGGCCAAATATCAAATATTTGGCCCAGATGCTAATAACGGATATGTGGGCCATGTAAGTTTGGCCTATTTTGACCCACATTTAAAATACAGTTTTATTATTTTTGAATAAAGGAAAAAAATCTACCAATCAGGTCGATTCGAGAAAAAGCACACGCGCAGCTAAAAGGCAATGCTTAATGGGTTCATCAATTTCAATGCAGTCGTGACACACCAACATATTTGGCCCAGTTCAGGCCCAGTTATGGGTTATTAAATTGGCTGAGATTTGGCCCAGATATGCTCCATGTTTGGCCTTTGTCTGGAAGCCAGACTTGGTCCAGTCATGTACCGTAATTCACTGCGGCATGTGGGCCAAGCAACAGCTGGTTGTGTGGGCCAGAGCTGGAGGTATTTTGTTATGTGGGCGGAGGAAACCCACGCGAACACAGGGAGAACATGCAAACTCCACACAGAAATGCCAACTGACCCAGCCGAGGCTCGAACCAGCGACCTTCTTCCTGTGAGGCGACAGCACTACCTACTGCACCTGTCCATCGCCCTCCATAGCAAACTGTATATGTGTGACATTTGTTTTTTTAAATAAAACGTCTTAAAATGTAAACAACTTATTAAAAAAAAAACATCCTATTATGTGAATAACTCAATTTTGAAAAAAATGTCAGAACCTTATAAGGTGACAATATATATACATTTTTTTACTTCCAAATGTGTTTGTAATAAAACCTTCTGTCTTATGATTCTGTAGTTGTGTGATTATTAGTCACTCTGAATCAATGAAAGCCGTTAAAACTTCTGCGTTTAATGCAAGACTTTGGTGATTTCTTTAGTTTCTTCTATGTGGGTGTTTTGGAGTATTCATATGAGAGCATCATCTTGCCTTTAGAGATTTACTGATCACAAAACTGTTTATGTTCTCCCTGTGTTGGTGTGGGTTTCCTCCGGGTGCTCCACTCTCCCCAACAGTCCAAAGACATGTGCTATAAGTGAATTCAATAAGCTAAATTGGCGGTAGTGTATTTTCTTGTGTGAATCCAAGAGTGTGTGGGTGTTTCCCAGTGCTGGGTTGCAGCTGGAAGGGCATCTGCTGCATAAAACACAAGTTGGCAGTTCATTCCCTGTGGCGACCCCTGATTAATAGAGGGACTATGAAGTTAGGTTGTTGTAGCATAATAAGCCTGTATAAGACTGAAGGGCTTCATTTTGTGAAGACAACCATCCTGGATGTTCTTTATCCTGCTAATTACAAGGCTACTTTCCACAAAATATACAAAATTAATCAAAAAAACTTGTTCTGAGCCATAATAGTTTATTAATTATTTAGTTAAAAGCAAAGCTGACCGAAACGAAATCATCTGAGTGAAGCTGAAGCATAAAAAGCCTGGGCGTTTCACAAGATGGCGCCAAACTAGCAAAAAACATATACAGAAGTGAAACCGGTTGAATGATACTAAGCTTCGTATTATTCATTCACAACGGCGCCAAATAGACAAATAGCAGCCTGACAGACAAGCAGATACAAGTGAATGTGGATGTAAGTACATGTGAACGTTTTCAGTGAAGCGAGTATTCCAGATGTAATAATTATATGTCATACCTTCCTTTTATGGTTCTTGGATTTGTGTTGGCTTTGCAAACCTTATAAATGTCGCTAATGTTTTTATAGAGTTGTCAAATGTTGGATCAGATTTGGATGCAAACACTGCATTTGCTCCTGTATATTTCTTTTATGGGTATCCCTGCTGAAAAATCCAGCTTAAACCAGCCTAGGCTGGTTGGCTGGTTTTAGCTGGTCGACCAGGCTGGTTTTAGAGGGGTTTTGGCCATTTCCAGGCTGGTTTTCAGCCATTTACAGCCTGGTCTTAGCTGGTCAGGCTGAAAAATGACCAGCTTAATCCAGCTAAAACCAGCTTGACCAGCCTGGTTTAAGCTGGACATAGCTGGTTTTGGCTGGGCTCTCAGCCTGGCTAGGCTGGTCAAGCTGATTTTAGCTGGTCATCTCCCAGCCTGACCAGCTAAGACCAGGCTGGAAATGGCTGGAAACCAGCCTGGAAGTGGCCAAAACCCCTCTAAAACCAGCCTGGTCGACCAGCTAAAACCAGCCAACCAGCCTAGGCTGGTTTAAGCTGGATTTTTCAGCAGGGTAACACTTTACAATAACAGTACCTGAATGTGTTATGCATTACTTTATTACAAATTAATGCGCTAAACTTTAACTACAACATGAGTCACACGAGTTCATATGTGATGAACTCACTACCCACTGATGACAGCCCCTTTATGATGGTTTTTAAAGTGGTTAATGAGGTTTTTGTGTTACCTTGGGATGTTTGGACTAAACAGGAGCAAAGGCTACCTGATCAACATTGCATTCCTTTAAAAAAAAAAAAAAACACACTCTTGCAATTCGTAAACTCCGCCCATTAAAATAACGGGTTTGTCTTTATACTGTAAAATTGCGACAATTTTTAATGTATGATTGTGAGCCACAAATATCGTTATCATGATAATAATATGATCAATCATGCAGCCCTACTCTCCGTGTTTGATTTTCTTTTTTATAAATGCAGTTATGCCATCGAACTGTTGTATAAATGTAATATCACACTCGTAGCAGTGCAATATGCCTGTATATCGGCACTGCTGGGGAACTAGTGATGGGAAGTTCGGATCATTTTACTGACTCGGATCTTTGAGTCTCGTTCATCAAGATGAACGAATCTTTTTTTGAGTCATTTCGTTCATTTAGTTAAATTTGCAAAAACATTGTTAAAATGTTATGAATTGCTTCCAAACACATCTACAACTAGCCCAAAAGGTTAATTACACGACAAATAAGTCATAAACAGAATATAAGAAGGAGAAAATAATAATTCAGTGTTTACCTGCTCTTTTGTCTATAAAGGCATTGTTGTCTCTTTGCTCAGCTCACCTCTTCATGTCTTCTAATGTCAGTGGTTCATTCAAGCTGATAGGAGCCATGATCGTTCGTTGTTTACGTGACAGAATGACTCAAACCTGAGGACTTGAGGGATGAACAGTTCAATACTTTTTCTGGCTCTAAACGTGTATGATTGGCCCGTGATGAACGAAAGACTCAGACCTGATAGAGGACTCGAGAGATGAGCGGATCAATTCTTTTTCCGGCTCTACACGCGTATGATTGGCCCGTGATGAACGGTGACTCAGACCGATAGAAGACTCTAGAGGGGAGCGGATCCGGTCTTTTTCCGGCTCTAAACGCGTACGATTGGCTTCTGCCAATGTGATGAAGACTTGAAATTAACGATACCACCTGCATAAATGCGCGTACGCGCGGATGATCGAATCACTCCCTGAGAGGACTCGTACTTCCCGAGTCATATTTAAGATTTGTTCAAAATGAACGAATCGTTCATGAACGACCCATCACTATGGGGAACTAAAGATCGCCTCCCACCAGTGCCGATATACAGCCACATCACTCTGCTACTCTTATGAGATATATATATTTAAAGATTAAAAGTAACTAATAACTAATTACTTGAGTAATTTTTCCATCGGATACTTTTTACTCTTAATCAAGTAACTTTTGGGATTGTTACTTTTACTTGAGTTTTTTTGAGTTCGTAGGCAGTGTTTCAACACAACTTACAAAACGTGAGGTTGAATTTATTTTTTAACGTGCGAAAATTACAGATGCAAATTTCGAATTCACTGTGCAATAACCTTTTCTCAAGGAACTTTTAAGAGTGTTGCTTTTAGTTGCTTAAAAATTACCTCAAGTACTTGTACTTTTACTTGAGTGTAGATTTTGGCCCACCTCTGCTCACAACAAATTCGACTGACTATAAGTTGAATCTCTCCATGGTGGATTCCTTTGCGCCGTTACTGTATACACTCGCACCCTCCGCCGCCGTCGCCTCCTCGTGTTTCTTCTTCCCTGCACATAAACAATCCCTCCATAAGCTGTCACACCGAGCACCACAGCACCCCCACAGGCCAGGAGGGTCCCGCCAGAAAGCAGCATGTCTGTCTGAGAGAGACTGAGCAGTGTTATCCCGCAGACCACCAGTGCCAAACCAGTGAAGAGCAGAAGTAAGGGGTCCACGGTTCCCCCGCTGCGCAGCTGTTCGATGCGTCTGCGGTTGCGAATGCATCCCATGTCCTGCACGGCCGAGCTGAGCAGCTGCTTCATCAGGACCACCAGCGCCAGCAGGCACAGGGTGGAGCCCACAGCCAAACGCCACAGCACTGAGGGTCCCACAGCGGTTGAAGCGGTGGAGAGGAGACCCACACCGGCCGAACCCAGACTCAGGATCATGGCCACAGAGAAGCAGTAGCACAGGAGAGAGACGTGCGGCTTGTTGAACCACCACAGCTCCACCTGCTCCTCAACGACAGGGTGCTGGAGCCACAGGGAGTCCGCCTGCAGGTGAAGGGGACGTCCGCGACTCAGCACACCCAGCGGGAGAAGCTCCATCTCATGGGTCGACTGACAGGCGGAGGTCTCACTGTCAAACAATTGTTAAGCACTGTAAAAATGCTGGATTCCACACAATCGATTTGTGTTGGGACAACATGAAGGAATTAAGTTAACTTATTAGTTTTTACAAATTTAAGTGGACCGAACATAAAACAATTAAGTTGTCTAAGCTTATTTTAATTAATTAGTTTAAACAAACTGCAAACACAATTTTTTGAGTGCATTAGTGCTCTGTTTGACACATTTTGTTCTGGAATAGTGAAAAAGGTCTGCATTATAAGCAAAAAGACAAACCATCCAGCAAACAGACGAAGCACAATATTACGAAATTTGAAGGCATTGTGTGGAACCCAGCGTTTTTACAGTGTTTATACAGTATACATATATGCACTGTAAAAAATGCAGTGTTCCACAAATTCCTTCATGTTGTCCCAACACAAATCGATTAAGTTAACTTTTAACGATTAAGTGGTTTTAACATAAAACAATTAATGCCTAGTTCAGACTGCAAATGCCTGAAATCACAGGCAAATCGGTGCTCGAGCACGTGAGCAGGGCCGGCGCGTCCATAGAGGTGACCTAGGCGGCTGCCTAGGGTGGCAGAATAGAGAGGGCGGCGTCCCAGACACTACCCTCACCACCCGCGCCCTCAGTTCGAGTCTAGGGCGGCAGGATAGAGAGGGCGGCGTCCCAGACACTACCCTCACCACCCGCTCCCTCAGTTATATCCGCGACTAATAGAGAGGGCGGCGTCCGCGACACTACCCTCACCACCTGCGCCCTTAGTTATATCCGCGTCTAAGGAGATAGAATAGAGAGGGCGGCGTCCCCGACATTACCCTCACCACCCGCTCCCTCAGTAATATCCGCGACTAAAAGAGAGGGTGGCGTCCGCGAAACTACCCTTACCACCCGCTCCCTCTGTAATATCCGTGACTAATAGAGAGGGCGGCATCCGCAACACTACCCTCACCACCCGCGCCCTTAGTTATATCCGCGTCTAGGGCGATAGAATAGAGAGGGCGGCGTTCGCGACACTACCCTCACCACCCGCTCCCTCAGTAATATCCGCGACTAATAGAGAGGGCGGCGTCCGCGACACTACCCTCACCACCCGCTCCCTCAGTAATATCCGCGACTATTAGAGAGGGCGGCGTCCGCGATACTACCCTCTCCACCCGTTCCCTCAGTAATATCCGCGACTGATAGAGAGGGCGGCGTCCGCGACACTACCCTCACCACCCGCTCCCTCAGTAATATCCGCGACTATTAGAGAGGGCGGCGTCCGCGACACTACCCTCACCACCCGCTCCCTCAGTAATATCCGCGACTATTAGAGAGGGCGGCGTCCGCGACACTACCCTCACCACCCGCTCCCTCAGTAATATCCGCAACTATTAGAGAGGGCGGCGTCCGCGACACAACCCTCACCACCCGCTCCCTCAGTAATATCCGCGACTATTAGAGAGGGCGGCGTCCGCGATACCACCCTCACCACCCGCTCCCTCAGTTATATCCACGACTAATAGAGAGGGCGGCGTCTGCGACACTACCCTCACCACCCGCTCCCTCAGTAATATCCGCGACTATTCGAGAGGGCGGCGACCGCTACACTACCCTCACCACCCGCTCCCTCAGTAATATCCGCGACTATTAGAGAGGGCGGCGTCCGCGATACTACCCTCACCACCCGCTCCCTCAGTTATATCCACGACTAATAGAGAGGGCGGCGTCCGCGACACTACCCTCACCACCCCCTCCCTCAGTAATATCCACGACTAATAGAGAGGGCGGCGTCCGCGACACTACCCTCACCACCCGCTCCTTCAGTAATATCCACAACTAATAGAGAGGGCGGCGTCCGCTACACTACCCTCACCACCCGCTCCCTCAGTAATATCCACGACTAATAAAGAAGGCGGCGTCCCCGACACTACCCTCACCGCCCGCGCCCTCCGTTATGTCCACGTCTAGGTAAGCAGAATAAAGAGGGTTGGGGTTGTGGGCGGCGTGATCGTCCTTTGCCTAGAGCGGCAGTTCAGCTTGCTCCGGCCCTGCAAGTGAGTGACAGTTACACAGTGTGAACTATCAAAGACGCGATCTGAGAGAATCGCCGATGAGTCTCCAATGCCTGTGAGATATTTGGCATGCTAAATATCTGGAGCTGTCTGCCATTCAAATCATGAAATGTGTTTTGACTGAAAATAACATCGGTGATCGCCTACAGCCAATGAGAGAGCAGCATTCACTTGTGCGTGTTTGCCTGCAGGCCAGAGGGTGGCTGGGGGAGAAGTTAAAAGCATTAACATATAAAACATGTATAATGTGTACATTTTCTACCCTGTTAAAGGCTTCTTTCTTATTATGTAGTTAATAACAAAATATATACTACGTGTTTTTGGTTGTGAGATGTAGTTTGGACGAAGTTGTTGGCGATTCTTTCTATTGAAAAGTCATGCAATGTGAAAGCCCCTGTCGCCGATCCATCTTGCAGTGTTAACAAAGCAGTGACGAAATGCTAGCCCAGATAGTCAGGCAGTGTGAAAATATCTGTGACACAACTACTTTGAAAATCATGCAGTCTGAACTCAGCATAAGTTGTCCCAACAAAAAAATTGGGTTGTTTCAGCTTATTGTAAATAATTAGCAGAAATAAGCAGAATTTTTTTTTTTTTTTTTGGGTGTATATACACAATTAACGCATACCATTAGTCGGAAAGTGATTAATATTTAATTAACGCAAATCAATTGTTTGATAAGGTTTAAGTCAAGCTTCTTGCTGTCGCCATTGACTTTTAATACTAGAATACATAAACTGTATCTGTACTTATTCACTTTGGGCAAGCTAAAATTATTAAATGATTAGAATAAGATATTAAAACTAGATGATCTGTTTCCATACATATTTACACAATTACATATTCAAAGTTAAATCCTATTGAAATTTGTCATTAATGTAGATCATGATTTCGATTACATTGTTTATATATATTCATTCATTGATTTTATTTTCGGCTTAGTGCTTTTATTAATCAGTGGTCGCCACAGCTTAATGAACCACCAACTTATCCAGCATATGTTTTTACGCAGCAGATGCCCTTCCAGCTGCAACACATCACTGGGAAACATCCATACACACTCCTTCACACATATACACTACGGACAATTTAGCCTACCCAATTCACCTGTACCACATGTTTTTGGACTTTAGGGGGAAACTGGAGCAGTTTATACATATATACAGTTGAAGTCAGAATTATTGGCCCCTGTTTATTTTTTCCCCAATTTCTGTTTAACGGAGAGAAGATTTTTTTTCAACACATTTCTACACATAATAGTTTTAATAACTCATCTCTAGTAACTGATTTATTTTATCTGTGCCATGATGACAGTACATAATATTTGACTAGATATTTTTCAAGACACTTCTATACAGCTTAAAGTGACATTTAAAGGCTTAACTAGGTTAATTAGGTTAACTAGGCAGGTTAGGGTAATTAGGCAAGTTATTGTATAATGATGGTTTGTTCTGTAGACTATCGAAAAAATATATAGCTTAAAGGGGCTAATAATTTTGACCTTAAAATGTTTTTTAAAAAATTAATTTCTAGCCGAAATAAAACAAATACGATTTTCTCTAGAAGAAAAAATATTATCAGACACACAGTGAAAATTTCCTTGCTCAGTTAAACATCATTTAGGAAATATTTAAAAAAAGAAATTCTATAAGAATAATTCTGACTTCAACTGCATGTATATATATTTATTTATACATATTTATGTTTATTTATATATACATTTTAAGGGCAAAAAAGGCCTAACTAATCTAATTAACCAAGCCTTTAAATGGCACTTTAAGCTGAATTCTAGTATCCTGCAAAATATCTAGCAAAATATTATGTACTGTCATCATGGCAAATAGTTTTTTTTTCTTGAAATTTAATTAAAATTTTAAAGTTTATTCTCAACATTTAATTAAAACTTTTTTCTTGAAATGTAAGAAGTTGTTTCTTAAAACCCAGACTTTATTCTCAATATTTAATTTTACCGTTTGTTTTTAAACACAACAACTTTATTCTCGTATTTAATGAGTTTATTCTGAACATTTAATCGAACATTTTTTATAATAACTTAAATCTTAAGATGTTTTTTCATTATTATTTCTCTTCATTTCCTTACAAAATGCCTACACTACTTTAGTTAATACAATTGAAAATTGTAGTTATTTTTTTGGTGTTAATAATGAAATTTAATTTTTAAAAAAGCTGCTTTCATCATAAACATCATTAAAATAATGTGTAAATGCAATTTTCCATATTTTGTGATTCACATTTGCCTTTTTTTAAAAAAAAAATGTATTTATGCTTTTGAATTGCATTACGGTACATTGATTTTTTTCTCCAACAACCGTTATTGTTGAAAAGTTTGAAAAAGTGACCTTTGTTGACATTTTTAATAGTTTGAAGTGATATATTGTCTGGATTGGTGTTGTTTATTAATGTAAAACAACCTGGCAACAAACTGCCAAAAAAAAAAAAATTTCTGCTATTTGACACACTTTTTAAATTCTTTATACATTTTTTTTTCTTATACAATATTTTGTTTCAACCTACTAAAATGTCAAAAACAGCCACTTTGTTAAACTGCAGAGTTGAACTGTCAACATCAAAAGTCAACAGAGCACAAAACAAAGTCCCACAATGCAATAGTCATAATCGTAAATAGAAAAAAACAGCTTTGAAACACGGAAGTTTACTGTTTATTAAAAATTATAAACCATCAAGGTATTTCTGACAGAGATCCTTACCTTTTATCAGTGCATGTTTCCAATCATCAATTCAGATTAAGGTTTCGAAATTTCCTCAAGCATCATCATCATCATCGTCATCATGTATCAGAAGACATCCAGTCCTGTGGAATATAATATAAATAATATAATAATAGCTTAATTCTGCCAAACACTCACACACAGCAGTCTAAAACACACTCTCTTTAGCTGTAGCGCAGGACTGCAGTGTCACATCTCTCTTCTTTTTTTTTTGTGTGTGTGTGTGATTGTTTACCTGTCTCCCTCCTTCCACGGTGTGTCATGCTGTAAGCAGACCTGACACTGGTGCCAAGCGATGACATGCTCGTCCCGTTGTCTTCTTCTGCCACATTCCAGTCGGACAATAAGACTTTTCTCATTGTCTTCATCAATGTGACACGTTAGGGAGCATGGAGAACACACACAAACGCTAGCAAATCACATACGCATGCGGAGGGCGAGCGGGCAGTCTGAGATGCAGGGATGTCTTTCAAGGCTTTGTGGGACAGACAATAGGCCCGAGTGGAGGGGCTCGCAGAGGAACATCCCACCCAGTGAATCTCTGATGTCACGCTCGCAGCATAATGGAGGGTTTTGTGAATGTAAAAGATGGTGTCATTCACATGACATAAGTTTACTCCGCTTGAGTAACAATGAAGCCACTATTCTCTGCGCTTATATATGCGGATTGTCCGGAATGGATTGCGTGGCACGTTCACTCTTCATCAACTCCGACTCCTATGGAAAAATCATACTGAGAAATTGCCAATATTTGAATCTGAATCATGGCCGACCAACAAATGTCAGTCCCATTTTACAATAAGGTGTCATTAGTTGATGTAGTTTCATTTATTTAATAATGCGAACTAAAAATGAACTTGTTCAGCATTAATTAAAGGTGCAGTATGTAAGATTGACACCCAGTGGTTGAACTAGGTATTGCACTCCAAAATCAAAACACTTTTTCACCTGGCCCCATCTATAATGACACTATGCAAACACAGGTCGCCAGATTGACAGCACTAACACGAGTGAGCCCCAACATTCATTCATTAAGGGCTTAGTCCCTTAATTAATCAGGGGTCGCCACAGCGGAATGAACCACCAACTTATCCAAGTTTTTACACAGCACATGCCCTTTCAGCTGCAACCCATCTCTGGGAAACATCCAGACATTCATTCATACACACACTCATACACTACGGACAATTTAGTCTACCCAATTCAACCGTACCGCATGTCTTTGGACTGTGAGGGAAACCGGAGCACCCGGAGGAAACCCACGCGAACGCTGGGAGAACATGCAAACTCCACACAGAAAAGCCAACTGAGCTGAGGCTCGAACAAGAAACCCAGCAACCTTCTTGCTGTGAGGCGACAGCACTACCTCCTGCGCCACTGCTTTGCCCGGATCCTATTTTAACGCCATGAAATTTAAAAAAAGAGACTTGTTGTGTTTTTATCACCCCAATATGACTATGGACACACTATACCTAAACACAGTTCTGTCCAGACTGCTTACAAAAGATGATTTTCATCATAGGTGGCCTTTAATGCATTTACTAACATGAACAAACAATGGACAATACTTATTTGTTCATGTTAGTTAATGGAAATACAGTTGTTTATTGTTGTTAAAGGGCACCTATGGTAAAAAATCTACTTTTCAAGCTGTTTGGACAGATCTGTGTGTTGGTGTAGTGTATAGACCGTCATACTGGGGTGATATGAACACACCCAGTCCTTTTTTTTCAATTTAACTACAAAAAAAAGGGTCGGCCAATTGGAGCTGTTTTCAAATCGATCGCACCATTACGTAGGTGTGCGATTCCCCCCGCCCACCGAATTGATTGACAGCTGCGCGCATTAACATGTTCCGGTAGTCGCGTGTATATGTCAACAAGACCAGGCAGACATACGCAAAGCAACCGGGAATAAAAGCTCTGTTCTGTTCGCTAGGATCAGCAATCATCATCAAATGTGATTAAGAGTGAGTTTCACATGTTTAAAGTGTTTTAAAACAGAGTATGTGTGTAATTAATTACAGTGATTTACTTCAGCTTTACTTCATCAGCACAGCCACGTGTCAGAACAATTATAAAAGAAGACGCTTCAATCCCGGTTTGTGGAAGTTAAATCAGGTTTATTTTGTACATTAGCATAGCAGATATCCACACAGTACTTGAGGTTAGCCTTAACTAAGCTAAGCGCTCTGTCTGTCTGCCTGCCTGCCTGCGTGCGTGTGTGTGTGTGTGCGTGTGCGCGTGCGCGATTACTTTGTAACGATTTGAGCTGCGTCCCAAATCGCATACTTATGCACTATTCTACGCCATTTTGTAGTATAAATAGTGTAAGTAGTGTGTTCACACTGAAAACTCTTAAAATAATAAGTGCACTTTAATTACCCGGATGATGCACTCATTCAGCCGCTAAAATGAAGTGTGTAATGATGGACACTTCACGCACTCAACGACCTCAGGCTTGCTTACGTAGCGGAAGGGGCGGAGCTATAGGACGCACATGTTGGATAACTTTATTTATTTTGGATGGAGAAAGCAAAATTCTCCTACGAGAGTGATTATAGCGCCTCCCGGTGGTGAATGCAGCAATACTCGCGGCAGGTATTATTTGATAATTCGGTCGTTTATTTCACTGATTTGGCAACCGTCAAACGTCATCAGGGAAACGGTTTGAATTTCCGTTTAGTATAAAAACATTAGTGTGCCATTTGGGACAACACTACATACATGTACTATCCTGTTGAGTGTGTTAGTGCATAAGTACATAGTGCATGAGTGCATAGTGTATAGTGTGCCATTTGGGACGCAGCTATTGTGTGTGACTCATCAATGCAACTTCACAATACTGATTAGTAAAGGTTAGTTCTTACTGTAGTTTCTCACAAACGCTACGTGAGACCTTCTTCCTTTAAGTCTGTCTGTTGTCTGACGCAGCTGAGGGAGGAGGCATGTAGAAACAGTAGGCGGGAAAGACTCATCTTAAAGGCGCAGTACGACAAAACCACCCCCTGCTGGAAATCAGTATAAAACAGCATCTTGTAAAAGGTATAATGAAAATTCTGATGGGTATTTTGATCTGAAACTTTATATACACATTCTAGAGACGCAAAAGACTAATATTAAATCTGAAAAAAGGGGTAACCTAGGTGCCCTTTAACCTAAGGTGCATTCATTTTAACAAGCATGCATTTGGATGTCAATAATAAATTAGTAAAAGTTGGACTAGGATAGAGCTGCACGATTCTGGCTTAAATAAGAATCGCAATTTTTTGGTTTAAAATAAAGATTACGATTCTCATGATTCTGTAGATGTAAAATAAAGCTTAATATGAGATTATAATTTTTTCTCAAACATATGGTAAAACGACAATATTAATATTATATGTAGGTCGTCTGGTTTCTATAAATATTTCTGTTCTACTTATAATAATTCTGATGTTGAATTATGTTTGAGATATATGCAGGGCCGGCCCGTGGCATATGCAGTATAGGCAAATGCTAAGGGCGCTGTACATCCAGGGGGCGCCAGAAATGAGCGCGGTTAAGTTGGTTTTGTTTTTGATATTCCTGACACATTCAGTGATAGATGGCATTAACTCAAAAACCTCTTACCCTAAAAAGATCTAAAGTTTGTTTCCTACAAAAAGACAAAGCTGGTTATGTTTCACAGCTGTCTTTTTATTTTTTTTCGCTCGACATTACGACCACTGCTCCGTTTAGCCGGGAATATGCGTGTAGCTGGGAGAGCTCGCGCAGAGCGTAGCTCTCAGTAAGGGACCGTCGGAAAAGTGCTTCTTTTTTTTCGTTGTTTTTTTTTTTTTGCTCTATCCTGCTTGTTTTTTTTTTTAACACAACTAATTTTCTCTTAAATGAGCACAAACAGTTACTAAAGTAGTCGAATGCTTCATTCGTTCATTCATTTAGATCTGTGCATTCTTACATTAACTTCTCTGTTATCAAGCAAAAAACCATGAGAGATTCACTAGCTGCTCTTCACTAAATAACTATAGTAACTTTAATCAATATGCAAATACAATTAAAAGTTAAATAGATTTTATAGCTTTATTTAATTTCTGTATAAGCCATTGTTTTTAATAGGTTAAACCTTTTATTTTATTGTCAATATTTTCTATTGCTTGCAATGTATTCTATCATTTGAAGCTATTTGTTGTCCCATATTTTTTACATCCCAACGTTGACAGATATGGCATAACATTGCTAATCAATAAATAGCTATAGTGCTATCTGTTAGTTTTAATGTCAGCTAATGTTATAGAAGGGCATAGATGTTATGGAAAATAGTAATCGTAATGTAACCACCCCCATTATTCCTTCCTCAAGCAAATGTGTAAATATTAGATCTATTCAGCAGCAATAACGTTAATTGCATTGGCATATTTATCTGGCGTTTTCCCAGCTTGTAGTAGTCAATCAAAAAGCTATTTAGTTTCTTATGACTGTATACTAGCAGTGGAATTTACTGCGATGTGACGGGGCGCCACCTGAATTCTTGCCTAGGGCGCCAAATTGGTTAGGGCCGGGCCTGGATATAGGCCTATGCTTGCAATCTGTCATTAAGAACATTATTAGACCATTTAATACCCTGTTAAAAATCAACATTATATAGGCTAGAGTAGTTATACTGACACTGTAGACATTTATTTTCATGCACAACTTTGTGTTCACTATGAAAGAAAAAACTTATCAAATGCTTGTCGCAGTCATAACTCTAAAATGTGATGTGATATTATTTAAATGATGTGCGCGCTTTCGGTTTCATTTTCACTGTCAAGTGCTGTTCATACTTTGCGCGCGGCTCTCAAGCGATCACTCTGTGCCACAAACTGAATGTTATTTACAACTGTATTACCTGTTACTCACAGCATATGCAGGTTCTGTTCACTAAATTAGACGCGTATCTATCAATAAATAGGGCGCGCACCCGCACAATCCGCAGCTCATGTCACGTGCGATTTTCCGGTCGCGAATACATCATTATATGAAGACAAACATTACATTTTTGGGTGAGTTATACTTTGTAAATACAGTAATTGACTCTTTTAACATCATTTGGAGGTGTCCATGTCGCAGAGCAACGTCAGGGGCGCCCCTTGTGGCAACCTCAAATTTAGTTGTTGATATTATTTTTTAAATGTACTTGTGTAAGTTCACATTTCAATAAATAAATAGATAAATTAATAAATAAAGTGCAGCCACTAAGTTATTGGGGATTGATCAGTGTCACTGATGTAGCTGATTCACTGAGATTGCACACTTTTTATTAATAAATTATTATTTTTGAAATGAAAAAGTTGTGTTTTACCTGACTGAAAACAACAAATCCAAAAAAAAAAACAAAAAAAAAAACTAAATAAAAATTTTGCAACTCCATGCTGGTTTGTTTTAACAATTAATTCATTAATCTTCATAAATTTTGGACATGGCATATACTTTATGTTGTACAATAAAAGTATGTGGAAAAATAAATAGCCTGAAAGGCGTTTTAAAAATAAATATCGATATTTATTTGCTTTGCACGTGTACTTGATGAATTATTTCAAGGAATAAGTTACAATATTTCAAGAATATTTCATGGAATTAATTAAAACTTCATTATTTCATTCATCAGAAACAAAAAAATAATTACTCATTATTCACAATATATACACAATTTATTATTTTTTTATGTGCCACCCCAAGATTTGGTGTGGTCTTACTTGGCCACCCCTAAGAAAATGTTCTTGGGGGCGCCACTGAGCAACGTGTGTGAAACAATGAAAAGACTCGTGCAGCCGCCTTTGCTTCTCTCCTGAACTTGAAAATAGGATTGGCAGAATCGTAGAAATGCTGGATTAAGATCGTCTAGATCAGGGGTGTCAAACTCAATTCCTGGAGGGCCGAAGCCCTGCACAGTTTAGTTCCAACCCTGCTCCAACACACTTACCTGTAGGTTTCAAACAAGCCTGAAGGACTTAGTTAATTACTAATTAGTAATTAGTTTGATCAGGTGTGTTTAATTAGGGTTGGAACTAAACTGTGCAGAGCTGCGGCCCTTTTGGAACTGAGTTTGACACCTGTGGTCTAGGGGATCGAATCGAGATCGCGATCTTTTTCGATTGATTGTGCAGCTCTAGACTATGATTAATAAAAGTTGTACAAGTAATGTTCATAATTAGCTCATGTTAGTTAAAATGTAAACTTATGAAACCTTATTGACCTTTGCATCCAAATATTTATCATTGTTATGGTCAAAACTTCTTAATTGATTAGAGTCACATACTGATAAAGAGTCACATACTGTTGCTCATCCTCAGAGCAACTGAGCAACAGCTTGACAAACTCTGTCCAAATGCCCTTCTGTTAACATCTACACATGTCGGTTGCCTCGTCATCATGTGTTTTAATTTTCATCTTTCACACGTACATGAAACAATCCCCTTTCCAATTGTTCGGAGATCTTTAATCCATCTCCAGATCGGCTTAATGCAGTGCGGGTCTAATAGGATCGGCGGTATTAACCTCTGGGACAAAAGCGCCAGCTGTCCCAGAGCCCCCTATTGGCCAGGCTGTAGAACAGGGTAAGAGGGTGTGGAGGGGCACACAACACTGACCCACACTGAGAGAGTAGCACAGTGTGCGGCTGACTGTGAAGGGTGATGGGCTTTAGTAGTGACCAGCGGTGGATTGACAAGTGCTTACTCTTGGAGGAAACTGCCTGTTTGATTGTTTGTTTTCGCCCCTTTGGTTGGTCTGTGCAATTGGGACAGGGTGTTTGTATGGCTGTTTGAGTGGCGTGGAGACGCGGACGTGTCAGCATGGCGTTGGGAGCGGTGTGGAGCCGTGTTAAAAATGTGTGCCAACAGAACGGCCTCCTTATCTTGTCGGTGTTGGCCGTGGTCATCGGATGCCTGCTGGGATTCTTCCTGCGCTCCAAACATCTCTCCGAGCAGGTTAGTTTGAGATCGTCACACCTGGTGTAACCCGCTGAACCACACTCAGCATTCCCTGTCTTCCCTGCAGTCTTTTCCACCTTCTGATACACTCAAAATATAACTTTTGCTGCTTGTTCAAACTTCTTATGAGCTGAAACAACAATTTTTACCTTTTTGGGGGGACAACTTAATTATTTTAAGTTCAGTCCACTTAAATTTTAAAAAAATAATATTATTTATTTTTTAAATGATTTTAAAAAATAGTAAAAATGATTTTAAAAAATTGTAAAAATGATTTTAAAAAGTTAACATGAAGGAATTGTGTGGAACCCTGCCAAAAGATCTGGGTTCCACTCAATAAATTTGTGTTGGGGCAACATGAATGAATTAAGTTAGCTTATTAGATTTTACAAATTTAAGTGGATTGAACATGAAACAGTTAAGTTGTCACAAAAAAGCCTGAAGAATTGTGTTGTTTCAGCTCAGTTTAAATAAGCAATTTGAACAAACAGCAAACATCAGAGTGCATTGTAAAAAATGCTGGGTTCCGTAAAATCCCTTTATGTTGTCTCAACACAAATCAGTTACATTGACTCAATTGTTTTTACAAATTTAAGTTGATTGAACATAAAACAATTAGGTTATCCTAGAAAAACCTTCAAGAGTTGTGGTGATTAAGCTCATTATAATCAAGTAGACTGAACAAGCAGCAAAGATATTTTTTTTTGAGTGTGCAATGCTTTGAACTAAAGGTTCTCCACTGGCATCAATGGTTCCATGAGGAACCTTTAACATCTATTAGACCGTTCCATTACACTAAAGGCTCTTTAGAGGAAAATTGTTCTCTTAGTTAATAAAATTTTGCCGACATTCAATCATGCATTCATTTTCCTTTGGCTTAGTCCCTTATTTACTTATATATTTATCAGGGGTTACCAAAGCAGAATGAACCGCCAACTAAAGCCACCTTTCCACTGCACACAACATTTGAACACTACTGTTTAAATACGCCCTCTTGTGGCAGTCACACAGAATTTCCAGTTTTGTCGTGCACCCTGGGAAGCTGATTCTTGCAGTGTCCGAAATAAAGGAGTGCAAATGCAAGAGCGTTTATTCTCCCTGCGTTCACCGTAAATGAATGAATGAATGATAAATAATGGAAACTTATAGGAGAATTTCCAACCTACGTCACACATGACATCACACAGGTTCAACCGGGGGTCAAAAATGACCAGTTGCAATAGCAAACATGTCGTGTTGTGCGGTAGGATGGCAAAATTGAATGTCATTTGAATGTTTTACCGTACACCACACTGCTTTTAATGCCAACCGCACACATCTTTGGCTAACAGCCATCATTAGGGCCAAATGGAGTGAGGAACTTATTAAAAATGCTGGACTCTGCAGTTCTCATGTTATATCAGGTAGCTATGCTGAATCAGACACATTACTCGTTTTTGAATGCAGCAATGATTTCAGCACTAATATTGATTGACAGGCACGCATCACCTAATCCTCAGTTTGTCGTTTCACGTCCGCCATTTTCAACGTGTAAGTCAAAGCGATATTACTAAAGGAACACCCTTGCTCTATTTTTAGATGTAAGGCTCATTGGGCTCAACACAAGATCAGCATTCATTATTGTTTGTAACTTAGTTTGTTTGTAGGTAGGTTTACAAACTAGTGTACTTTTCATTGCGTCTATCTTAAACTTCAGCCGTTGGCATTTCTCGAGGTCACAGAAGCTCCCTGTGAGTGTGATCTTAATAGGAGCAGCTGTAAAGTGCAAGTGCCTTTGCCTCACATGAGTGTCTATCCATTGGAAATAAAATTGCCTGCAGGTCGCACAGCAGAAGCGCCGCTCGGCGATGCGCAGCTTAGCGCCATTCATATTAGAATTATAAACATAGGTTTCTATCATGGTACACCTAATGACGCTTCAAGTTGGCGGCTGTCCGTGGCGCCCAGCCAGGATTCGGGACACTTTATGTTTCTGCCGCGCCACAGAGTGCCATCTGAATAGTTTTATTTTAAATAACATGCGAATGTCCGTGTCTGGTGTGCCGTGTCGCGGGTCTAAGTGGGTCATCCAGTGCCTCAGTCAAAGTTAATTCAGTGTGCGTGGTTATGAGTCTCTGTATTTAAAGGGTCATGAAACACCAAAACACATTTTTTGAGCTGTTGACCGTCGTATATGTGTCCCACACTGCTAAAAACACTATTAGGACACCTATATCTCACTAAAAAGTGTAAATTGCTTGTTTTTGCATTATTTCGAGCAAATTTGTTCTTCCGGTTTGAAACGAATTTTTGAAGCTGCGTCACGGCCATGAGATCTTAGCGTGTATTCCAGCGTGCAGACTGGACGTCTGTACCGAGGCGTCCCGTATTACATCTTTGAGTGCGTTGCATTCATTCATGAGTATGGCTTGGTTCAAACCAATCAGCGCACTCTATTGTGTATGTGCTGCAACTTCATTAATATGCATGCTAGCTTTCTTAGACTGTACCTGAAGCAGTGTTCAGACATCAGAGAGACGACACACGTCCTGTTGTCAAAAGTTGTGGGAAAAGAAAAAGAATTGTTGGGAGATAAGGGTCGCCAGTGTTGCTTTTATTATGTGGATCCGTAGACGCGACGCGCGGCAGAAATTCGTTTGTTTGGAACATTTTTTACTTGAGCATTTCTCATCAATGGTGAGATCAGGATTTGCTGCTCGTCTCCTTTAAAAAAGACGCTGCTCCAGTGTGTGGTGATTATCCTGTCTACAGATTTGGTAAGTGTGTGATCAGTGCCCTTTCTTTGTTCATTTAGATGGCAAAGTTATAGTTCGTATGGTCAGCTGTACTCTTTCAGTGTTTAAAGACAGACCTTAGTCAAAATGATTTCTAAGTTACTTAGTTTACAGTACGTTAATATTACTACAATATTGAAAGGTCCGCTGTAAATGCTGCTCTCTTGAGTGTAAACTTGTGAAAATTTAAAGCAAACTTTTGCCGACCGTCGTGTATAATTTTCGCCGCATTTTGTGACAGGATAGTCTACACACACGGCTTTCTGACCGACCGAGTGCATCTGAGTTACAGAGAAATGCAGAGGCTTTTTTGTCTTATACGACGTGCGGTATCAAACATTCCACCGTCATTAAACACGCTGTCTCCCCTGCGTGTGTGTTTGTTTGTACTCGGTCAGTAGCGCGTGCCCAAATGGCAACTTCCATTTTTATTCAAACCCCGCCCACTTTTCCTCCCCTGACACTCCCACCCAAACAAAGCTAGACACACCCACTTTCCTGACTTTTTCCAAACTAGAGGTGTGAAAACATCCTGCTGAAACGGGGGTTTTCATGGCCTTTTAAGCTTGGCACTTTAAACTAGCACACAGTTGGCTGTAAAACTAAACAAAGACACAAATGATTTTGTACTCTCTGCTTGGTCTGTGTCCGAGGCGTACATGTACGGCGGAATGCTGATCCTCTCATGCTGCTTCTCTCTCTCTGTTTGCCTGTTTGCTGCCAAACACAGAGTGGGGGAGCTCTTGGCTCCGCCCCCTTGTTACGTTGGGCAGGAATTTGAAACTAATTTTCATTTTCAACACGCCCCTAAGACAGTAACCTGTGTACACGCCCCCAACATGACACTTTTTAACACATTAAAATAAAACAATCTGAATTATGTTTTAAACTGAACCAAAACTGGCACACTCAGAAGAACCATAATATTAATATTAAATCATAAACAAGGTGTAAATCATGTGCCCTTTAAACAGTCTAGAGAGAGTCCAGTAAAAGTCCATTTTAGAATATATAATAATCTACAGGAAACCTAAATGGAAGATTTTAAAAAGATACTACTTTGTTTAACATTAACACGGTGTAAAACATTATTGCTCCATTTATTTATTTGAATCATATGAACTTTTCTAGTCATCTCAATGTACAATACATCAGTCAAACTGACTTAAAATATTGGGAACCCTTTAGGTCACAATTCACGGTATTAACAAACCATTAACTAACACTGTTAGCTTAATAAACTACTAAGTGAAGTTTCACAAACTAATTTCGAGAGGAGCATGTGATCAGACTACAGCTGATCCATATCACTAATCACTAACTAGCCGGATCATTCTAAATTAAATATTAATATCCAGCCTAAACTTCATTCCTCATTTTCTTTCCCCCCATCCATCCCTTTTCCCTCCTCCTCAATTCTAAGTTCGGGTGACACAGTGGCTCAGCAGCTAGCCCTGAAGTTTTCATGTTCTCCCAGTGTTTACGTGGGTTTTCCCCAGGTACTCCGGTTTCCTCCCACACTCAAAAACATAAACCAAAAGTTAAAGTCACAAGCACCTACTACGTACAAACTAGCGCAGTTAGCGGTCTACTCATGGGAAGTTATCGAGAACTACCTAATCTCATGTCCCTCCTAGTGCTTATTGACCAGACGGGAGCCTTGGGCTCATCTATCTCCTCATCTAAACCTGATAAAAATGAGTCAAAGCAACATCAAAATATTTGTTGTCTTGACTTTTTGTCATTTCATTTTTTTTATAGTGCTCAATTATACATCATTAATCAAAGCATAATGGCTATGAAATTGTAGAGTTTTAAACGCTGTGTTGAAACAAGATGCAACTGAACAATTATGTTGATTACTGAACAAAATTCAGTCTTCATTCTGTTTATTTGACTAACTCAAGGGGGTAGAACTGGCATGTGTAACCCCACTGGTCCTACGCCACTCAACCCGCTTCGAGCTGGTATCGAACCGGCAACCTTCCGCATGGGAGTGGGTTGCTCTACCAAGGAGGCTAAAGACCATAGCCTCTAGCGTCAGTCACTAGAGCACCTTTTGAGGTCAGAGGAGTGAGGTTTACTTGCATAGTACTTACTAGCTGGCCTCTGTTACACATGGACGGAGTGGACATGTCCCCACCAATATCCACATTAGTGAAATGTTCCTACCAAATAATTTAATCTTCTTCAAAATAAAGTATTGCTCAATCAACTCTCAACTTACATGTGCACCAAGTCAAGTTCAGCATAATACTATTAACTAAGGCTGTGCAATTAATCAAAATTCAGTTTCAATTCTGGCCTCCATGATTATATATAATAAAAAAAAAAACAATAATCAAGCAAAATTGCATCCCAGACCTCTCTAAATTCCTTTACGTTCCTACCTCCTCAAAGCCCGACTGCTGTAAAATCATGTAAATTGACTTTTGCAGCATGGGCAGGATGGTGTTTGTATTATTAAGTGTTTATTTTATAATATGTACATTATTTGTGTTTTTAAAAGCGTGAAACAGAATTTGTGCTGTTCATTGCATGCGCTCTAGGGATGTACGTCCCCACCAATGCCAGTACCTACGCCCTTGGACTAACTTTTATTGGATGTGAGATGTGCACTTCACCACAGCTCTTAGTCACAAGCAGGCATCGAGTTGTCGGAGGGATTATCGGTCAATCGGCTGAAACGCTGAAGCACTACAGCTGGGAGGATCTGTCAAGTTGAAAATCTCATCCGTCTCCAGTTAAACCATTCATGCTGCTAGTCAGGGTTATGAGGAACTATATTTACCTCATGATCTACGGCTTGCTGAAGTAGGCGAAGTCTTTTGGTGTCTATTTGTGGGACAAAATGATAAGAGAGAAGGAAGTAACTGCAGTATTGTAGACAACACAGAACTGAAAGATTTTCCACTTTTTATTTGTAAATAATATGTTGAACTCCACTAGAAAGGGGCGACACGGTGTGATTAATATGCATGACAGCTTCCTAGACTGTTTTTACGTGATACAGTGTTCGCGTGGCAGAGAGACGCCATGTTGTGTTGCCAAAACAAGTGAAAGGAAAAACAACATCTGTTTGGAGGCAGGCCGTCAGTGTTGAGTTTTTAAATGTTCTGCAACAAAGATTTTGTTTTCATTTCCCCGCTATGAAAGCGCAGCTCCCTGCTGAAAAATCCAGCTTAAACCAGCCTAGGCTGGTTGGCTGGTTTTAGCTGGTTGACCAGCCTGGTTTTAGAGGGGTTTTGGCCATTTCCAGGCTGGTTTCCAGCTATTTCCAGCTTGGTCTTAGCTGGTCAGGCTGGAAAATGACCTGTTAAATCCAGCTAAAACCAGCTTGACCACCCTGGTTTAAGCTGGATATAGCTGGTTTTGGCTGGGCTCCCAGCCTGGCTAGGCTGGTCAAGCTGGTTTTAGCTGGTCATCTCCCAGCCTGACCAGCTAAGACCAGGCTGGAAATGGTTGGAAACCAGCCTGGAAATGGTCAAAACCCCTCTAAAACCAGCCTGGTCGACCAGCTAAAACCAGCCAACCAGCCTAGGCTGGTTTAAGCTTGATTTTTCAGTAGGGCTGGACTCATAAGTGGACTACAGTGCAGTAGAAATACGCAGCAGAAATACGTTTGTAAGAAACATTTTTACCCGAGAGCTTTTCACATCTGGAAATGGTGAAATCCGAATTTGTTGCTCGATTCCTTTTAACAACTTAAACTCTGCGGACCCGGTACCGGGTCAGTGACGTCATCGGCTTTCGCTTTCAGAGTTAAAGGGCTAGCGTTGCACCAGAGCCCCGTAAGTGGTGTCGTTTGAAAGTGTAGAATCTATATTTTATGCACATATGCATCACTTTGGTTTTTATTCTACTGTATAAAAGTTATTTACACTTAAATACACAGTATTTTGGAGACCCGAGCTGGGTATTTTACATTGGTTCATTTTCATATTATTTCATATGACATATGTACAAGTTATAGCTCAAATGAAAGCTCTTGCCGGTGCTCATACAGCTCTAGCATTCTTTTTACTGAATTATATTCATATGCCAAACAGTTGTTGAATGAATTGTGGCGTTTCCATGGCGCAGAAATGTAAACAATACATTCATGATCAATAAGCAGCCCCAGATAGCACAGACAGCTGCCATCTCTTACCTTATGCTGTGCCCTTCAGGGCCATTCTCCTCTGTTTTTGAGGTGATGTGCATAAGTAATCCTTTTATATGTCTGATGTGGTCCAAACATAGTGAATTATGTTTGATCAAACAAAAGAATAGTGAAATATGTAAACAAGGATCGGTCTCTGTGGTTTGTACAGCACCTTTCATCAGTTGGAATACAATAACTTTTGCATAGATTATGGTGGAGACATTTTTCTTTTTTCCTATGATTACATACATGTGCAGGAACCAACAAAATTAATTACAGCACGCTAGACCACACAGAACCTAAAAGGTACACTTTCAAATCTGAGTTTATAAAAAAAAAATACAAAAAGCTCCTCTTTTTTTAGGTGTTTATTATAACACAGACGACATATACATTTGTTTTAAACACTTTCAATAGTGTTTTATGAAAATTCAAAGGGTTTTCTTTAAAATTATACCAAATTTTTGCATTTACACCTCTGCATGAGGATTTGGGAAGCTTTTAAATTTGGGTAGGCAAAATCCAGGCGGAAATCCCCAAATAGCAGCAGAGTTTAACTGGTAGTTTGTGTTGATTCTCTTGTCTCTACAGATTTGGTAAGTGATCGATCAGTGCTCTTTGTTTGTTCATTCCGAAGGCAAAGTTAGTTCGTATTCTCAACAGTACTCTTTCGGTGTTTAAAGACAGACCTTAGCAACTGTCCCATAGACAGTCATTATAGAGGCCCAGATTGATATCGTCATGCTGCAGTGTTATAGCAACATGCTAATAATGATTAGCTAAGTACTTTAACATGCTAGAAATGCTTAATAAACATTAAGGAAAATCTATAGAACACCGCTTTATCTATCTATCTATCTATCTATCTATCTATCTATCTATCTATCTATCTATCTATCTATCTATCTATCTATCTATCTATTCATACTTTTTAAAACTGTTTAAACTAAATAAACTATTACCAACAGACTTTCACAAGCCAGCCTCAAAGTTTGATAATCTAGTTGCTTCATGTTTTTCCAAAACAAATCGATTGCGCGAAACCCAGCATTTTTTTTACAATGTATATACAGTTTAATTGGCTCATTGGTTAGAAATATTTCACAATATATCTGTATTCAATCGAATAAATGCATGATTTTGACCATTGAATAATAATCTGCTGTTCCACACTATCTGACTGTAATAAGTATATTTTGATCATTATATCAGTGTATCCCTGTCCGTTTAGATTACGCCAAATGGCAGCTTTACAGACTTTACATGGCCTGCCTCAGCAATGCCAGTGGCAGATGTAGTGGCTCTGTGCCAGCTGTTTTTAACGCTAGCATTAGCAGATAGCACAGCAATGGCAGCCATTTGTCAGCATTGATCCTGACGCTGCTTGGACACGAGCCCTGATCTGAGCTTCACGATCCCTCCCCCTAATTCATGCAGACCTGTAAGCTCTTTAACACCAGCATCATGTCTCTCAGCCCACTCAACACAATATGCTCTTCAGTAAGACTCGGGCCCTAGGAGTGTCATTGGACGGCAGTGTTTCTTTCTAAATAGTGCTGTTTCAATATATAAAATAAATCTACGCTGTAAAAAATATTGATTAATTAACAGTTTCTGTACTCACAGGTGTTTTAAAAAACTTTTTTACGGTAACACATTACAATAAATTACAATTAAATGGGTGACGCGGTGGTTCAGTGGTTAGCCCTCATAACAAAGAAGGTCGCTGGTTTGAGTCCGGACTGGGTCAAGTTAACATTTCTGTGTGGAGTTGGCACGGTCTCCTCGTGTTGGTGTGGGTTTCCTCTGGATGCTCCGTTTTTCCCCACAGTCCATAGATACACGCTATAGGGGAATTGAATAAGCTAAATTGACTGTAGTGTATGAGTGTGTGTGAATATGAGAGTGTATGGGTGTTTCCCAGTACTGGGTTGGAGCTGGAAGGGCATCCGCTGTGTAAAACATATGCTGTATTGAAGTTGGGGGTTCATTCCGCTGTGGCGGCTCCTGATAAATAAGGGACTACGCCGAAGGACAAGGAATTAAATGATTATTGCGGCATGGTGGCTAAGTGGTTAGCAAAACAGCAAAAAAAGTCACTGGTTTGAGTCCCGACTGGATCAGAGAGCCTTTCTGTGTGGAGTTTGCATGTTCTCGCTGACCAGTAAAACATAGTAAGTAATTGGTGGTTCATTCCACTGTAGCAACCCCGGATAAAGCCAAAGAACATAATTGAGTATAATTTCAGTTCAAACTGTGAAATCTTACTGGTTTAATCGGTCTGGGCTTTATTCATTCATTTCTTTTCGGCTTATTCCCTTTATTAATCAGGGGTCGCCACAGCGGAATGAACCGCCAACTTATCCAGCTTATGTTTTACACAGCAGTTGCCCTTCCAGCTGCAACCCATACACTCTCATTCACCTAGAGGAAACCCATATCAACACGGGGAGAACATGCAAACTCCACAGAGAAATGACCGCTGACCCAGCCAAGGCTCGAATCAGTGACCTTCTTGCTGTAAGGCAACAGCGCGACCGACTGTGCCACCGTACCGCCAGTCTGAGCTTTATGTGTACAGTAAATCACAGCAAGTTAAAGCCTTGTGTTGTTGTGTTTTGTTTTCCCTGAAGGAGGTGAAGTACTTTCAGTTCCCAGGAGAATTGCTAATGCGGATGCTGAAGATGCTCATCCTGCCTCTGGTGGTCTCCAGGTAAGATTAAGGATATATAAATACTGTATATACAATTAAAGTCAAAATAATTGGCCCTCCTGTAAATGGCAAAGATAAAAGAAATCAGTTTTAATAAATTAGTTATTAAACTATTTCAAGAGTTCACGCTTAGCTGATGATTGATTATAAAGCTTGTTTGGCGTGTTGTCCTAGAAGAGAACCCTGAGCTCATAAGATCCTCGAGCCCGAGGCTCCCTCCTGTTTGCAAGGTGAGAGAGGAGTTTGAGCTCAGGAAAATCTTGAGAACTCCCCTGCTGTAGTAGCTATTGAACAGATAGTGATTGCTCCTAAGAGATAACTACTTACTAGGAGTAGGAGCATGTCTATGGTGCTGATTTGGATCTAAATTAATTTAATTTAATTTAATAAATTTGTATTTTTGGAGCCTTGGTGTTGCCGCCTTTGATTTACATTTAATTTGCGCTGATTTGGATTAGTCAATTAACTTTAGTTGCTTGTTTTTGGACGGTGGGAGGAAACCGTGTAAACTCTGTGTAAACTCTGCACAGAAACGTCGACTGGCTTGGTATGGACTAGAACCAGTGACATTCTTGCTGTGAGGCAACAGTGCTAACCACTGGGCCACCGTGCCACCCATCTAGGAAAAAAAGGAGGAGTAGGGGTGGAAGGGGGAATTCTTCAAAACAAAGATGGCTGTCACAATGAACTCAGGGTATTTATAGTGGCTTAGGAATCGTCTGATTGGTGAATCATAAATTGAATAATGCGAGACCGGCTGCAAGCAATCATAGGCACGTGATCCTCTTAAAATTAGTTTATAAATAAACTTCACTAAATTTAGAAATGTGTTGGAAAAGTTGTATTTCCATTAAACCGAAACTGGGGGGAAATATATATATATATATATATATATATATAGGGGGGCTTATAATTTTGACTTCAACTGTTTGTGTGTTTCATCGCACTCAAATGATACACTATACAATGTCAAATTAAAGGTGCCCCTCGGGGTTCTATATGCTGTCCTATTATGTTTTCCTTTTATTCAAATGAAGCATGAGAATAATTACATTATCAATTTTATTATCTGCTAATCTGAGATTGGGATATTTGTGCAGTGGTGTGGTGTGAATCAATTTACCGTTAATTTGTGAAAAATTAAGGAAATGATAGTAGACCTTAAGGGCCCTATGATACACCCGACGCAGTGTGGCGCAAGGCACGGCGCAATAGTCTTTTGGTTGTTTCAGCTTAGCGCAAGAGTCGTTTTGAGGCTTTGCGCTACGCTGTTTAAATAGCAAATGCATTAGCGCTCATATGTGCGCCCATAGGCGTTCTGGTCTAAGAAGGGAGGCGTTCTGAGGCGGACCGCTGGCGCGTTGCTATTTTGAGAAACTATAATAGATTTTTCATTTGACCAAAACTAACCCGGTCTAAACTCCGGCGCAGAGTTGAGCCTCGCTTACGCACTGCTTAATATGCACAAGAGAGCAATAGGCAAATATCTTTACATATGAAAAAATTTAAAAATTAAGGATATATATATATAGGATATAATAAGAATAGATATAGGATATAAATATAAAGGATTAAAATATTACAAAACATATTATTTTCTAGCCTACATAAATATGAAAAACCACTGCTTTTTGAGCACACTTTGTTATTATTATTCATTTATTCGTTTGCTGGAAATTAGAACTGAATTTAGAAATAGTTTTGAAACGAATCTTTGCGCTTAACAAACGCAATTAATTATTTATAGACTAATTGATGTCTGTGCGTAAAGGTTTCCCTATCCAAGAGTGAATGTGAAAGTAGACATTTATTTCTCATTCTCACGCAGTAGATGCTCTGTTTAACAGTTTTCTGTTAAAAAACTGTTAATTGTTAACTGTTTGCTATTGAAATGCTCAGTTTTTCCACTTACTTTGCGTCCTGTAAATAGCGAATACGCTCTTGGCGCGACGCAGCTGGCTCTTAAAGGGAATGGGAGATGAGACTCTAATTGGTTTATTCTCAAAACACACCTATAACTCATTAAGAAGATAAACTCAACCCTTTTAGCCCATGCGCCTTGGCGCAAAGCAGGTTCTCCCGTCCTTAAATTAGCAAAAACGCGTTCTGACATGCCCTGAAAGCGTTTGTGTCCTGCGTTTTGCGCTCTGCGCATGGACCGTCAAAATAGAGCCCTAAAAGACTAGGTGATTACAACATTGAACAAATAGATACAAGTATATTTGGGTGGCCATTGACTGTACACTGACTTGAAAAGCTAACATTGACTATCTCCGCTCAAACTTTCAGACTATATTTTTTTAGGGAGACTCTCATCTTACTTTAAGTGCTCGCAAATATAGACAGAAATCAACACCTTTCACGCTTTCCACACATTTGGACAGAACATGTAAAAGGCCCCGGGAACAACAATAGAGGACATACTGCACAGCAGATCCTGTTCTTGCTTCTTGGATGTGACTGTCACAAGAAGATGTAGTAGTTTTGTTTGAGCTCGAGTTGACCAAAGTTCATTGCTGCATGCTGCGATGTGTAATATTATGGTGTCATGTTTTTGCTGTTTATTGAACAATGGCACTTCCTCTGTTGTAGTTCCCCTGGTTTGTAAGTAATGATTCCCGGCAAACCAATAGTGTTTAGCCACCGATTTAGCTCCATTCTTTTGGTACCTTACTATTGTGAGATACCCTTACAAAATTGTCCCAAAACATGTTTTAGTTAGCTATTTTGATACTTTTGAAAGTGTAAACTTAACAAATGCAAACCATACTCTACTGTACCAAACCATACTGCTCAGTAGAATTGAGTTATAAGAATTGTGGTAATCTGAAAACAATTAAATTTGACCCTCCAACGTCTCTTATTGTGGTTGCTTTGAGGAAACATGGCTTTGGAGAGAGTTCTTAGGGGTTTTATGGTTTCATAATATTATGTCCTCGCCCTCAGGTGGTTTCTATCTTCTGTTGAACACAATAAGAGATATTATAAATATGAATACTAGTGCTGTCAAAATTAGCGTGTTAATGCATGCGATTAATTTGAAATATTTACCACGTGAAAAAAATCTACGCAATTAACGCAGTTGCAATTTTTTTCCTTGTTGTGGTCGACGTGTGTTTAACGTGCAAAGAAATATGGATAAGACCAAGGAAGCAGTTTTTGAAGGCAAGTTTCAGTATAAATCAATTAATGTCGCATCACCAGGCTCTCCAGGTGATGCGGGTGTTTCATTTTTTAACTTTCGACTTCTGCTTTAATGGGGTTTGATACTGCATGGCGAACGGAAAGAAAAACCTCCGCATTTCGTGACTCGGTGGTCCTTTAAGGTAATCAAAATCGCTGCTTACATGGTAACTCTTAATCAGAGTATTATCTTAATCATATTAAAAGGGGAATATGTCAAAGACAGCGCATTCCTCTGCCTTTCAGCATGCACCCTCCACGTGTTTCCCACTGTCTGCTTCGGGTTGTTGAGTCAGAATCCTTGTGAAATACAGCCATATATTAGAACGCTTAGTTTAAGCAAATTTGATGAACGCGATCATGCGTGTTGAATCTGAAGGGAGTCAGGCTGCCCTGTCCTGCGCGCATTGTGTGTGTGTGTGAGTGTCTGTGTCTGTGTCTGTGTGTGTGCTTAGCAACAAACCTGTCTAAACGCCGTTGTCTGTAGTCACTAAATCAAAAAGTTACAAATTGCTGTGAGATTGCGTAGCACTTTCAGCTCACATCATTCAAAATAAAAGGTCCAAATTGTCCCCCGATAATGTTAACAGACTGTACTGTTTTAGCAAATGTCTGAATGTACAGGAGGACAGAGCAAAATTGTTTCTACTTTATAATTAATGTTCTGAACTCGCAGCAATGCAACTTTTCAATGAGTGCAATTGTTTGTTTTTAATACTTTATTATTATTATAATTTTCCATATCTGCAATGCCTGTTTTTTGGCATTTTTTTGCAGTCCACTTAGAATCCAACTTGAAAATATATTTTTTTCTTTATTGGCATTGATTGTTTTAAAATTTAAATGGCTCTAACATGCCTGTGTTTTTATTTATGAAATAAATATGGTTGTCAAGGCAGGATCTTGATGGTTTATTGTGGGTATGTTGTTTACATGAAGAAATCTGTGTTACAAGTTAAGCAAAAATACTAATAAACAATTATATTTTGAATTTAATTAGTTTTTGTCTTGCGTTTACATTAATTTTACACTTGAATAGCCAAAATTACAAGTTTCAGTCTTTTAAATGTGATTAATCGCGAATAATTTTCAAAAAAAGTGTGATTAATTAGTACATTTTTTTAATGGAAGAACAGCACTAAAAGATACTGAAACAAATGTATAGCAAGCAGCGAAATTAAATAAAAAATGCAGCTTGGAAACATTATACAGCAGACAGACAGAAGTTGCTGTGTTCAATGGTCTCCCAGTGCCTTTGGCTGGTTTGAAATGAATAGAAAAGACATATTAATCAAATGGTATGCTGGGGCTTATAGGGCCCACAACAGGGTCTGCGTACACTGTCCTCATTTCAATGCCATCTGCCTACCAGCAAAAGCGGAAACCAGATTATGAGATGAGCGCACCAGTCACAATCAAAAGCAGCCCTGTATTTCTCATCCGTGTGTGCATTTCAGTACCATGAGGATTTTTAATCAATGGCCACACAAAGGCAAAGACCTGAACCTTTTCAAAAGGTCACCCGGGGGAAATTGCATGGGAATATGACATGCGTGATATTCAGAGAGGGCACTGTATAATGTTATTTTATAGTGTGCAATTAGAAATGTGTTAATGCACTTAATAATATTAGTTTTATACATGTAGCGTTAGGGTTGACAGGATCTAGTTAATGATTAGCTGCATAATATTATGCAAATTTTTGTATAGTACACAGATGGGGCCCTACCATACACATGGCGCAAGAAGGAGCAAAGCGTGTTTGGCGCGATGTGTTGCTATTTTCAGACCAGCGCAACTGTAATTTTAACGGATTG